TAGAGGTACGTGTACCACTAATTGGAAAACACCGGTTTAGAGGTTTAAAAGTGTAAATTGGGATAATTTAATTTCCATTAAAAATTCAGGAGCGATTTAAACGAGCGCTTACGACTCTCTTCCTTCTTCTAACAAAGATTTATTACCTTAGAGATTGCTTCAAGTTCAAGACGCCATGTCTGAAATTTTTTAATTTATTTTCAAGTGCCAAAGTTTGTTTTTTTTTTTTTATTTTATCATCCGTCTAGACGTCTAATTAGGTAGATATATATTTGTAACTTACAGATGCTTCCTCTATCAATGTGACTAGCTGTCCTTGATTCTAGGTTAGTAAATCTCTGTTCAATAAAGCCTAGTTACATCACTATGACGTAACTTTCATTGTTATATTTGTCAAAATTGTTAAATTGAAGGTCCGTCAAGAAGTAAATAATACCATATGGGCCATTAAACTCTCCGAGATTTGTTTTTTTTTTTATCTCTACTTACCTAATAACTTTACATATTAAGGAACTAAACACATGATGAGTCCAATATATGCACGCTAAATTAGGGTAATAACCAGATAGATGCGGATAGATGACGATGAAATTGCCTCCTAATTCTTTAAATATTACTTTTATACGAACAATTTCTATGTATGTAAATAGTTTAATTATTTATGTTGAAATACTATTTTTTTTTTAGTTACAGATTTTGCAGAATTTTGCATTTTGTAGAACCCTTTGTTTTGAGGATAGATGCCTATCTGTATGCAAGGCAATGATGAGATACCTATCCGTAGGTCTAGTTACCCCACCATGAAAATACTAAGAAGGATCTATCCTTCTTAGCATTTTAATAAAGGGCATCTGCCCTTAATACTGTGTCAACGAAAAACTCAACCAATGATGAAGTCGTTCTCTTCCTCAAATATTAATTGCTTCCAAGAGACATGGGTAGAATAATGTAAAGCTTTTTTAAAAAAACTTTTATTGTTGTCGTTTTAAATTATAACAATAATAATAATAAAAATAAGTTGCCATCTCCTCTCCTTAAGAGGGGAGATGAGATTTTTTTTGGAAGTTAGGAATAATAATAATAAAAATTTTAAAGCTTTTGCACACTTAATGAGCCAAGATATTGAGGTAATAGAATATATAACAGATTTAATACTATTTATAAAGTCACACAACGGCAAATACCTGTAAATATTTTACGTGTTTCTGAAGTTCGCAGCGAAGGTGATAGACAGCGAACATGCACAAGCGAAATACATTCTCATTGAACAACAGTCCGTGGATAATTAAGATGCGGGGTGACTTAGGCTCCGACATATACTATTAACTCTTAGTCACAAGTTTCGGAAGCATAGTTTTTATTAAACGTACATTTTAAATGCAATTGTCTTCAGCTGTATTTAAGGTGTAGGTAACGTTAAAAATTAGGTACGTCCTTGTCATTTCAATGTATAGGTGTATTAGGTTATTTACTAACTAGTATTCGGGTATTTCTTTTTATGCCTTAAGATATAAACCTATGTATATCTGTCATATCTATCGTCATGTCAAATTCATATACATAGAAGAACATATTAGTCCTGTAACCAATTATAAAATTTAAAAATTAAGTATGGATATTACGATTTTTTTATTGTACGCAGACTTCGGGACTTCTTTAAGATTACGGTACTGCATTTATTCAGTTTACAAGTATACAGTTTAAAAGAGGATAAAGATAAAAAATATGTTTTTAAATATAATATTAAAAAAAATTATTACTTTATTCTGATACTATGTATAATACTTTATTTTTCTTACCTATATTAACCAATGTACTTTAACTGCAAAAAAAGCATGCTGCAATCAAACAGCCTCGGTCTTTATTAATGATAATGGGATGATGCTCCCGCCTGGGCTAACGGTTTAGGCTGGCGGGGCACTAATGGAGGATGATAAGACGAACATGAGGTCAGGTTAGGGGTGAACCGCGTGGAGGTCAACCTGAGATAAACAATCAATGTAATTTAGTATCTAACTAGCTACTCGCTCCGGCTCCTCCCAGGTGTACATGTATCTAAATATATAAAACTCAAAGGTGACTGACTGACATAGTGATCTATCAAAGCACAGCCACTGGACGGATCGAGAGATCTGAAATTTGGCATGCAGGTGTTATGACGTAGAAAGAATTTTGATTAATTCTACCCCCAAGCGGATAAAATAAGGGATGGCAGTTTGTATGAAACTTTGTCAATTTTAAACCGATCGGGCTGAGACATTGCATGCATAAAGCTACTATGATGTAGGCATCCCCTAAGAAAGGATTTTGATAAATTCCACCGCTAATAATTTGAATTCTAATGATATACAGGATGTTCCAGAACCTTAAGCCAAACCATCATGAGAAAAATAAAAAAAAGCTATCCCACGCAGGTTGAAAATTATGGTCAATGAAGAAAGACTTTTAGTTTACTTTAACCTTAATGATTACCTACAGTTTGACCATAAAAATGTGGTGAAACTGTAACCATTTTTCTTCCAGTAAACGTAAATTAAACTAGGTCAAGATTATTCATTATTTTAAAAATTTTACTTAAAAGTTTCGATGTCTATCTGTCTCGCTCCCCTCATGGCAAACATATCCACTATCCATCTCTCTGATCATTTTGCCGTAACATTAAGTACCCACCAAAAGCTTGTGCGAATAAAAAACATTTGAACTGAGTAAATAGGTTAGCAAAATCGGGTTATTTGAGGTTTTTATTTTTTTACTCGTTTTTTTAGTATGAAACTAACAAGTATTGTAACATTTTACAATCCTGATGAAAGACGCGAACTTTTAATCGCTTGCCAAGGCACTTTAGTACCTTTTTTTTAATAGGACGTTTAAAAGTCGATAAATTTTAAATTCATAGTTTTATTTTATTAGTTATAAATAGACTTAATTCAAGAAAACTTGGGGCAATTCTGTCATTACTTTTGACAGTAGTTCTAGAAATGTAGAGTTACGGTTCAAAAGTTTAAATAAACAAAAATAATAAAAATTAACCACAATAACTGAAAATAGAATAGGTTTTCTTAAATGCCCATAAATTTCAAACTGCATGGGATAATTTTTATTTTTGATTTTTGTTGTTTGTGCTCTTGTTGGTTACAAACAAATCTGGCACCCCGTTTCGGCTTTCTGGGACACTCAGTACTTACATAATTATGTCTAGTTTCATGTAGATTCCAATAAAACTTTATTAGCATTGTAAAATAAATTGAAGTAGTTCAACAGAATAAGTTGTTGACTATAAAAAGAACGCCACGCCATAAGAACGAAGTGGTTTGTGTTCGAAAAATAAATCCATAAACACAACCGAAGTTTTATTTTGAAGATCTTTAACTCTAACATTCGTAATAGCAGTAAAAACCGAAACAATCGACTGCCATAAATTTTAGTGTCCGATTATATGATCATTAGCTATTTATTTACTTTTAGATATTCAATTCAATGTAATGGATATATTATAGTAACAACATTGTTATCACTGTGGCTGCTTAAATCCACAAATATGATTCATCTCGCACATCTGATACAACAAGTGACGTAATCGTGTTTACGTTGTCGTAGACCGCATAAAGACAATCGAGATATTGGAATAAATACTGTACGAATTCGTATAGCGTATATAAAAAATATGTAGTTATAACTTATCACAGACTAATGCGTAAGTATTTATGATTTTATGAAATCCATTAATCATGCTTTTATTAAGCATGATGGATTTCATCAAATACATAGTTATATACTATGTAGTAATTTGCAACGTTCATAAATATAAATTTGATTACCTATCTATAGTCAGATATAAATCTATTCTATACAAATATTAAAAACGTAAATAACTGCTGTCTGTATAGATATGAAAGACATGAGCAAAAATATTATTCGATAACTTTATCAATGTAATAAAACCAAAAACAATGAATATTAGAATTTTTGTCTGTATAATGTCATATTTATTTATAGCTAACTACTCGCCCCGACTTCGCACAGATGTATATGTATTATATATATAATCCTTCCTCTAGAATCACTCTATCTATTTAAAAAAAACGCTTCAAAATCCGTTGCGTAGTTTTAAACATTTAAGCATTAGCATACATAGGGACAGACAGACAGCGACAGCGACTTTATTTTATACTATGTAATGTTGATGATGTAACTATGTAATGATTAACCAAGAGCCTAAAATATAAGATTAAAATTTCTAGCTTTATAAATGACAATACTTCCGTACAACCTTTCAACCCTTTATAACACTTACTTCGCAAAGTATCCCAGGTCCTTTATCAGACTCTAGACTATATATAAACTATCTAGGATAGCGATCTTAATAATTATAAATGTGAAAGTTTGTAGGTATGGATGTTTGTTATGTTTTCAGGCAAAATCTACTGAATGGATTTTGATGAAACTTTACAGTAATATAGCTTATGCGTCAGAATAACACGTAGGCTATATTTTAAATTTATATATTAAAACCGTGGGCACAGCTAGTATACATATAAAGCACTCAGTACAATACAAAAATAGACACAGCCGTTTGAAAAGAAATATTAGTAATGCGCGGGTATCCATCCCGTGGAATTCCCACATACTGACGTGGCTCTCTGTTTAATCGTTACATCAGACGCGAATAGCGTCTACCTAAATTATATTAAATAATACAGAGTTTTTATACCATGGTGGAAATAAACCTATCTCATGCTAAACGGCTACCGTAACCGTGGACGACTGAAACACCAGGGGTGTCATTTGCGCAATGCCGACTCTTAAAAAATCTGATAATGGTATAATGAAAAACCCGATGCTGTAGTAGTTAATACATTACACAATCTAAGTGTATGCGGGAGTAAGCTCATCTGAAATCGCACTATCCGAGGTCTATTATGTCGAGGATGTGATGATGAGTCGATAGTGAGATAAAGAAATAAAGAAGAGTGTGCAATATTTACTTTTTTTTTTACTAGTGAATGAAGCGCAGTGCAGCAGAGGCCAGTCCGTCACCTTCGTGCGATGGTCAGGGTTGACCCCTGACAAGGCTGCACCAGTGTTCGTGTACACAGCTAGCGGCGATGAGGACTCCTTGATAGGGTCTTGCTTGGCAAGGTGCCGAGAACTCGAAGAATGCGCTGCTTTGGTGGTGTCACATTCTACCGGCAACTGCCATGGTGTAGCGCTTACGACCGACTTGCAACTGAGAGCGGACAACGACGCATCTTATTTTAAGAAAATTTGCATAATACGTATGTACTTTAGCTTTAATAAAGTAAAATATGTATTAATGACTACGGGAATTCCAAGAAAGCAACTTATTATCATAGTATTTTATTTGTACTATAATACATATAATACATGTAAGTAATTATGTATATTAGTAGATAATTTATCAATCTGGAAAGGACGGTCATCGAGTGGTGACTTCGTTTTAACAAGTGTAGTGTACAATGTACCACACTAGATAGTCGATACCTTGAAATTGATGTATACTATTATTATCTAATTTTTACTATTCTATACTTCGTTAGATTCAGAATGTTAGAACTTGTGTAGGACCATTTTTCCTTTTGTTACACCCGGCAACATCCGATCAAAAGTGAGTTTTAGTCGAAATCGAACTTTCGGCCTTGTTCTTTGTGCTGGACACGAATGGAACCAAAACCGAAACTTATTAAAACATATTTAAAATTACGATTATTTACTGAAACTTACTGTTTTATAATATACATATATACAAACAGTTAAATATTGTTTAATAAAATAAAAACAGAATCTTTAAAGTACGTAACAAATATATATACGACCTGAGTATATTTTTTTATTACTGAATGAATGACTTGGAAGTAAACAAGTTTCGTTAGAGTGCTTTAAACATACATATACTAATTAGTAGTAATACGTAATTGTATTCACAATACTTTAAAGATAAATGTAATACCTATTTTTGGAGATTTTTATTACCTAGTTATTACAATAAACATTCTAGGACAATCTAGGTACATATTTATTAGAATAAAGATTATTTACATTTCTAATAAATTTTACCTTTAATCACTAAATTTCCAGTATCCGTCTAATCATAGATTTATTATAATATTTAATAATAATAAATGTAGATAATTAATATAATGTAGTTTTAATAATATCTGCTTGATGTTTAGAATTCAAAATGTATTTTTTAATGCTTGGAATACAGAATAAATTTTTATACTCAGGGAACAGCAGAACGTGATGACACTTATATGTATTATATATAATTACCAGCATTGTACATACCATATTCTGACAAATAAATATATTATATTATACCATATTATAAACACTTGAGTTTGGGATATATTGTGGCCGAAACCAGATCCGAAACAAAATATTCACTACTTATAATTAATAAGATATAATGAGCATACATAAATTTTAATAAATTTAATAAAGAAATTGAAATTTTAGTACCAGAAGAATGCAGAAACCGGTGGTGGGCCCTGGAAGCCACACCTGGATACAACTTACATGCAGAAGGATCCAACATAAAAATTGCTCACAACACTACACTCAATGAATGTTACGACTCAGTACTTTCCAACCGAGAAAATTTATATCGGTAAGTTTACACTAAAATTTCTCCGTTACGGAATTTAAATATAGCCATGCAGTATATTTAGCCATAGCTAAACAAAACAAACTTTATATACTCTTTGATGAGTATCTGTGATCGTAAATTTTCAGGAAACAACATTTAGCAATTGTTTAACGTTGGCTATATTTCTTGGCGCCACGCGCCGTTTGGAATACGGTCTATGTTTGTTTATTTAGGTAATCAATCAGCACGTTTCGGAGATTAGCGCGCATAATCGCACAGATAAGAATTGTAAATTGTAATAATAATTCTTTTACATCCTATTACGTTGATGAAGTTCCGCATTATTTTGTTTTACATTTAAGCAGCTAATAGCCATTTACAAGAATTGTTTATTACCAAATGTATAATCAAAGTGATATTTCAGTCAAGTTTATTTAATATCTGTACCTACGCCAAAACAGTTTACTCCCGTATTGGCCCCATTTTGGCAATCAATAGCCCAGTGTTGGCAAATAGGTATATATAATTTATAGTTTTACCGAGATTAATAGATACACCTGTTGTAGATTGTTTATTCTATTTTTTTTTAAATTCCTGTTGTTTCATTTTGTTTATAATAGATCCGCCCAGTGGATTGGTCCGGAGATTCTTCTCAATAATGATCTGATGGAAACATCTTCTGTGGACATCGGCAACTGTATCCTGAACGTAGCAGACAAATTCTCAGAGCCAGAATCCTACCGTGTAACCAACTATTACACAGTATACGTTGAAAACCAATGTAGACATGACTGTGAGTTTCTTACATTGCCTCTTGCCAAGGATGGCCTCGATAGCCTAGCGGATTAGCATACCACCTCATACAAAACTATATGCATATATTATAAATATAATCCTTCCAGAAGGAATACTCTAAATGATAGTGAAAATCTTAATAAAACCCGTTCCGTCGTTTTGAAGAATTAAGCAGAGAAACAAACAGATGAATAAAATACACTATATCTACGACTGTACATATGTTTACTTATAGAAAACTGTAACATATATTACGGTTATATAGAACCGGGGGAGGAGATTGTTAGTAATGAGGACTAGTAACAATAAACCATATCAGGTCAATCTCCACGTGGTCCACCCTGGAGAACTGACTTCATATTCTACTGGTGCCTCGCTAGGCTATACTCGCTAGGCTTCTTTTATTACAATGTTAAAAGGTTGTATAGAACCAATATAAATTTTGGTATATGATACAATTATTTTTATAGATATCATTAATAATTGCTTAGCTCCCTCGGTAACCGGTTTCTATGTAATAATAAATAAAAAAATATAAACTCGGTTTCTAAGGAAATTTACAACCTTACTAACTTACAATCCTTGATAGAAGTATCTACTGTACAATTATATCCTATACTCTTTATATCATATTTATACTATTTTTATACTTTCGTAACAGATCCACAGAAGATAGACAGATGTTCATACGAAGAATACAATAACCAGACGTTAAAACATGTGGATTTTACCATGAAAAACTATACGAAAGATGAAGTAAGTATAGAATATGTGTGGCGTGGTCGTCATATTCTTTTGTCTATGTGTAGGTAATGTAGATGTAGAAGTCCATCTTCTCAATCTACCCTGAATTACTAAGATTTTATTCCTCCTACTATGGTAGGTATGTATGGTACCTTAGTAACTCACCCTTCAAGCGAAACATACAATGCAAGCTGAACTATTTCTGAGACAGATATACTTCAGTGACTTTGTACAAATAATACAAATTACGATTATGTACTAATTATAGTAGTTGATCTATATCATTGATGCATGAAATAAATATATTAACATATGCATATGTCAGTGTAAAACAGGCTGTGAAGTGGAACAGCGATTCGTGTGTAGAGGCTTCACTTGGATTGAAGGCGACCGAGCGCACGGCAGGGGACTGTGCGACTTGCATAGTGAGGACTTGGTTACTACCGGCTCCTGGCTCCTGCGTAGGAACTCTGCTGCCACATACTACAGGAGAGTCATTTGCCTCAATAGTAAGTAGAATAAATACATAATTATACTTACGTAAAAATACCAAGATAGTCCAAAAGTCATAAAGGTGTTCAGAACTTATGTAGACATAAATGAGGCATAAAAATAGCATGAAACTTTTGTCGGTCTTTTATCATGTTGTCCTAATGTTACTTAAATCAGTGTTAACATAATATTGGAAATTTGAGTAGGTACAATAGAAAAGACTATATTGCAAAATGAAAGATGCAATTCTCACGACGGAAATTTCATAATCGTTTATAAAACAAAACATTTCTAATAATTATATTGCTCATGGTTTAACTACGGTAACCTATAGTGATCCATGTATGACAAGTCAATGTTGAAAAATGATTTCTCTGTATTGACGCCCTACTAATAAGAATGACAAAGTAATCGATGATGTAAAATCCGTTACAAATCAATACGGCACTTTGTATTATCAACAACCTTACGTATTAGATCTTATAAATGAATTGTGTTGTAATAACGAAATAAGATTTCGTTTCCAATTTATTGCGATTATCGATTAAATAGGTACTTGCCCATTTCTCTTGTTTATAACAATGAAACTTACAATCCAAGGGAAATTATATAGAATGGGGGCATGATATCTTAATTCTTTCGAATAGCAGTTCATGAGCCACTAACTACGAGGTGTGCCATCAGCTTGATGGTTATTCTATTAAATAAAGAAATCAATTTAATCGCAATCAACGTCGTTGATTTTTTATTGCAAAAATAATTCTGATAAATGCTATAACAGAATAGCAGAGAGGGTGGACCAGCCCCCTGGAGAGCTGCCACCTCTGATTTGTAGACCGTTTTGTCTCGGTATTTTATTATAGTTTTTTGTTTGAGACAAATAAAAATGATTATTATTATTATTATATATCATTGTTTAAAGTTCAAGAAAGTTTATAAAATGCATTTTATGACATATTTTTAATTTCAAACATTCATAATGCAAAATGTAGTTAGCCAAACTATAGTTTTTATATTATTAGAAAGAAACGCTCATCTGAAGACTACTTTTCTGAAAATGTGTAACATTTATACTTGGTTATGGTTAATCTCGAATTTCGTTTGCTTTAATGTTAAGTTTGCACTAGCGGTGGTTTATTTAATTTTACTTTCTGTTGATATTTTGAGTTTTATTTCAAATCTCTATTTAAACAGAAACTATCGTTATCTAATCGTATTCAATTTTCTATAGATATTAAACTTTAAACTCTTCGCAGACAGATACCGTATTCAATATGTTCTTTTTCATTGTCTACCTGGCATCAAGTACATTATTTGTTTACGCATTGTATTTTTTCAAATAGAGAATCTAAAAGTTCCTTGTTTCAGGTGTTGTTTGCGTTTGTTTGAAATTTTATTTATTTTACAGTTACTGTGGAATGTGAAGGTTCCGAATTGATTGTAACGTATCGTCCGCGCAGTCAGTTCCGCGGCAGGCTGTACGTGCCAGGTCGTGGCGAGCATTGTAGCGCGCGCGCCTCAGGTGGACCAGTGCGACTTTCATTGCCTCTTTATGGAGATTGCGATGTAAATTTCGCATACGCTATAACAAATACTCCCAGCGGTGTGACTAACAGGTAAGTTTACTCATTCAGATTAGGCATGAGAAATCGTATAGTACCTATATATTGCTGTACGTGTGTATCGGATTAGTCATAAAGATTTTTTTCTATTTACTAACATTCATAAATGTTTGAACAATAATATACATATAAAGTCCATAAACATAAATAATAAGCTTTTAGGGTCGGCACCGCGCATATGCCATCCCTGGTGTTTCATATGTACATAGGCTATGGTAACCGTTTATCGTCATATGGGCCGTATGCTTGTTTGCCACCATTTTAGTACATAGAAAACCTAAATATTGATTATTTTTTAGAACAATGGCTTACGTGATGGTCATGATACAAAACAACCCGATAATCCAGACAGCGGGTGACCGCTGGGTACGCGTGGGGTGTTCGCCAGCAGCCGGCGGCGGCGCGCAGGCAGTCGACACCACAGTTGCCGTCCGTGAAACCGGGTAACAAACAGATAGGTACCTAGTGTAACATCAAAATAGAAATAAACTTGTAAAACAATGTAAATCTTAACACACAAGAGAAATGCAATGTACAAACGTCTCATTTCTATTAATTCCTTTTCTTTCCCGTACTGATAATTGGGTTTTAGGTTACATTTAAGAATATTATACTGCTTTTCCATTAAGCTTCAAATATAAATATTTTCATCATTTCAAATCACGTTAACTACGTCTGATATGTAGTGCTGCGCTATATAGTGTTTATATACAGATAGAAAACATTTTATTTAACTATATTACACAAAATTCTAAGAATAATGTGCATTGTGAACGTTATCCATTATTTATATACAAATTAAGCAATTTAAATATACATTAAAAACAAGAAGAAAAGTTATGTATGGCTTGTTGAATCCAATAAAATATGATCCTTGTTTTAAAAGGCCAGTTGCAATATCGAAGACTACTAAGAAACAATATTTACCATTACTTAGGCTCTTTGTAGCTCCTTGCATTCTATTTTTATTACAAATCAATCAAATAATCATAATACTTACTTGTTTACAGAAACCATATAATTATGTATTTAAAATACCTACTGTGTATAGGTACCTATATATATCAAAATCAACATTGTTTTTATCTTCCAATCTGGGTTTACATCTTTCTTTTAAAAAACAATCAAGTCACTAAACAAATTGATTAAAATGTGTGTAGAACGTTGGCTCAGCCTTTCGGATTTTTCGCGTGAATCACTGAGTCAACCGGATCGAGAGGACTCGTTCGTGATTCATATAATTCCTTGTAAATATGCGGGTGAAATGTTTATATTAGTAGGTAACTTACCGGTTCCTACATGCCTACATTTAATATGCACTCATATTTTATTGCCGATATATGTATCGTGAGGTTGTATTACAATATATATATTTTAATTCAATATATAGCCTATGTCATTGGAGAAAAATGCCTTGAACAGTGAAAAAAATTTTCAAAACGTTGCAGTGGTTCCGGAGCAGCAAAATCAGTTCTTCGTCTTATATAGAAAGTATATATACTTCACTAGTTATATTAGTACTATAACTTAGTAGGTATATCTACGATTTTATATTATATATGTAGAATTGAAGATATATAAAGAGATCTTTAATGGTAGTAACCGAAACATATTTTATTATATAAACAAAAGGATGTTAAATAAATAAATTAATATAAAGCTTATAAAGAAATTGCTTAACGGTAATGCAAGAGTGATATGATATGAATACTTAGGTATTACCACTAAGAATAATTATCTAAAAAAATCATTATTCAAAAATACCTCATTTTCCGCTTTTATTCCGATCAGAAAACTATCTGATTTTAATGGTGATTTAATTAGTGTTTGCATAGAATGGTTATATAATAATTGAGATATATCCGCTATACCAGTCTATGCTGCCGGAAAATAAGAGTGCAATACGAATTAGTTTAAATTGTATTAGTGTCATTTACTGTAGTTATATAAATTGATTATAACCAGAAAACCATCGTTTCCGAGTGAATCGGCGAATGTTGGCCCGGGTGGAGCTAGTGCTGTGTACAGCACGAACAGTGCTCCCCTCACCATGTACGTTGTGCGAGCACAGGACGACACTGCTGCCAGCACTGGCGCCGTCTCCCTAGGAGAACCCCTCGAGTTGAGAATAGAGACAACAGGTATTTACTTTATTGAATAAGGTGTTATTTTGTAAATTCATTAAATATCTGGTAACCTTACCTTCCTCTTTAAGATAGCTATCATGAAGGAATCTGGTTTATTGCTTTAAAATAGTATATTGCAATACAAGTATAATGATAAAATATATACTATAAAAAGAAAAAAACAATATCTGCATTGCCATAGTTACAAGGTTTCTTAACTTATCATCAAAAATCTACTTTAGCGTTGAAATTGATATTACATACTTATTTAATTTTAGGTTGTTTGTTATATAATTAAGTTCGTTATGTCTATTTTCTGATTGATAAAAATGGCTCGTAAAATATTTTTTTATTTATTTAAACATTACGACATTATGGATACAAAAGGCGGACTTAATGCTATAGGCATTCTTCGGGAATTGCAGAAAACTGGATGGTGGTTTAACATTTAACGCTTTGACTAAATGGGATAACTGAATTTTCGGATATGACAGGATAGGCAGGTCAATAGTAGTCAAGTCAATTTTGGATATCTGATTTGAACTTCCCACAATAATTGCTTCATATTTTTATTAGATTAACTGACTTTATGATTACATTCTTACTTATGTTTTGTAAATCATTGTTAATTTTCGTATTTGCGAAATTTAACTCATATTTGCAGTGCGTCTGTAGCTATGTATGTAGCTTACACTTTAAGAAATCAGGAATTAGGTGTAGGTATAATTTAATATTCAGTACTTCTCGTCTTGAAAATACAGATGAATGGTAATAATTAAGATTGATGTATTTGTTTAAGCAGATACACTTTTTTATGTAGTTTTAATATAAACACCATAATTAATCATCATGGTTATATTAGAGTAACCGCCGCTTGCCGTAAGGCGAGTCATCGCAATTGTGTGTTTATATTTTATGGTGAAAGTCTCAATCTACTGTCGGATTTGTCCTCACTATGTTCTCACTCGCTTTGAAACCACAATCAATGTGATTATATGAGCTATTAAACCCTCTTATTGAGGGAATAATTTCGTAGGCAATCAATTCAATCTAACTTAATACGGTGCTCTACGGACCGACCCCAAGTTGCATTCTTGAGATCACAATTGCGAGGTGAGGTTGAACCTAGCGGTGTCCTCAAACTGGAAACGTAGCAGTCAAGCATGTATTGGCTTGCAGCTCTCCATAATTTCTGTCTGGGGTTTGGAGCCTCTTTTTTATTGGCGACCATCTGCGCCAGCAGAAAAATTACTATCACTGCGCAAATGCGGTAAATTAGGTATATGTTTGCGGTTAATAATCAATAAGGTTGTGTGATGAAATTCTTAAAATAATTCACACCAGAGGGCTGGAATTTCTGTGGGATAGTACGGGCACATATTTTTCAGGCGAGGTTAACGTTCTCACAACATGGACCAATCGCCGGTTATGATCATATTTTATCACCCATTATCATTTTTATCGTCTTAAATCCTTGCAATGTTTTCCTTAAAAAGTCTATTCACTAAAGTACTTTAATTTTTGAAAATTATTTCATCCGGTAACCTAATATACGAATAAATATAATGTAGAGTTGTGTAAGATCATCATCATTTCCTCAAAAAACGATAATCTAATTTACGTACATCATCATGTACGTAAATTGGATTTTTTTTTATAGCAATATTCTTAATTTGTGATATTAGATGCAGCAGAGATCGAGGCTTACCATCTAGTAGCGTCGTCAAGGCTCGGTGACAGTTCTGTGCTGTTGCTGGATAGCAGAGGGTGCCCTACCGGACAGGTAAGTTGTATTTAATGAAATAGCACAATATACATAGATACTGTATTTAAATATTAATATAAATAAAAAGCTGATTCCCGCTTCACATTTAATTTAGACGTTCGCGCCATTTTACAATACAGACTCCACTTTGTATAAAATGCACAGAGTAGGTATATGCGTTATAAATATCACGCATTAGGTAATTACACCAAAGACTATATATATGTGGTATGAAGGAGAATACCTACCCTGTATAACATAGATCCTACATACTCGTATATATGTCCCTTGTATATTTAGACTAGTCATATTTCGTTTTAATGTCTATTAACCTCAATGAAGGAGTTACTCATAAAAACTGTTATTATCGGTTCTAAATACAGAGAATTCAAACTTTATATCTTTTTTATATTGTTTATCAAATATTAGTTTTTAGTAGAGTAATACCAATATTAATAAACTATTTTCTTTCTTTTTTTCTTTCAATATAGAGATTCAAGTTTAGAAAGGTTAATCTAACCAAACAGATGTCAAATGCCATTTTAGAGAAATCTATAACATATATGTTTCTCATAAATGTTATTTTTATTATTGTAAACTAGAAATTTACGTAGTATTAGCCGCGACTTATTATTTGTTTTTAAGATATGCCAAGAGAAAGGCCTCGTGATTCAAATTACCGCATCAAATTTTCTTAAGCTCCGTTCAGCCGTTTAGTAGTGAAAATATTTTCACAACTAACCTGACAATCAGACATAGGTACACATATTTCATTTTATAATGTAACTGTGGATATGAGAAATAAACCTTTTTGTGTAGCATAAAATAGTTCATATACTTACTTGTTCTTATTTAAATGCAACCCTTATTCTAGGAGTGGGGACAAATAACTGCCTATACAGTTTTTATTAGACTAATTTATTATTATATTGTTTACGATCCTGACATGTTATTGTTATAATTTTTATTATATCGAAACTTTATTAAATTTTTTTCTTAAATTTCTGATCAATGCAAAGCAAATTCATACTACATTTACATACAAAACTTTTATAAAAAGTAACTCGGCAATTTTGTTTGGAAAATCATTCCCCTTAGAGTTATTATATTATATTTAGAGTTATAATTAGTACTTCATTGCCCTGATCTAGTAGACATTCACAAGGTCTAGGAATCACTTACCGTCACACAGACCATTGTAGTTGAGTAAACGATTTCTATTATTCTCATATATATTTCAGGTTGACTTTCCATCGTTCACCAGAACCTGGCTAAGTGGAACGCAGCGTCTTTCGGCTAATTTTAAGGCATTTAGATTTCCGACATCGCATGTGGTGCGGTTCGCTCTTATGGTGCGATTCTGCGATAAGAAATGTGCAATCGTAAGTAAAAAATAAGTAGCTAAGTTAAGCAGAGCTCATACAAAACGTAGAAAACAAGTAATCGAAATACCTTTTTTGTTTCATAGTGTACATAGAAACCTCAGACTACAAGAAACAATTATACTCATTATACAAATGATTACTTTATAGAACGAGAATCGAGCTTGAGACTAGGTAATTAGACTATATAATAATAATCATCATCTTTATTTGTCTCAAATAAAAATTAAACAATTGCTGCTTATGTAATAATTAAAAATTTAAAGTAATGAATGAGGCAAAACAGTCTACATATAACTCAGAGCGGGCAGTGAGTCCACCCTCTCTGCTACCAGGACCACCATGAGAATGAAAAGATTTAAGGAGCTCGCCAATACACAAATAGCAGGAGTACAATGCAGTATGATCCATACACAAAATAAAATTATATTGATCCTTGACAACGCCGAACAGACAGCATTAAAAAATCTAGTGATGGTGCTGGAGGCATGGACCATAGCTGCAGTAGAAGGAAAAATAGCTCCAAGGATCACAAGTGTTGATGCTATGAGAGTTGGTGTCGACACGGCCGTAGTCCCGGATAGACTGAAGTGTGCCAAAGCCTCAGAACACCATCAATTAGTAGTTCACAGGGGAAAGGAAGAAAACATACACTACCACACACATATTTAAAATAATATTTTCGTGGAGAAGGTGAAAGGTAGAAAGTAAAAGATTTTAAAAATAAACGGAAAAGGTCTTAATGGTCTATGGAAAGTAAGAGCGTAACAATAATAAAAAAAGAAAACCCTCTTTGCTATTCTTAGTAAATAAGAGATGACGAAGACGATGATAGCACTTAAACTACTAACAACAGATAAGGTACCTATACCAAATATAAATAGAGTATACTTATAGATAACAAATGTTTTGTTTTAGACTAACTGCGGCACTGCGAGTCGAACAGCTCGGGAAGCTAATGAAACAAACGAGGTGTATGAAGTTATGGCAGCGGTAAGGGAGTCAGGGTGGGCAGGCGGGAGGAACGGCGTAGTGGCACAGGGTGGCGCAGCCGGATGCGGATCCTCCAATGATGGTCACGTGCCTTTAGAGCTGGAGATGGTTGTTGGTGCTAGGGACATCCTGTCTGCTGACACGTTGGTTCGAGCTGATCATCGCGCTGCAGCACGTAAGTAGCAAAAAAAGCATTTGTATTAATATTTACACCTCTTGAACTTGAGTTCTTCGTTTGAACAACTCAAGTTCATTGCTGGAGTAAACACTCCTATGAACTTATGAACGAATCTATGAATGTTGCAGCAAAAAAAGAGCAAAAAGGCAAAAATGACATGACTCTAACACAAAACTATTTAATCCATAGTCCATTACATTTTATGTTGATGTTTTGTTACTATAGAAATAGCATGAAACTTATTACTATTACAATAAAACGAAGGCTAAATAAGGAAAAATTACTTTTTGCCTAATCTTTCATTATGGCTATCATAATGAAAGATTAGGCAAAAAGTAATTTTGAGACTAGTTTGATAAAAAGACTATAAATTTGCATTTCATCACCTCTATTATGTGTGTTATTATATAACTACCATAATGAGTAAACTACCATATGTCCCTATAACCTTGCTCTACCAATACGTTGGGAGAACTTAATACCTATAGATTTTTATTTCGAGTTTTCCTTCTTTATATCTGATATATTGCTTGTTATTTCTGTTTTTAGGTTCTTACAATATTCTAGATATGGATGATTATTATTTATCATCAACGTTACGAGCCTTGCACTACCTACCTGTTAGTTAGTATTTCCAGAGTATAATAAATTATTGCATTGTATTCTATTTTCATCATCGGTTATAGTGAATAATCGGTTCTTACGACTAAATTGCAGGGCCTTATCTGAAACAATGCAATAATTATATACCTATATTGTTTATAGCCACTATCCGGTGGTATAGCGTTCATATTTTGGGGTCTTCAATGTCTTTCATCCGGTTTTTACTATGGTTCTAATTTTATTTAATAGAATTATTATTATTTGAATGGCGAACAAGCTGACAAGATGTCAAGTGGCAACCGTTGCCTATATTCGAGAATGAGTGAAGTATTTTTTATGAAGAGTATTTTAAGCATGATTACAAAATTAGAAATAAGTTATTCCATCTTTGAAACTACGTATTGTTTGATCATTCAAACAATACGTTGCTTATTTGATTAATGAATCAAACAAGCAAAGCGTTGCATTGTCTCGGTCACCCTTACTCTTTAGCCGAAGTGAGTCCGACGAGCGACGGAGCAATGGTGTGCGTGCACGAGCTACTACTGGTGGCATTGGCGCTGGCCTGGCTCGCCGTCCAGGTTTTACTGCTGCTAGGATGCTGTGTGCTTGTTAAAAGGTACATTAGCTAATGTAATTAATTGTAGTGTATAGTGCATAGTAATGCAGTTTTTTTTTTCGGAACTCTGGTGTAGTCATTTTTGTTCTCCCAAAATCCGTCTTACATGGCGATCCTGCCATATCGCGCTAAGTATTTCATCTTTTTTTTGTAAGGAATTTTTTTAGATACTGGAATGGCTAACAATCAGACTTTCCACCTGACGTGGAGTTGAAGCTGTCACCTAACCGCAATATTCTAGGGTTGCAAATAAAAAACATAAAACATGGTGTCCATCGGTCACTACAGTATTCTATTCCATAAAGTATAAATCCTATTGATTATTGTTTTGTTTTTTAAAATATTCGTGCTTGTGTACAATTTTCAAATTATAATATAACACTTCTAATTCGAAATTTAAATTGAGATATCCCGAAAATAGTTTGATAATTCATAATAAAGAATTTATTTTTTAATGTAATAACATTAAAAAATAAATTCAAACTGAAAATTTTTCGTGTAGTTTTCCGACTTCGTTCTTTTTTAATTAATATAGTAACAATTTGCTATATATATGTACATAACTGCAAGAATAAACTGTGTGAATCTTGTAAACTCCCCTGAGTCGTATATATGTAAATAAATAAATTCAGTAATTATATGTTTATTTTGTTCCTGTACAGATATCGTAACTTGGCCGAGATGAGTATGCAAAAGGAGTACCAATCGTTCGACAACGTGGGTTTCGACACGGTCTCCACGCACCGCCGTGTACACTGGCCAGATCAAAACATCGATATATTACATACTACTTAATTGTTTTATAACAATATATAAAAAAACTTTACTATAATACCCAACCTCTCATACTACATGACGGCCTCGAAGCTCTATCGGTGTAGCACACCGCCTTACTTCCAGAGGTCGCGGTTTCAATTCCTCATACGGTACATACATTTGTATTCAAGAGTACGGATTGTTTGTATCGCTATTATATATTTATATAAAAAAATATCTATGTAATTATATAAGTTCTCTAGTACCCATGACACAAGTTCTCATGAACTAGATGGTGCTATGTGAATTGTCCAAAAATATTATTAATAAAAAAAATGAGAAGATGCTTTACATAAACACAAAAAGTATATTAAAACGTTCAAAAATGTAAAGTAGCCTTGTCTGTACCTATTATGTTAGTAAACAATTTGTTTGAATTATCTCATGTTATCGAGGACGAAAGAATTGTCTGCTTGACTGTGTGTGCACGTGAATCTTAGTCTACAATAAAAATAGACAAATACCTTACCTACTTCGTGTACTGTATATGATACTAATTTAGTCCCGAATAATGTGTTCTTATATATAAAAACTTTGTACATAATCATGTGGATTGTAGATATCTAGATCTAAAGTTTCTATAGCTATTCATATGTATGTAAAGAAGTTATTGAAATTAAAGTAACAAATATGAACTATATCTTTACTCTTTTACTGTATATGAAAGTCCTATATACGGCCTTAAAATCGGTGGCAATATCGGTTAGGGGCATCCCAGATCATTTCCTGGATTATCACATGCAAATTGTAAATATTTTTATTATTCTACCTGGCCTACATACCTGAAATTTAAGAAGCAATCTAGGGAGCTCTACTATTCTTGTCCATTTATATCTCTCTGTGCTAGTTGCATGAAATACAGTTCATAGGAGAGAAAGGGATTGTTAGTAATGGGAACTAGGAGTCTATTGCTAACAATGTACCATCTCAGGTTGACCTCCACACGGTTCCCCCTGGAACCCAAGTGATTCATGATGTGCTAACTGACCTGTCCTAATTCTCTTCTGATCTTATTATCCTCGTGCCCCACCAACGTATACCGTCAGCACAGGCAGATGCACCATTCCATTGTCATCCATTTTAAAAAAAATACAGTTCATATTACTCATTGATATTAACTATATAGCTTTAATTTGGCGAAAGAATAGAGCAAGTAATTTTGAGTTTTTCATTTACAAACAAACAAATATAAATTTTATCTTATTTTATAAGTAATAAAAAAAATAAGCAGAGGAAGAATAGGAATTCCTCTTTATTTTTATAGCGAACACAATAACTGACATTATATGATGTCGTCCGATTAGGTGAGTATAATGAGTAATAAAAAATACAATGAGTCCCTCCTCTTCAATTAAAAATACGCACATACATATGTGCGTATTAGTACAGCTGCACATAACGTATATACAAGGAGTTAAAGCCCTCGTTAGGACTAAAAATAATTCGATTCATTGGCATATGATCGTACCGTTTCGCATCGTTTATGGTTGTGATTTATATACTAGTAAAGTATTAATTTAACGTTGACGGTAGTAGACTCCTTCAACGATCATCCATGTCATAGACCGACCAAGTCTAAGCAGCGGTAGGCGGTTCACTCAACTATATTATCAGAATGGAAGCAGTAGAGACAAACGGCGAAGTGTTGTACGGTGGATGCCATTAGCCTTATTATACCTAACTAGCAACCCTCGTCTCGGATTTAAAATACTTGTATATCTCGATTTGTTAGAGTAGAATAGTGAAGAGGAGTGAATGAAGAGGATGGTTTATATAAACCTTCCTCTTGAATCACTCTAGTTAATGTTGAAAATTGTATGAAAATCCGTTGCGTAATTTGAAATATATAAGCGAACTGCCAGCGGCGGCGACTATATTTATACTATGTAAAGATATTACTTACATAACGACCATAACCGATATATCAAAAAAGTATAGAATAAAAAGAAGAAAGCCGTATTAATTTCATATTTTGAGGTCAATGAAAGAACTAACTGACATTTATTATCGATTTATTTGGTTAAATCTGGATCAAGTTTTAAAAGGACAGTACAAAACTGGATTGGATTTAAATCAATGTTGAAATTAGACTACAGTGTAGTCCTGCTTATAGTTTTTATAGCGTAGCGTTGCCGGATGCTGCGTGCAACAGCAAAGGTGGTGACGGTGCCGGCAAGGGTGGTGGTGTTGGTTGTCTGGATGCTCGTGGTGCTGCCTGTCTTACACTCTGCCGGTTTGACGCAGCGTTGTAGTGGTATCCATCGAATTTATCCCCTGAGCTCGCTGTTGGGAACGTAGCTGTGCCCATATACATCACCTGCGAATGTATCAATTATAATAAAAAAAACATTATATTAACACGAAGTAAAACTTTCTTGGAGGAGTATAGAAAGCATGTATACATACATCCATCCTACGCAAGTATGTAAGACTTTGACGTGACTTTGAATGGAGCCTTTATAATAAACTTAAAATTTAAATGAATTATAGTTGAACATTGACCACTAGTTTATTTAATGGTAAATATGGTACACCGGACTGCAGTAACAGTATACGCTTACGCCACAGGTAGAAGATGTTCAGATAATAATAAAATTAAGTCAGTTAATTAATTGTGGCGAAATTAGAATCGAAGCGAAATTAAGAAGAAGAGCAACGCATACCACATGGTTATTTGCAATGATACCAAGTGATACCAAGTCCACATTATTAACGATCACTCCCCCTTAATTGATATATAATTCCTTTTAATAATAAAACAAATATGTTGTTGGCCCATTATACTCCTGAACGGATTCTAATTATAGGAAAGTTAAACAATTATGTCATTTGTGAGTATTCGTCATATGTAGACATTTCTTTTGGTAAAATACGCTAACATTATCTATGCGTGTATTTATGTACCTATATAAACTACATACTTACATATTATTGTTATTCTACCCTGGTGTGAAAATCCCATGCTACATGATATACCAGTGAATATGTCTGCTTTTACGATAGATAGATTACGAAAAGATAGCCTCTGGCTATATAATCTACATTATGTTTCTACATTATTCATGAAAAGGTAACAAACATCTTTATGTTTACATATATCTAATAAAATTGTGAGGAGGCGAAAAAGTCTGTTTGTCTGTTTAACTGTTTCTGTGTAAGGTTCATGGAAAAGCGGATGAAATTAGAATACACTTTTCAAACAATTTGCTGTTAAGTGTGGGTCAACGTACAGACTAAATATATTATAACAAAGTATTTGTTGAGATATTTCTAGTACTTTTACAGATTTTTAGAGAATAAATTAGTATTATTCACTAATTAATTTTAAATACTTCACATATTATTGTTAATCAATATATTTATGAAATCATAGATGGCATTGTATAATTGCTTTTATTTTATCGTTAATTGACGTGAATATATATACGTCTACAAATGTAGCGTATGAAATTGCGGGCTCCAGTAATTTCTTTTATAAATATGGATGATAGATAAATGTCCAAACTGGAACAGCCGTCTCCGCCAATCTTTAAAACTAGAATATACACAACATCTATGTAAACACTATATAGTGTGTGCAAATCTGCCTACGCTATCTCATCTTTAAATAGACCTAAGAAATGTACTAATAAAAATTATATACCTAAAAGTTTGTGAAGGCTGTACGGATAGTAAGTAGTAGCACAAGTAGTTAAGAACACAAGATATGAATAAAATCTTTGGGTTAATATATATTTTTTATTAAACCCCGGTTCAAAAAGAGCGGTATAACAAGTCGGACATATCTGTGAGCCTATCTATTGCAACGCAGCTTTTAAATTACCATAGGAATAAGATGCCCCCGTACCCTGTGATGTCATAGGAAATCATCAAGCGACTACAGCTTATAAAGCTAGCACCTTGGCGGCTGAAATAGGCGAGACAGAGAAACAAAGTCGCCTGTTATGGTAGTAGTATTCCGAAGGTTACAAATGAAGTGGCAGCGATAAGTAAGTAGTAGTAACAAGTTGCTTATAATACGCATAATATCTGCGGTTGTAACCACTAAATTATGTAACACTGGCTGTGGCCACGACTTCGTCCGTGTGGAATATTTAATAATCTACTCCAATAAACCAATACAAAAAACTTTCATTGTTCTAGCATCAAAAATGTTTTCAACGAATTTCCATACAAACTGTCTGCTCCTATTTTATTTTGCCCCATTTTTACGAATATTCATTGCCATATTTATTTATTTACTTCTAAGTTACTAACTTCTAGCTTTAAAAATTACGATACTTCCGTACAACCTTTCATATACCTTTTCGACACCAACGATGTACTACCCTGGCTCTGACCTGTATCTTCTATCCTGTAAGTTAACTGTCTAATCTGACTCTACAACTAAAGCAACTTACAAAATATGCTGCTTGGTGACTGAAATAGACGAGACTGAGGCACTCATGCAGACGTCTTACATAGTTGAATTTTGATATGATGTAGATATAATTCCACATTTCAAATTAAAAGTTATTAAATCTTGTATATTCGTAATAGAAATTTACTCCGAACTTAGTCTCTACATTTACCTGTACCATGGTAAATTACCTAAGATACCTTATTACCCTGCCTATCTTACATTTTATATGAGCTGTTTCCCGTAACTTCGTCTCCTTTTTTAGATAAAAGATAGCATTGTGTTGATACGCTCTATCTTTACGTTAAATTCCAGTAAGATCCATTCAGCAATCTTCAAAGGTATCCATCATACAGACACACATTAGCATTTTTAATATGAGTAGATACGGATATCATTTTTTCATAATGCGAATAAATCATTACAACTAAATAAGGGTTTTTATAAATATTTGGTTATGTGCTAGTAAATAATAATATTATATCTATATATATAAAAATGAATTGCTGTTCGTTAGTCTCGCTAAAACTCGAGAACGGCTGAAACGATTTGGCTAATTTTGGTCTTGAACTATTCGTGGAAGTCCAGGCAAGGTTTAAACGGTGATAAAATACGAAGAAATTGCATGTAAAATAGTAATAACAACAATTTGATTTTCCCATACAAACGGCTGATACCTGTCAAACAGGGTCCGTTCAGAAATTTATTGCGTAACTAAACTTCAAAATCTTTGACGTATTTAATTTTGTGGCGAAACGGAGTTCGGGGTGTCAGCTAGGATAAGAATTGAAATAAAAAAAACAGAGACGTGAATGAGTGGAAAACTGCACTAGTTTGTAAAATATTATGGTATAGAAAACCAACATGTAAAAATTAAAAAAAATACTAGTTCTTTTTATAACACAGTGCCTACCTACGTAAAAATATAACACTTTCTATGACTGCCAAAAAGTGTAAGCACTTGTAATACCTGAGGTTTATACCCATCTGGTCCTGCCTCGTACTCGACCAGCTGCATTCTACCATCCGGCAACAGCACATGGAACGAGCCCGTCGCGCGGTCATCCTTTCTCTTTTCGTTGTGGCCAAAATCAAGATTTACCGCGTTGTCTTGCACGTCGTAAGAAAAATCATAATTTGCTGGTAACTGCAACACATTTTAATTAAAATCAAACTATGATATGAGTGGAGTGAGATTCCTATACCATTATTTAACAAAAACCTAAAAATATTTTTTGGAATATATTCATCTCGGAAAGCTCATAGTACCTACTATAGTAAAAAAGAATATAAAAATGTCTCAAAATTGGATATATAAAAAGAATGATGCAAACTGGCAACAATAACAAAGATTTAAAAGTATATAAAGTTTTTTGATATGTAATTGTACTGGAAAAGCATACGTGATATGGTAGGTAGCGATGGTTTCCCTAGTCTCCATTAATCGCTTATCTCTCGATAGATATACTTAATAGTAATTTATACTGACACTAAAACGGACAATGTGCACGTCAAATAACTACCCTTACATGTCCTACCTATATGTTTTATTTCATTAATTTTCCATAAACAGTTTAATACTACTGATGTCGTAAGTACCTACTTATCATTAAAGTATTTACGTCAGTAGGTACATATACTGCTGGCGCCAATTTTACTTCGCAACTAATAGCAAAACAAACTATAAATTATGTACATATAATAAATCATATTTTCTGTAATAGACCAAGTTCTTCTTCTAAGTAAGCTGTCCTTACAGAAATGATTTAAAAAATAATATCATAAACATACAGACATAAACATCTATATAAGTAAGCATTGTAAATAAATTGTTTTTTTTTTAAAAAGAAATCAAATGAGTTTCTTGCCAGTCCTTCTCAATTGAATCTGCAACTGGACGGTAGGAAAAAACTATAATACAAAAAAAAAATTACATTCATAAGTAGCTAATATAAATTTTTGAATTCGAATTTGAATTGAATTTGAATTCAAACTGATTTTTAAAATTATTTCAAACAAACAATCATGAACCGTAATCCCAGATGTGCTAATCAGAGGCATTAATTGTCAACGTAATAGTAAACCCAACACTTAGCATGCCCACATTGCGGGCTATATTATAATGAACAATGACAAGGGGCGAATAAAACGACAACGTCTCTTGAAATAATTTTTGATTTAATTATTAGTGTTTCTTGCACCAGAGAGTAAATGTAACACAAAATATAAATTGACACATATTTATTGTGTTGGTCAGATGTCATCTCACCCTGAAGGGGTGTAGATAATATGACCTATAGAAAGCTATTATATCAGGGTTACATGACCTGTATTTTATATCTAACAAAATTAATTTTTCGTAGGTATCTGTAATTTTGTTATTTCTACCTGCGCGTAGCTGCGGCGAGAAAATAGACACACTGTACGGATAAGTTATTCGAATGTAATACGTATAGTAATTATAATTAAAAATTGACTGAGGTACATACAAATAAATCTTATTAATATTATTAGAAACGTGAAAGTTTATGAATATGGGTGGACAGATAGATATTTGTTACTGGTGATGAAACTTTACAGTAATATAGCTTATACATCAGAATAAACTATAGGCTATAAAATTCAATCGGGTGAAACCCCGGGCACAGCTATACAATATTCGTAAAAATATTAAATTTGAAATTTACCGTAGGCTCCGATGCCGGTTTTTTAGCACTTCCCGCGCCGCCGATCTTAGGCGGTAGGTATTCCTGACCTGATACATTTGTCCAAACCACCGTACACGCAAGTAACACCAACTGAAATTGGTAATGTAAGTTGAAAATACATGGGGTATAGGAAATAAATAGCATACAATTTACATATAAGTATAAAATAGATGTCCTAAACTTTAAGACTGTATGATAACATTTTTTGTACGAATTTTATTTGAATCTGATTCTAACTCACGGGCTGAGCCATTAATATGGATATCATATGAAAGAGGTACTCTTATAAATAATTTATAGTTTTTTTATGTCCCTTAAATTCCAAATCGCCGCTTTTGTTTTTATCAAAACTAAAACAGTAGTAAGGAGGTGCAGGATTTGCAAGACCTGTGATTTATTTAGTTTGTATTTTAGTTTAGGGTTCTGCTTCTCGTGTTTATTCTTTACGTTATGGTTGTTTTTTTTTTAATTGAGATATATTATCTTTCTCTCTGTCAAGCTAGTCTTTATATAGCGTCGTGTGACTAGTTATTTTCTTAGGCCGTATGTTTATCCAGTTGTGATATGATATTATCCAAAAACAACTTACTTTTTACATCTTTCAGACAACAAACAGTAATGAAAATACAGCATAGATAGCGATGTTTTTTACAAGAAATGACATAAATTTCTAGATTAGATAAATTATACACGTGCCTACACGTGTCTAATTATGCTATTGAACCTTGGGCCTTAAACTAATAATAGTATAAACTTACATAAAATATTGTCCACATTTTAAAGAATATCTTTGATACCCTCGAGAGAGTCGTAGCTGAATTTGGGGCTAAATAGCAATAGAAGTGTATTTATAAACCCCGACGCACAGGGCTGCGGTTGTGGTTACCACGCCTTTTGACATTTTTCATTAACTGAAGCACGACTCGACAAAATTTCGAAATTATTTTTTTATAAGAAAGTGCTATATTATTATATGTTCTTTATTGCAATTCTGACTTCTTCTCTAATTAGTTATATACTATATAAAACTAATTAGAGAAGATGGTCATGGTCTACCTTGTCTCAAAAAAACATCTCTTTCAGACTTTCAGACAGACAAAGAAAAGCATTCTTTTCAAAAGTTAATGCACGAATAACATTATGTAGAGTACTCTATATAATTAATTATATAGTCTCTATAGCACATCTATATATATAATAGAGTTTGTTCACTGCGCCTGTGCCTTAAGAGGTCTAGAGGGAAGATAAGAGTAGATGGGTATCAATCATAACCTGATTTTACCCCCATTTTATGATAGTAACTTTATAATTTCGGCGATTTATTATCCCTAAATTTAAATTAGCAATTATAATTATTATATAATTGCAGTGGACTGATAATGATGATGTAGACTAGGTATATGGTTCATACGTTTTAACATTTCTTTTCAATAATATTGCTATATTTTATAATATTCTTAATCCTTAAACATCCAGATTGGAACAGAATTATATAAAATATCTAGAGAGATATTTCATATAATTCACTATTACTATTCACGATAGAGATCGTAGTTAGGTTAACGTCACATGAGCGTAGTTGAGTATTACATGAATAGATAAAATAGGCGTTAAATGACGTATATAATAATATGTACATAGCGGAACGAAACCCGAAACCCGAAAGCGCCACCTACCGGGCTCAATTATGTCTTCCAACCATCCAGGAAATATACATACTAAATTCCATTCAAATCGGTTCAGCCGTCAGGTGACAAACACACGTGATAGGGCCCACCTGTTGGTAAGTGGTAACCGACGCCTGTGTATATGAACAGCACTACGGACTTAGTCTTGTGACAATCGTTTTGCCATCCCAGAGGAATAAGATATAATGCTTCTGAACCTATAATTTCATTGCATAATCACAACCTACAAGCAAAACAGCTTACAAAGCATCCTGGTTATAATTAATATAGCATATTATGCAATATTAATTATATACCTAACATTTTTTTAACGACCTATGAATATGACATTTATTAGCTCCAGGCGTGAGAACTATATATAGGTAATATGTATGTAGATGATCTGAGAACACCGCCAAGAATTTGAATCTCTATACCGCTTCTGATTGCTGAACTTTTCAATCAGCATATCTGATAAGATAAAACCGCATATTACTAAATAAATGGTTTTAATTTACTAAAAATTCTACTGCTATTAATATATAAATTTTTGATAACAATGGACAATAATATGACACGGCTACAAAACTCATTACATTCCCCCCAGCTGAATCACAGCTAGTCACAATGGTAATCTTGAAGGTACTGAGGAGCATGTTTAGTCCTATTGGATCTGCGAAGAATTGGAGACTCTTCAGCCAAGTTTTTAGACACATTGTCAACTTCCTCTGTTGATAAATTAGTAGGTCTTGTCTCGTTAGGAGTTGAATTAGGCATAGCCGTTGGATCACTCAAACTCAAATGCGTGTGAGCAGGGGTATGGTATGCTCAAATGGGTATGACCTCAGTTTCTAGTGAATCGCGAAGTTGAGTGATATCCTCACCGCTTGATGCTAGGTATCTGTTAGATATTGTAGTCTCTCTCCCGTTAGCCAATCGCACTAGAGAATAATGTGGATTTAAGTGCAGTAACTCCACCTCCTCTACCTGTGGTTGATATTTATTGGTTCTATTAAACCTCTTCATTAAAACCTTAAAAAAAATAAAAATTTAATTTTTTTTATTACAGTTTGAGTTGTAATATCTGAGCACGGAAAAGCGAAAGGAAAACGTGAGTATTCATCTACTATTGTGAGTATTTATTTATTCATTGTGTTACATGGGACTGGTCCCTTGAAATCTATGCTGAGTCGCTCAAAAGGAGAAGTGGCCTTTATAAGCTTCGGTTGTGAATCCGTATCTTGTCTATATCTAGGTTTTACTTCACAGCATACCCTGCATGTAGCGGTTATGGTACGGATTTCCTCTATACTATAAGGCAGGTTCTTAGTTTTCAGCCAGTGCATCATTCGAGTTACACCGGGATGGCATAAGGCTTCATGCAAAGAAAGTAACTTGGTGGTTCAAGACCCAGCTGAAGCAGAAATTCTAGATAAGGCATCAGCAGCGAAATTATCCTTACCGGCTCAATAATATCAAATTTAATAATCATTTAATAGTCATAATATCAAATTTAAACGGCGATAATTCTAGATGCCATCGTTGTTTTTTCATTTTTTATTTTACTAGTATGCGTAGCACTGAACATAAAAGACAAGGATCTTTGATCTATAATCAATTTAATTTCAACTGTTCTTAGAAACTTACTTAAATTATCGTCATGTTCGTTTTGAGTCTTGCCGCAGACGGTTATATCATCAAGATAAGCGAAGGTTCCCTCTAGTTTTTCTTTTCTAATCACCCAATCGATAGTTCTCTGAAAACTGGAGACACCATTAGTAACACCAAAAGGGATACGTTTAAATTGATACAAGTTTCCGGCTACTTCGAAGGCCATGTACGGTCAGAAAGTAATATAGGTACCTGGTGATAGGCACTCTTTAGATCAATAGCACTAAATATGGAATACTTTGATATTTTACAAATAGTGTCCTCTATGTTTGGCAATGGATAAGCATCTAACAAAGTTTATTTGTTGATCGTTTGGGAATAATCTATACGAAGACGCTTTTTATGACTTTCCGTATTGGATATATGTACTTGTGCCCGTAATGGTGATTTACTCTCTTTTAGTTTATTTACTTCCTCTTCAATGTACTTTTTATCTTCATCGCTGTTTCTCCGTGTTTTAGCAGCAATAGGTCTACAGTCTAATGAAAGATTAGCGAATAGTCGAACAGCTGGCACGGATGCCTGTGCTACATTACATACTACTAGTGGTTCTTTAGGTCCACCAATGGATAGTTCTAGTGAGGAGTGCTTCGATAAGACATCATGACCAATTATTAGATCAGTACATAGATTATTGACAATAAGTAAGCTTATATTTTCGTAGGTATGTTTACCGATTTTTATATTCTGGTACGTTTCACCAGCGACAGGGGCAGTGTGACTCAACGAAGCCATAGAAATGGTTTGATGACTTGGTTTAGTCTTGAGATTGCATAGTTTACTGAATTTTTCATTAATGAAACTTAAAGAACTGCCTGTGTCTAAAAGAGCTTCTGCTTTTATACCTTTGATATAAGCAGGGACAGTAGCTTTGATTAGAGAAAATGCAGCTATAATGCACGCCGAAACATCATCTTGTTCCGCTGTGATTCTTACTACGACACATTTTTGCAAAATGTCCCTTTTTCTCACATATTTGCAAGTGACGTGTGCAGCGGGGCAATTTCTACATGGATGTACGTTTCACTCTCAGAAGAAACATTTACGGCGACGATAAGTACTCACTACGAAATTTTCTCCCTCCATTGATGTTTCGATATTTGATTCTGAATTTTTAATCATGTTAATTGCTGGCATATTAAAACTCTGAGAATTTGTTTCAGCCATCTCCAATGAGAGCGCTTGATTATATGCTTCGCTAAGTGAAAGAGTCAAATTTTCAAGCAGCCTTTATCTTATTTTGCTTGAAGAGATACCAGAAATAAAAGCATCTCTTATGCTCTCATTCTTATTAGTTTCCGCATCTACAGCAACGAATTCGCAGTCTTTAGGTAGTTGTTTTAAAGCTTTCATATATGCATCAATAGATTCCTCTGTACGTTGTTTTCTAGAAGCAAGCACATGCCTAGCGTATATGATATTCTTAGGCTTTATATACAATGCATTTAATACCGCCATTGCTTCAGAGTATGTTTTACATTCGCTGATATATGTATATACATTTGATGATACATGATTGATGAGTAACTGTAGTTTACCTTCGTCTTGGAGTAGTAGTGACATAGTAGAGACCGCTCCATTGGCATCGATTTGCTGTTGTTGTGCTGCAAGAAAATTCTGAAAAGTTCTTTTCCAATGTTCCCAATCTCGTGATGCAGAGCTAATAGACGGGTCAACATCGAACTTATCTGGTCTGAGATATCTATCCATATTTTATAGTCGATAATTATTTAGTAAATTAAATTGATAAGATAAAACCGCATATTACTAAATAAATGGTTTTAATTTATTAAAAATTCTACTGCTATTAATATATCAATTTTTGACAATCAATGGACAATAATATGACACGGCTACAAAACTCATTACAATATCACTGCATACAAAGTTAATTATTAATCAATCGATTATTTTGAAGAAATAATAATCAATTCAAATAATATATTTTTGACTGTCGCCTTGGCCTGTAATGTTCATAATTTTTTTTTTGGTTACCACTTCACTGTGTTTGTTAAATTAGATCCGATAAAAAACGTATCTGAAATTATGAGTGATCGGTTTTAAAAAGAGATTTTTTATAACATATGGGATGCTGATATCGATATGTATCGTGCATCACTTCTATAGTAGTCTGTAGTTATAAATCTGTGGCACTGACTGTCAATCTGTCAAAGTCAAAAGTAAAATAGTAAAGATTACGAGAAAATTGACTAAAATCAGATACCGGTAGGTAATAATTTATAAAAATTTAATGCAATAAATAAACTCATAAAAACATTTTGGTGGAGATTTTAAGTACAGGACAATTATATTAATAACCACTTAGAATGAATTCTATTTTACGGAGTAGGTATAATTTTTTATGTCGGTCATTTTCCACCACGACTGTAAGACAATGTGCTGTTCCTCCAAAAAGAACCCCAAAGAAATTTTTTGGTCCAATAACATGGAAATCGATGGCTGCTACGGCTGTAATCGCGGGCGGACTAACAGGTTTCATGCTTTATGTCAGAAAGGAGAAACAAGAAGCTTTGGATCGCGAAAGGAAACGACAGCTGGGCAAAGCTAAGATTGGAGGCACATTTGAACTAGTTGACTCAGAGGTAAGTTCCTACATATCCTTTCTTCTTATAAAGAAACTAACAGGTATATGATATATTAAAGTTAAAAGAATTGGTATAAATTGAATAAGAATCATGTGAGATATTCTGTACCTCTATATCTCAATAAGAAATAAAGTGTTTTCTTGACTGACTTAACTTACAAGTAGAATCAAATATTATTTATAGATATATAAACTTTTTTAATATATATACAGATATAAAAATTATGGTTTTAGTATACTCATAAAATGAATCCACAAATAAAAGTACTAATCTTATTTTTTGTTCAATAATCTATCTGTAAATATTTGAATCTTGAGATATGTAAAATTATTATGTATAAAACATCATATATTCCTTTATGTTATTCAATTAGCCTATCCCAACTTCACTTGCGTTAAACAAAATTGATCTAGAATGAAAGAATTATTAATATATACTTAGTTCCACTTATTCTTAAAAAAATTGATACTCTTTTTGTATAATATTAGAGTAGATTTAATTCATGTTTTATTTGTAGGGTAAAACAGTGAAAAGTACAGATTTCTTAGGAAAATGGTTGTTGATATACTTTGGATTTACACACTGTCCTGACATATGTCCAGATGAATTGGAGAAACTGGCTGAGGTGGTAAATCTACATGGTAATCCATTTCTTTAGTATAAAATTGTTATCTATAATCAAGTCAAAATCATCCTACAATATTTTTTGTGGATAAATTAACATATTTAAATATAAAAAATATATTAAAGCTGTAAATAAATAGGGATATTAATATTTTTAACTTTTCCTATGGATATTGGTTTATATCTAATGATGATAATAATCAAACTGATGTAATATGAATCTCACTATCTATCACTTTTAAAAAGTTATCAATCTCCTTCAATATATGTATAATTAGAACATCTCTCTATTTTTCTTGCAATAATTAATTATGGTTTTTAAATTCTGTATTTATACCATATATTTTGCTTTAGATACTGGAGAAAAGAGAAAAATATTTTTTTTACATTGCTATAAATTGATAACTACTTTTAATAACAAAAACATGTTTTAGAAAATACAAATTAACATCATCTTAGCTTTTATTTGAGTCTTCTAAATATATTTTGTAAAGATTCAATCTAAAACTATTTCTTATCAATAGGAACTTTCTGAAAAGTACTATAGCAGAAAAATTTATGTTATGACATGCAAATTTTCACACAATGTTTATATTTTACCATTTTTGGTTCAGAATATGAAATAACTACAATGTTATAATAATGAAATGTAACAAGTTATGAAAAATAAATCATATTAGTCTTTTAAATTGTTTCATATATAGATATTTGTGTTTCAAATGAAATTTAACGGTTTCAGATAACACACCATCATCACCATCATTGCAGCCATTATTTATATCTGTAGACCCTCAGAGAGACACCCCAGAGATAGTAGGAAAGTAAGTAATAAAAAGTCTGTCTCAGCTTCCTTGATGGCAAATAATAGCAATAATCACATTTCTTATACTTTTCTTACTTAAAAAAATATTATAATATACATATAAAAACGCCCATGTCGTACCTGCTCCCGTATAAATCGGAGATTCTACACTAGAAATTGTCGATCACTATGTATACTTAGGGAAACTATCCAGCTAGGTAAATCCAATTTCGAGAAAGAGGTCAATCGTCGAATCCAACTTGGATCCAACGTGTTTGGGAAGCTTCGATATATCTTTTCGTCCAAATTTCTGCAGTGTCTCAAGACGAAGGTCTACGACCATAAGTTATAGTCTATACAGAAAATATCTTTTATAATAATAATCTCAGGATAATTCACTTAGCGCCATCAAGACTCAAGTAACAAGTAAGATAACTAATACAAATACTTTATTACACATTTATAATATGTATGTATTTTTTATATGTATAATATATATGTACATACATATTATACATAAGAAAACACCCAGACCAATACAAATAATTATACTCATGAATACCAATGTTTGTATCATGTGAGGAACCCAATCCGCGACAATCGGACGTTATGCGATGTGCCAAACTACTATACCACAGGTGTCGTCGTTTTATAACAACATACAATATATCTTTAGTAAAAATATACTTTTGTTTTTTGATTTATCAATTGTTGATGTGTTTGACATTGTGTCAAGACTATACATAGTTGTCTACAAGGGTACCTCTAATCATAGGGTAATCTATTTCAGACACGTTATATGTATGTATTCAAGCAACATGCTTTGTTGCAGATGCAGATGCAGATGTTATGATTGAAGAATGAGTGAGATAAGGCAGTGAAATTAAAGGGTACAGAGACATGACATTTGTCCTATAATAATGTGAGATAACAATGCGAGTTACAATGAGCTGCATGTGATGATGTATCCTTGGTGCTGCTCATAGGAAATGGTTGCCACTTACCGTTAGGTGGGCCGTTAGCTTAATTGCTATTTAAAATACATACCAACAAAATTGTAGTCAAATGCAAGCAGCCATAAAACATAATACAGCTTTGATTCATAACTAATTGGCATAATTTATTTATATAGATACTGCAAAGAATTCTCGCCGCGGTTGCTGGGTTTAACTGGCACCAAAGAGCAAGTACAACAGGCCTGTAAATCTTACCGTGTTTACTTTAGTGCTGGCCCACAAGATGTTGACAATGATTATATAGTAAGTTTTGTTGTTCATACTTTGAACTACTTCACATAATGTACAAGAGAGGCTAAAACCATGTCCTGTGTGTAATAACAAATAAATAACCCCAAACATACCCCACACTATAAGAGAACCACAAGGGTTAATGAAATCTGTTATTTCCACAGGCATATGATTTATAATGCAGTAATTTAAATTGAATATAATTATTCTGTGCATAGTGGTATCAGATTATAATATACTGTTGTGTACACTAGAAGAATGATGATGACTCATAACTTTGGTACATTTAAAAATTATTAAATTTCCTTTAATTTGTTTTAGGTGGATCATACAATCATAATATATTTAGTAGATCCAGATGGCCAGTTTGTGGATTATTACGGTCAGAACAGAAACGCTTCAGAAATATACAATTCAATGCTGGTGAACATTCAAAAGTATGCTGCAGGAAAAAAGAATTCATGGTTTTAATGCTGTTAAGCAAGCTAGGTATTTTTAATGAACAATCTAGGTACAAATATTATTTGTTTATTTAAGTGAAATAAATTGTTTATTTTAATTTATGACTTTTTTTAATGAAATGCTTTATACAGTTATTATATGTATGAATATTATTTGTACTAAATATTACCTGGTTATTCATTTATTGGTTTGAATATGATGAAATATTATGTAAGTCTACATTATTTCTTACTTTGACTTCGTTTTTCAGACAATTCCAAATCAGCTCATATAAAATTAGTCTATTACTGCAAATTTAAACTGTAATGATAAGGAAAAGTAAATGAGTCTGAGAATAAAAATATATATTTCAAATAATAATTTATTAGTTCTAAAAATTAGCAGTCATTTTACTGGTTATCTTGCTAATTGTAACTTGACCTCCGGAACTATGTATTTGTACTAAACTCTGATCCACTTGGTACAATTTGAGAGTTGTGCCTTCTAATACGCCTCCTGTAGTAGCTACATTCGCTATATTAACTTCCTCTTCATTCATTGTCACCAAATTGACATCACCAGTAAAACTAACATCACTGTTCATATATGCGACCCCATCACTTACACAAGTATTATTACCTTGGTATTCTATATTACTTTGACCGTCATTGACAACTAATACTTCGGTTTTTACAGCTGCATTATCTTGAACGACTAATTCGCCAGCAACTTCCAAAGGATCCCCCATCTCTGTTGACTCGAGAGTTCTATTCTGGGCAGTTATTTGTCCAATGTCGTTAGAATTCGTAATAATATATTTATCCGTGACTATTATTGGACTGCCATAGTTTATTCTCTGTACTAATACCATATCCTTTTTGTCTATTTTCTTTTTTGTTTCATGTGTTTTTAAATGCTTCACTAAATGTGATTTTGTAGTAAATTTTAGCATACATATCTCACATTGAAATGGTTTTTCACCTGTAGTCAACAAAAAAAAAAATGTTAAAGATAAAAAATGTAAAACATTAATATAAATAATAAATAAATATCCGAAACTAAGTAAAACTTTATAGTAACAATAATATTTGAATTAATTGGAATAGTCTTAAATATATCATACTCTTATAATAATAATATATTAAAAACAACAAATCTTGTAATTTTGTTTATATAGATCTATTAATTTTAAATAAGACTAATAAAATAATACTATACCTGTATGCATACGACAATGATCACGCAGTCGTGTGGCGTTGATGAACTTTTTAGGACATACGCTACAAGCAAAGGGTCGCTCGCCTGTGTGGGATCGCATATGTACACTTAAATCCATTCGAGCAAACCTGTCAAGAAAGATTTTACGGGCTCTGAAGATTCCATGGTATATTTAATGACCTGCTTAAACAATAGTACTAGTTATGGTTTTAAAACCTGCAATAAGCAATAGATGTTATGGTATGGTATACGTTTTATACTATCGTATATAATTGAATTTGTATTTTATTTTTTATTCATGCCTTAACAAGGAATACATATTTTATTATTATTCACAGCGCCTGAAAAAAGTAATAGTAACGAGTTGTTTCTTGATACTTAGTATAAAGAAAGAGATCATAATATCAGTTTATACTATATTACAAAATGCCGCTAATTGAATATATTCCTATTCTATATATAAGCTCGACAAATTATGAACAAGTAGAAGGCAGGGTCGCAGGTTGTTGAAAAAGATAATAAATATAATTAAATTATACCCGAGAGCACAGTGAAAACTATATTTACACTATAATTAAAAAAATAAAATCATTTATTTCAAAGTATAATATACCTTTTTCCGCAAATATTACAGCTGTACGGCTTTTCCCCGGTGTGAGTACGTTGGTGGCATTTGAGCGACGGTCCCGATGTGAACTTGCGATCACACATATCGCAGGAATAAGGTCTCTCGCCTAAAATATAAACAAGTACATGGATCATATCTATACATATTATACAATAGTCCCACATATACACGTAACTGATTTACACGTATTTTCACTCAAAAGTAAAACCTGACAAATGTTTAGTTATAATATACACAGGACATATTTTATGGACTGTTGTATTTATAGGTTTACTTCGACAATGAATGACAAAGGCTATGACATTCGTCGTTTGTCCATAATAAGAGTCGCATGTATCGACTGCTGTAGTAGCCTTGGTCATTAACAAAGTGCTGTTTGTCTCTATGATCTCATGTTGCCCATATCACTTATAGACAAGGACATAGATGGCGTGTCTCTCAACTTAGTCTGCCAACTAGAATACAAATACGTATCACCTTGGTTTTGTTTAAGTTTATTGCTATTCAACTATAAAAGAGGTAGGCTATAATAATAACTATACAGAAAAAAGCTAGAAGGAAGAACCACATTATTGCATGAAAATAGCCATGCAACTTTTCCTGTTAGGTCTTATAATAATGCAATATGTTATTATCTATATATAATAAAAATGTAAAGGATAGGTACATGAAAGATATATGTATGAAAACAAATTGTTACTTCGAGACTTTATCAACGTAATAAACGTAAATACCAAATTAATGATTGATAGTATTTTCGGTTGTGAGTTCTGAATATGCTGTGCTAAATACGCTCAGAAACGGCGATACGATTTTTACTAATGTAAAGTACATGCAAGCTTCATTTAAAATTTAGTTATTCCAATCGGTTTTCAATTATAAAAGTTGTACGGGTACAAATTCGCAGTGATAGCTAGAGTTACAATATACATGTTACCTGTATGTGTCCGTATATGCAATGTCAGATTGGAGTTCTGTATGAATCTTTTTCCACAGGTGGAACAAACGTACGGTTTCTCGCCGGTGTGGGTACGATGGTGGGTGTTTCGTGTCGACTCGTGGCGGAACCTATTTAAATATATAATATATGAAACCATATGTTACAGTATCAACTAGTCTTAAACTAAGTAGAGATTACAAATATGAGTACTAAATAAATCGATGGGCAATATTACCAAACATAGCGCTGTTGGATTGCAGAATATATTTGTGGTACAAATTACTCGATAAATAAAGAGGGAGTTTTTATTTATCGAGTAATTTGTACCACAACTTTATTTTATACAAACTATTCTTAATGTATTATAGAGCGCCATTTATTTCCGAAGCAATGTTGATCTTTCTAGACTCGACTTGCTCTATGTGTATTAGATAACTGATAGAAATATTTAACGAAAGGCGAAAAAGAGCGCTAAAGTGTTACACCGCCAATAACATGATTGTGATCTGTTTGTGTGCCAAATTTAAGTAAAATCCACTCAATTCTTTTATAGCACAGTGGACAAATGAGCTTGCGGTTCACGTAAGTTAATGTAAGTTATTACCGTCGCCCATGAGCACCCGCAACACCACGGAAATTGCAAGTGCATTGCCGGCCTTTTAAGAAGGAATAGGTTCTTTTCTAGACGGTTTCAATATAGTATCTGTTCGGAAACATCAATGCTGGAAGGTGATTCAACAATGTTGTGCGTAGCAAAAAGTTGCTAGAAAACCTCAATGTGGAGGAACGCCATTCATTCAGATCATCGGATGGTATTTTAGTTTCTGACTGATTGTACGGTGGTTGTATATGCGAGTACGAAACTTACAATTCTAGAAAAGAGGGGGTTTAGAATCAAGCACTAGGGTTGGTTACAACGGGTATGGACGGTAGGAAAAAAAATAGAATATAAAAATTTTTACGTTCATAAGCGGTTAAAATGTCCTACATAAAAAAGGTTTATTTAATTTAAAAAATTTGAATTTATGGGAGTATTACAGGTAATTTGCCAAATTTACCTTTTATCGCAGTAGGTGCAGGCGTAAGGTTTGCGATCAGAGTGTACTAGACGGTGGGAGGCGAGCAGGCGCGGCGAAGGGAACGTCTTGCCACATGAACACACGTACGGTCTCGCACCGCTGTGTCCCGCTATGTGCGCCTCCAGGAGTTTACTCTCGCTATATCTGCACATCAGTATAGATGGCTTCTATTAAATTTTAATAAATAGTAGTCTAGTAATTATTTATGGTAGAAATTCGCCACCGGGCGAATCCAGTGGTCGAAATTTAACTGCTGTATGCATCTGCAATGCGTTATAACATTTTTATATAATATAATAAAATCATTAAAAATCTTACGTGTTAATCAAGTTAATCTTTGTTAGTAGAGGATAATTTTGAACTTAATGCGTCGTCATGCATTTTTATTGTATTAATTTTGTAATAAAGGCATAATAATAAATAACATATTAGCAGAGAGAGTGGACTCACCGCCCCCTCTGATTTATAGACCGTTTAAACTCTATTGTCTGTTGGTGTATGTAACACCTAATTTTATTATATCAGCAATTGTTAGTTTATTATTTCAGACAAATAAAAATTATTATTATTAATATTAGATATTGTCTAAATTTGTGTATGGAGGCTCGGTCATGGCTGTCCAGTATGTCAAGTTTATTGAATCATAAACTCTAAAGATTTATATCTAATTATTACATTATGACTAGATTTACCTCTTGTCACAGATATGGCAAGCGTGTTTCTTTTCAATCGTCTCGCCGGTGTGAACCCGTATGTGCCGTCGTAGAGCATAAAGTTCCGTGAATGGTTTGCCGCAAGTTTCACATGCATAACGCTTCAGATCCATATGCCTCTGAATGTGACGATTCAACATTGATTTTGCTACGGATTGAGAAATGTTTTTGTAACTAGATTTTATCAATGTGAGTTAGGTTAATTTAGTAAATTTATAAGCCAGGAGAGCGCTAAACGAACCTTTGGTTTTATTTATATTGAGCAGGGAATATAATGTTGCTTATCACATAAAGCATGTGCTTGCCGGGCATTTAGAGAAATGTACTTTTGTGGAATGATTGAAAAAAACATTCGAATCATTGGCAATAAGGAGTCAAAAATATTTTCTAATTTATTATTTTAATGTGCTTAAATACATTCAGAAATGTATACAAAGTTCTTTTTATTTTGTTAAGCCTCAATAAATACTTGTAAATGCTGACCTTTAAATTCTTTCTGGCATTTATTACATCTCCATGTTGGGCCTTTTTCGTGTAGTGCAGAATGTAATCTTAGATCATGTTCAGAACTAAATGAGTTCTGGCACTGTACACAGGAATATGAATTTTTTGAGTTCTCATGCTTTTTCATATGACTTCTAAGTTGTTTTACCCTAAAGAATATCTAAAAACGAAAGGCAATACTGTAAAAGCAATGAAGTATAATATGAAAACAGTAATAATAATAACTGGATTGATTGAAATGGGACAACATATTAAGGATTAATTTTTCCTAAAGACACAGTATGTGAGTCAGTATCAGTGAGAATTACTAATATTAATAAATATTAGGATGTCACCAGGATATTACAATATTCAGATATTACCAGTTTAAGTATACAATTACTATATATTCCTCTTATTATTTACCTTTGAACAAAATAAGCAATTATAAGGTTTTTGTCCTTTGTGAAGAGATTTTTTCTTTGTAATCACATTTCCCAAATATGTATTGCAATCTGCAACAGAAAGTATTATTACTAACAAATTTATAGGTATTAGTAAAAATAAATAATATTCATTGTTTTAATATAAATTATGATTTGTTTAAAACTTCAAACAATGACTAATAGAGCCCAAAACAGTATAGTTGTGAATAAAGAGAAGGTTGTACTTTGCAATGTATAAATACATAAACCAAAAAAATCTTGAATTCAAATATAAATGAAAGTTAATAATTAATAATTATAAATATTATTAACTAACATACCTGTGATAGTTCTATTACTCTTTCTGAAAATAAAACAAGGTGTAAATACTAGAGACTTTTTTAATTGATGATATTGGAAAGGTTCACCCGCTAACGGTATATGCTAGCGGGCAACCATTGGAAGATGATAAGATGAGTTTGTAAGATATTCACAAGGAATTAACCACAATGCTTTCCAGGGTGGACCATGTGGAGGTGATCTGACATGATACATAGTTAGTAATGTGTCCCATTTTTTAATAATTCCCTCCCCCCGACTAGAGACTATTGATAATATATAATTATCATCATATCACTATGGTAATCTTGTATCTTACCAAACTTCAGATATCTTTACATGGAAAGTTTAGATAGTCCATTTTCCCAAACTATCACTAAAATGGGAATTACATTTGTAAGTTTGTGAATTGAAATAAATCTTTATTTTGTTACATAACTACTTCATATATATTTACAATAAAATTATGTAACATTAACAAAATCTAATGTATTGTACAGGAGAACCAACTGTCTTCTAAATAGTTTCAATTTCACACGAAAATTAATGAAACCAAAGTTCTCTTTTTGACAAATCTATTTTTGTTTAGATACTAGTAATTTACCCACTTTTTAGTTCCTTTTGTGTGTTGTACTATATAAAGACCTTCATTGTCACTTGTAATGCCATCAATGTCCTCCAGATATTCAACATCTGCAATATATTATATGTAATGGTAGTAATTACATTTGCAATCTTTTAAAAATACTATTGAATTGGATAATGTAAATAATTAGGAAGTACCTCCTAATACTCCTAATACGTAAATAATTAGTAAGTAGTAACAAACCTCTTATTTCAGAATCATCCTTAATTGTGGATTCAACTAAGGTCTGTTCCTTAATTACATTTTCTACACTGAAAATAATAAACAATTATTTCATTATAATACAAAAACAAATACTCAAAGCTATTGCAGGATGTCCACTTGGAATTAAAGTTTTTGTATATAATAGTTACAAAACTTAATTAGTAGAAAATAATAAATAAAATATTTAAAGGTATAATTTTATTTTATTTACTTTAGACTTTATTGTCACTACTCATAATATTACTACTAACAAATACAATATTAGAACTAATATACTGATATAATAATAAAATAATATAGAATAGTCAGAATATTTAGTGACCTTTAGGTCTTATGATATGAGTGACCTTCGGTTTAATGATTTTTCACTGAAGTACAATTTTATTTGTACCAGAACACTGCCTAATTCGCTGAGGGCTGAATAATACTATACAATGACTATCAATACTTACACTTTGTTAAGAAGCTCTTTAGTAGAAAATTCCTTTAGCAATGACTTCAGTGTAAAATGAGATTTTTCACATTTAACCTTAAATTCATAACAATATTCCACTTGTGATCTACATAACTCACAAATTTGTAAAGGCAGATCCTCCTCTGGACAATCCTGAGAAAATAAATTGTAATTGAAGAAATAATATAAAAAACTCCTTAACTAATTGATATTTTTAGATACAAAATGAATATAAGTGAATTTTTATATTATATGTATGAATGTATATGGAATATAACTGTACCCATGTAATACACTGTAAATATGTTAAACTAGTGATTTATACCAAATAGTTTTCTTTTATTTGTTTTCACACTGTTCCCAAATTTAACAAAGATTTAATTACAACTATTAATTTTAAAAATATTATATTTGTCTTGGTTAAACATTTTAAATCATATAAAAGTGTAACAGTAGTATGATGATGCCTGGAACTCAATGGAAGCATTGTACAAACTTAAAAAAGTCAGATCAGGTCTTATGTTCTTAAACAAAATGCAATCAGATAAATCAGTGAGTTATTTAATGGATATAATCTTACTTGAATTGATGTGAATGAAGACAACATGCATAACACAGCAGATTCTTTGTTATCTATCAGGGGAATCATATCATCGCCTATGGTGAGGCATATACGGCACACGTTTTGCAAGTTGCAATCACTCGAACTGAGATAATCTAGCAAGGCGAAAGGAATTTCAATTGCAATGCTATCACTTAGATCATCATCTTTCTTTTCGTTGGTATTATCCTCCATGTTATTGCAGCTCAATATATAATTATATTTTATACCAATTACTACTAATTTGTTTGTCAGCAGTAGCTAATTTTAAAACTTATTTTTAAATCGAATAGAAGCCACCAATTACTATTATTACTATTATTATGCTGGTAACTTGGCTAACGATATAGTTAGAAAAATATATAAATATTGAGACAGTATGAGTGTTTTCTTGAATTTATCAGTAACCAGTAGTAAGAATATCACAAAGTTGCTTGACTTTCAAAACAAAATATACGATAGTAACAAACTAAAAAATACAAATAGATGTTATTATTTAAAGTCGTATTTTTAATTAGACGAAGCTAACTGACAGTAGCTAATGTCACTTTGTAAAATAATGTTGCCATATTGAAAGTAATAGTGATGCGTTCAGTTCTTGGTCAGATGAATGAACAATGAGTGTGAATAGTTTAATCATTTCAAACTACAGAAGAATATTATTTCTATTTTACAATAAAATTGTATAAATGTGCTTTGATATAAGTTACTAGTGGTATGTAACTACAATCAGTTTTTTGACGGCTTATTACAAAGCGCGCGGCTACTAGTGCCAACACCGATCAACGTCGCGAGCGATTTTGTTCGTAATTCGGCTTCTAACCTCTGGTCTAAGAGTACGTTTTTTTTGCGCTCACGCTGTTTTGTTAAGTTTTTCTTTATGTTGTGTTTGAGGTAATTGTTGTTTATTGTATATTTGCTATATTGTTTCGTACAAACAATATGGATTCTCAACCAAACACGTCAAGCCAACGCTTGTCTCTAAGAAAGAAGAGACTATGGATTGCTTTAAGCGTTACCGAAAAACTGATGAGACAATACGTCTACAAACACGTCTTTGAGGCGAAAGCTGCTTTACTATTACCTATTGAGGCTCCTGAAAAAAAAGAATGTATTTCGAAAACAGCTGACATTTTGGGAATTGGTGTGACCTCAATCTACAATGTATTAAAAGAACAAAAAGAAAATGAACAATTTAAGTCTCCGGAGAAATGTGGAGAACACTGTTTCAAAGATAAATTATTGACAAATTTTCAAACGAAACACTGTTTCAATGAATAAAAAAAATTTTGTAATAAGCGAAGTTTTTTATTTTTATTACCTAACTATATTATGTTATATATTGTTATATTATACATCTATAGTTTCAACTACATGATGTATTGTAATTAGGACAGTCTTAAAAGTTTCCTCGCAATTTTTTTCTTTATGTTTAAAATACTCGGTATTCAGTATAGGTATATACTATAGGTAGTCGTCGAAAACTCGTACCCGATATCGGCAGTTCGGCGGACTAACTATTCACTAAACTAAACAATCGAGGCAATTGCATTAATTCAGGAGTTTTTTCAATTATTCACATTGTCACAACACTATTTTTATTTCATCAAATACTGACAACACAGTAAACGTCAGTTGACTTCGTCTAATTAAAAATACGACTATATAAATCATTTATTATGTATGATTTTTTTTTGGTACGGTTTTTCCCTACTCAGGGAAAGGCAAAAGGACTCAGCTCATACTTTTGAATGATTGTGATGAGACTGATTAATTGATATGAATGAATTGATTGATTATGAACGAACCAATGAACATACAGACACACGTTAGTTATTATGTCAGTGTCATATTGCGAAATGTCAGGTATAATTTTACATCATTCATTCAAAGTAAAGAAAATAATAAAAGAATAAAAATTAAAATAAAAAAAAACTATCCACAAATATGGCACTACGTTTAGTAAGCTATTTTAAGAAGTTTTCTTTTATTACCACTACCATTCCATTATTATCCCTAAAAACCCACCCGGAGGTTGTTGGCCCCGGAGTAAAGGCCGGCAAAAATGAGTTTTTTTATGGATGGTAATGGAACGGTACACCTGCCTGCGCTAACGGTTTACGCTGACGGTGCACCAGTGCAGGATGATAAGATGAGCATGAGGTCAGGTCAGTTAGCCCTTCGTGACAAATTCACCAAGATTTTATCACGATGGCTTCCAGGGGGAACCGCGTGGAGGTCAATCTGACATGTTACATTGCGAGTAATAAGATCATCAGTCCACATTACTAACAATCCCTCTTCCCCCCGAGGCAAAGGGGTTCGCCCCGAGATCCCAACCTTCACCCTAGGAGGATGCGGATGTCCAGACAGTCAGTCAATCATCTGTCTGTATGGGTAGAGTTCTCTTTGACTCTGTTCATCTATTTAAAGGAAAGACAACCTTTCCTCTAAACAGAAGAACAGAGCCAAAAGAAATCATATGTTGTACATTCACGACTGTTATCTTATCTTATATTGAGTATCTAGTCGTGAACCATTGTTAATTTTCGACATGTTGATGAACGTAACATTTGTTTGAGTATATTTGAATTTATCCTGGAAGGAGTGGAGCCAACCATCGCCAATTGGCATAATATATTATAGTTTATTGTTGATGTTTCCATCACCAGAAATATAAATTGACACAAAGATTACTGTGAAACAAATAAAAGAAAAAAAATACAAAGATTTTGGGTGACCACTAGATTTGGATTGGTGATCTATTGACTAAAGTCGGAATGTAAACCACTGTAGGTCATGACGTTCTCACTTGAAAGTCATACTCATCCTTATTTCATTGGAGCCCAACTTGTTATTAGGGCAAGCAGGATTATTTTTCCGTTTTAATTTAAACAAATTAAATTTAATATTGTACAATGACCGATATTAGCGATCATTGTACAATATATTATTTCTGTGCAATTAAATTAAATTAGGTAATAATTCACTACAAAATCGCGAATATTCGCAAATTGTAACATTGATAAATAATTTTGAAAATACTAGGATAAGAGATTATAGAACAGTTGCGAGGTAACAGATTGAGCTGGTATGGGCATTTTATGCGGAGGAACGAGAATCATGTCTTATGGAAAGTGTATAATATGAATGTGGATGGATGTAAAGGGAGGGGACGCCCTAAGAAAAGATGGATGGATTGTGTGAAAGGTGATATGAATAAAAGAAGAATATGCTCAGATATGACGACCGATAGAGAGCAGTGGAAGAGAATGACATACTGCGCCGACCCCAAATAATGGTATAAGGGCAAGGCAAAGATAATGATGACTAGGATAAGAGATTAATATCACCGTTGTGTGCTAAATCACAAATACAATTATACATACCTAATACAAATAAACAATCAAAGGTGGCCAGATAAGTTCAAAAAAGTCATAGATGAGGTGAGTTCAAATAGCGATATAGCATTTATTATTAAAATGTATCTACGAGTAGGTACTCGTAGATAGTTTTAAACAATAATTTTCTACTCACAAGATTTCATCATTTATTGCATAAACTTACGATTACGCGTGATAGATATAGCTAGGGGTGATAGGTCTAAAAATTGCAGATTATTGAATACCACCCGCTACTTCTTTAGTTTTTTGAGATAAAACATAGACTATATCATAACATCTATCTGCATATCTTTTAGTCATTAATAATAAACCGACTTTCATTTCAGTTTATAATATTTGCATGGACCTATTTACATATGTACCTATGTATGAAAGTAGTGCTTTATGAAACCATTAATGGAACATTATCACTGCGAATAATATAATAAGCGAGTACGTTGGTATATATATATATATATGACTACCGCAGAAATTCCGCCTTAAACGTGTTTAACAATCATTAATTGAGCGTTTTTTTTTAATGTACCTATTTGTCTATGTTGTGTAAGAACTTTATATCTATAATAATTTATGTCCACAATAACAAATGAAACAAATAAGTATAACAGTTGTATGATACGATGATATTTTGGCTTGTTCTTACACTATAGTTTTCTAGAATTTACTAGTTTTTTCACTAGTTTCTATTTCTATTTCTATTATGTATCCTCAACTAGTCGGGTCTTTATTGCCTCGAAAGGTAGCAATTTTTAAACAAGTGAACTCACCTTTCTTTGCATGGGTACCGAACTAAGAAATATTAGTACATGAATAAGGATTGCAGTGTTTGTTTATTATTTCAAATTAACAGCTTCCATATAGTAATAATATTTATTTATTTAAACCATCATCAGTACAGTACAGTTTGATGCAGTTCTGACTCCCAAACTAGCGTGAGCTGTATATTATGAGGCAGTACCTATACTTGAGAAGATACTTGTCAATATTTAACTTTATAGTGCTGAGGTATGTATGTAGGTATGTAGGTATACCCAACGAGTTTAAAATCCGTCATAGGTGCTGGAAACTTAATTTCTCTATACCAATCTTTGTCTTACTTCAGAGTAAAATGTATGAATTTGCTTATGGGTACATCTGAGTATCAAGACCTACCAAAACTAATAACACGGTCTCCGAACGTGCTCAGATAAGCGGCTATCTTTAAATTTGCAAGTAACGACAATTTAATAATAAATAATTAAATTAATTACATGATTAGGAGCATTTATGTTACTTTTATAAACTTTGAAAATATGGAAAGCACAGTAGCAAATAAATCCACACTTAGGTAGCTACCCTCCGGTAATTTGTGAATGTAAATTATCTTGTTTGCTACCTACCAAGACAGAATGAAAATAATGAGAATGATACCGTCACAACATAACATGTTGATAGGGGTAATTATTATTTTGTTAGGACGTATTTTGCCCCTCCAGATAAGACTGACCTCAGATAATACCGTTGGAAGTTAGTGTCGTGAGTGGCCGGCAGCGGGCGGGTGTGAATACTCGAGAGGGTGACCAGTGCGTTGTAGATCGTGAGTGCCCACAATATACTTAAACACCGTGGAGATTGGACCGTTGGGCTGCAGACACTACCGCTGCTCTAGTCTCCTTCAATATGTTCATTGGCATCACTTCCAGTGGAGGCAACGTCAATTCTCACTACGATTATTTAATTTGAACACCGAGGAGGTAAGACAATATAATAGATTAATCTTATCATAGGTCAATTTAGCTGGGTTGAAATCGTTTATAAATACATGAGCAACTTCGATAATAATATATGTATCTATATAGCATCTATCTTAGCTCATTTTATAAAATATTGTGCTAATGCACATGTCATTATTAATTATGTTCAGTAAAATATCATAATACATTAAATGTAAATTAAGCAACACGTTACTTATGACTTCTTATTATATTATGAGTAATAAATAAACGAACAATGCCAGGCTTTTAAATATTATATGTAAATAAATTTCATTTCAGACGTTATTCACTAGCCTACACCTACATATAAAGCAATTAAAATGGCGTTAGATTTCGTAGCTGGATGTATTGGAGGTAAGTCGTAATTGTAAATTATTTTAATTCAGATGTACCAAACTATGAAACACCTATTCTACCAAAGTATAAACAAATTATGTTTTTTCAGGTTGTGCTGGAATAATAGCAGGTCATCCTCTAGACACTTTGAAAGTTCATATCCAGTCAGGTCGAGGAAGCCCTTTGGAATGTACCAAGGCTCTCTTTAAAGGTGGAACACTAGCGGCATCATACCGTGGCATTGGCGCACCTTTGGGAGGTGTAGCAGGTGTGAATGCTATAGTTTTTGGAGTATATGGGCATACGAGACGAACAATGCCGAACCCTGATTCGCTAACTTCACATGCAGTAGCTGGTGGCTTAGCTGGTCTGTTCCAGAGTTTTGCTTGTGCACCTATTGAATTAGTAAAAACTCGACAGCAACTTGCCACGCCTAGAGAAAACATGCCAACAGGAGCTCTGTCAGGAGCTAGACATATTCTACGTACGGGAGGCATCAAATCACTTTATCGCGGACTAGGTATTACCATAGTTCGTGATATTCCGGGTTTTGCAATTTACTTCACTGCTTTTGAAGTCATGACGCGTGGAGATCAATCTGTGACAAGAGTATTTACTGCAGGTGGTTTAGCTGGAGCGTTGTCATGGTGGGTTCTCTACCCAATAGACGTTGTGAAGTCAAAATTACAAGCAGATATCATAGGACGTTACTCGGGTTCATGGGACTGTTTCATGCAGGCGATAAAAACGAATGGATGGCGTTGTTTGACACGTGGTTTGGGTGCCGTGACTATTCGAGCGTTTATATGTAACGGGGCCTGTTTCACAGCAGTGGCGTGGACTGAACGGATTTGGCAGAATTGTGCCTCCGAGATTGCAGTGCATACGTTAGTACAAGCTGCCCCTATCAGTGAAACTACTCCATCCGATAACACAGACCGACACTATGACATATAAATATTTTAATATAAGGTTGGGCCTTGAGCATTGTGCATTTAATATCTTTACATATAATGCTTATGTGATAATAGTTAATTAATGATAATTCCAGTCATGTATATCTATTCGTATAGAGCCCGAGATGTTTACATATATATACAAAAGCTCTGTACTAATTCAATACAGATTTTTTACATACAATAATTCGTGAAGGTTTGCAGATTTACGAAGTATCTTATGAGAGTCTGTGAGAAACCGTTCTTATTGGCAATTTGTACTGATTAGACTGGATGTAACATTACTTTGTTTTGTAAACAAATACAGTATGTTGTATACGTACTAGAGTGCTATAAGGTATTGCTTTTGTGATTAAATATTAAAGCGATGTTCCTTATTTATTTTAATATACAAAATTTCGGCTATGGAAAATAAAGACATTAAATTAATTTAATAAGTACAATATACGCATAAGAAAAAATTTATACAATTTTCAAAAACTTGGGAATGATCCACATAATGATAATATTACAACATTATTATAAATAAGCCAAAAGTTCTACAATAATTGTAAATATTTAAAAAATAATAGACTGTTACGGTTTAATTTTACAGAGATAATAATAATTTGACTCTACTGTTATATTTATTATTGGTTATTATGATGTGGTCTTTAACAAGACATGAGGTACTTCGTCAACCAACAGGTTCGTTCAATTACATCTGAAAACCAAAGAATGAATGTAAATACTACTACTAATTTTGGCATTTTCTACTATTTATACATGACTAATAATGCAATGCAACGAGTAGCTATACTCGTATAATATATTCAAAACTGATTTATATGATTCTTTTAATAATAATAAGTACATTTACTATCTGTTTATCCTAGCTTAGGTAGGTACTATGGACTGAAATCTAAAACAATATAGATGTACACTTTTTTACATAGGTTTTAGTAGGCCTCTATAGCGTTTATATAATTTTCATCTATAATAAAGAATTTTGTCAGTACTGATCTAAATCAACGTAGGCCGACTTAAACTCGCGATTTTTAGGGTTTGTCTACATCTCCCTATCTCTAATTGTTATTTACTGCAATATGAATGTTGTTTATAGTCATTACAGTACAATTTGATTTATTTCTCTTAATTTGATTCTAATTACCGTGTTCCTCAGAATTATATTTCATTTATCTGTTTACTGGTATTTCCTGGTTGCATGTTGTGATTACAGTATCTAGTTTATCATCATAATATTTATTATGTATATATAGATTATCACATTACATGTTAGGTAGGTACTTAGCTTGACTGGTATGCACATTCTTTATAAGAATAATAATAAATTTTTAAACTTGCCCGCTAAGTTCCGATTTAACCTCTTATTTTTAAAATTGCAACCTAACGTCTAACTTATATAGTTTATTTGTTATTTAGTAAATTTGACAAAATATTTAACAAAATAGTTATGATATAATAGGTCTATATGATGTTTCAGATTTTATGAAAAGTATTATTAGATAAGCATTAGAGGTTTGCCACGGGTCTAGAATGGTCTTGTCTGGGTATAGGACTACCTACGTAGCATTATTCTAAAGTATAAGAATTTTCAAACAAATGTTTTAGTGGATGCTTGATAAATAATTTAATACTGTACCAAAATTTTAGCTTTCTTGAATTAGTTGGGTTAGTTGCGTGTTGATAGTCTGTCAGGACAAACTGTTTTATACGTATAGGTACATATCAGTACATGAAAATAAATCCATCCACAAAATTTAATAAGCACGTATTTTTTTATGGCAACAGAAACTGATGTTGTTGAAAGCCCAAACGTCGTCACGTGACAGTGTACCATTCACGTTTTGCCATTCCAAAGGACTTAGGTATCTGTAGGTATTACATTGACACATCTTATCTTACCGCCTAAACACAACTTCGCGAGAGAAATAGCCGAGGTAGAATTAGGTACTCATGCAAACAACTCAGAATTGGGTAGACTTTGTATAAAGTCTAGAAAGAGAACAAATAACCGTCAGGTTATTTCTTCTCAAACATACCGCCCCGACATAATCATAATGAGTCTACCTGGATATGTCTACATATGATTATTAATATAACTATATAACTAACACTAATAATTTTATAATAAATACGTTTCGACTAGTCGTTGTCACTATATTAATGTGAACTTAACGCAACAGTTTAAAAAATTAGTATGTCTATATGTGGTTTTATATTAGTATTAGTAATCTTATTTTTTTAAATTACATTATAAACTAACCAACGGATCAGGTTACGAATGGTTGGTTCAATCCTGCTCCATGGCTTGGGGCGGCGGGGGTGGGGGTAGGGGTGGCGGCGGCGGTGGGTGTACATCGTTCGCCGCCTGGTTCTCCATCAGTCCAAGCTGTTCCAGCATATCATCGTTGTCTTCTATCAGGTGAACCTGTTCCAACTGCGTTGTTTTATATCAGAAAAAATCAGTGTAATCCAGTTTCACCAAGTATTATTATAGCGAATAAAAAAGATAACCTTTTTATGAATGATGTAAGACCGTACATTATAGTAAAAGAATAACCATTTTTATAATCAGCGAAGTAGCTAGCTTGAAAATATTTATTATCACTCGTCTGTAGAGTTCATTGTCCCCAGTGCGGTGTTTTAAAACCTGGTATCGCCAATATTCTTCAGTTTACATAAACGCATATAATAAATAACCTGTATTTGCCTTATAAGTATTTATACATCTTAAATTGAAGAAAGGTTAATTACTCTGAAGGATATTAAAAATCTACATATATAGATTCGGCATCATACTATATGAAAATATAATATAGTATAGTACAGATTTTTTAAAGAAATACACAGTACACACATTATCTGTATAAGTATGTCAATGTAATTAAGGAACAAATATTTACAGTTGCATTTCAATGATCAATTATAAATATAGAAATGTGATAAAATTCCTACACTGCTTATGACCCTTTCGTATTGCTGCGGGTCACACATTATTACCAAAAGCTTTTCGAATTTATATCGAGCGAAGTATCGATTATTTATAAAAGTGTGATTGGTAACAATCTAATAAACGATTTATCTGTCTATCTGTTTACCGCATCTCACAAATATATGTAAATGAATAAAGTATTAAAACGCATCTAACATCAGGTAGCGCAGTACGGTGCTGACCGTGCCTCGCGGTTTCCGATAGCAGGATCTTCTGCCGCTTCTCTTCCATAAGCCGTTCCCGGTGTTTGTGTATATAGTCATATACATTCGGTAGCCCCATGATCACACAAGCCGATAGTGCCGACCGATATATATTCATGTCGGTCGCCTCGTACCTGTTTTTAAGATTGATTGATGTTCAAGATTTTTTCTTTTATTTTTAATATTCTATTTGAGCCCACTACTTCATACCCTCATAACTTAAAAAACAATTGTTTCAAAACAAACACAAAATTTTACGTGAACCTTACCGCAATACATTATCATATTGAAAACCGCACTTAAATCGTTGCTGAGATTTGCATGCGCTTAGTGCATAGACATACATACAAAAATTATAGCAATTTTTGTTTTGGGTTTATATTACGTTGATAAAGTCCCCTCCTAACAATAGTTTTTCTCCTATATCTTTCATGTAGATATAGAAAGTGATCAGTTTAAATTTTTATATGTATTAGAGGTTTTTTAACCAGCCGTATATATTACAAAGTTTATTATAACACAAAAATCGTCGAAAGCTAAGAATTTGTCTTTTAACTTAGATAACTTTTGTACATAGTTATTATTATTATAATATTCTGTGAGTGTTTGATATTATTACTTAATATCAGTTACGAACAGACAAACAAATACATTATTTCGCTTTGTTTTTATACGATAATTATATCAACATGTTTTGTACTTTTGACGATGAATAGATAAAAACAGTGCGGCGAGTTATTCTATTACTTAATTAGGTACTTAACTTATTACTCTATTGTATTTACATTAAAATGGCACAAACCACTCATTAGTTCTTTCGTCATAACATTCCACATGATATATGGTTGTAACACCATTGAAGCCACCAATGGCAAATATCATGTCGTCGATGACTTCAATAGCAAAATTACTTCGAGGGTTATACATATCGGGAACTGGAGCCCATGTATTCGCAATTGGATCATATACTTCGCCACTGCACATACGCGAGATTCCATTGAACCCACCTATCACGTAAATCTACAAGATAAATATTAATATTAAATGTAGCTTATAAATTTGAAGTATTTCTTAATTGTAGGTGTCGCCATTATATACTGTACCTATGAGTACATATAATTGAAATATACATATAATTGAAGTATACCTATATCTATACTGTAAACATATAAAAAATGTAATATTACAATTTCTGTCAATTTTCAAGTCTGTAAGTTTGTACACGCATCACGTAAAAACTACTGCAGGAAATTAACTGTAGTTTACACCAATGTACCTATAGCTAGATGTCTGACTCAAATACCTACAGGCTTTATTTTACCGCAGGAAAATATCTGATTCCAAGCGTAGTAAGGGCAAGTCACTAGTATCTAATATAATTTATATACAAAAATCAGAGTTACATGCAAACGTTATCTTTCACAAATGGTTATGTAGTAGTTAGGTTTTCGAACAAAAAGGTACATAAGGCAACACCGTTCTTTGGATCGTCAGGCTAAGATGTCAAGAGGCGACACAACTGACATTGACGGATACAAAAGTGTAAAGGAAAACTCAAAATTAAAAATCCTATACCAAACTTTATCGCCAGTAATATATGCTCTTCTCTTCCTTCCTTCCTTCTTTTACAAAATGAGATATAATGACTGTGTATACCCACCAATGGGACGATAAAATATAGCTAGATATATATGTTGGATTTGTTATAGGGTAAAAAGTGATTTAGTAGGTCAATGTAGCAGTGGTGTATCATTAATTACCATATTATAAATCAATATACCTAAATACCTTGTTGTGGTATGCTATGCACGAGACACCGGAGCGGCGCGATCGCATCGGCGATAGATTTGTCCATTGGTTCGTGTCCGGGTCATACATTTCCACACTGTTCATACACTCTTGACCATTAAATCCACCGGTAATGTAAATCTTGCCTGTATTACAACGTTAACTTTAGATAACAAATTAACATTAGATATTTATTCAATAGCAGCAAATGGAATGTTACTGATTTGCAACATATTATATTATTAATTTCATTATATAAATTAGTAAACAAAATATAAACTTACTGTCTAGTGCAGCTGCACTGGCGTCAGATCTCTGTGCATTCATGGGAGCGACGAGTGACCATTGATTTGTGCGGTGGTTGAAACGCTCAGCAGTATTTTGCCTATGGTGACCATCGTATCCACCCATTGCATATATCGTCTCGCCAAGCACCGCCACAGACACATAGCAGCGTCGAGCATTCATTGGTGCCACCTAGTGATTAAAACACTTCTACAGACGAATCATAATTGATTTATCTCAAATCGAACTTACATACAAGTCGATGATGGTACTGGACTAGTCCCTCTTCAGCGCAAGAGAGATTTATAAAACACGAGTTATGTGGTGAGGTATATACCTGCGGCATTGCGTATCCAGAGCCAGGACAGATGATTTCATAAGTATAGATTTTAATTTGTGAAAATGTTTATATTTATATTATATATAGTTAAGAATAGGTATTCTTGTAAAGTCAATCTGATTCTTTTGGCGTATAATAGTGATTATCATCTAACCTCTCGCCATGACTTTGTAACTGCGTCAAAACATCGACAGGAGTTGAAATAATCCATTCCATCGAAACCCCCTATGACGTAAATGCAGTAGCCGAGGACAGCCGTCCCATGGTACGCACGAGGGCCTGCAGGATCAACTTCTTCCACCTGAGAAAATTGAGAAATTACTGGAAATATTAAACTCAATTTTTTTGGTAAATAAATAATATTGCATTTATTACCTTGATCCAACGATCAGCTCTAGTGTCGTAGGTCTCAATAAATGCTGTAGGTGATCCTCCACTCCAACCACCGATGGCAAATAAGACCTAAAATATACAATATCATTGAATCAATATTAAATCATCAGCCTAATTGAAGATTTAGTTTTGCAAAAGATTCGACTATTATTGGGTTGTTATGTCAAATTGAAATTAAGTAATACCTGATTTTGTAGACGTAGGTTTACAATATATAGGTAACAGTTTACACTTAATATCAATTAGCTGACAGCTTGTTTGAAATATAAGATAAGTAAAAAAATATATGAATTAAGTAAAAATACGAAAAATGGCACACAAAAACAAAAATTATTTACTTCATGAGGTACTCGCGGCCGTGCTATCTCTGGAGTAGCCACTTCACCATCTCTTTGAGCAATCATTTCCAAGTCGTAAAGGAATTTCAGAGTTTCAATAATTATTGGTCGTGAACCCTCATTGCCGGTAACGTATGGATGATCTTTTACGTTTTCCAAAAAGAACTAAAAATATTATTTACTTATTGGAAGTGACATACAAAATACATATCATTATAAGTACGAAAATAACGCTGGCTAATACAATTGCACGTTTGACCAAATAAATTTTAATAAAATTTAATATAGAAATAAAATTGGACATTGGCGAAAGACATAAGGTAATTTTTATCACGGTGAAGCAGTCGCTGGCATTTTTCAATTTCTAAATAAGTAAATAACTGAAAAATTTACTCACTTGGGTATCCAGTAACCCTAGTCGAATGCTTCCCATTAATTTTACAGTATGTTGCCATCGAATATCAGGATCATAGTTGACCCATCGCAAAACCGCATCCCAAACCACCTCTTCGCTCTTCACATTTAATTCGTCTTCAAGTATAATAGAGTTCAGTTCCTCAATTGGCAGATGGAGAAATTCATCACTTTGCGTTGCAACCGTAACGAAATAACGCAGCAAATATCGACGGGCGTCTGCCTCTAACTTATAACAAAATACGCGTCTGAAATAATACCTACACCTATTTAGTGGTCTGATTATTATTTTTTAATGCTTGGCATGCTTTTATACTAGTCACAATACAAAGAAATAAATGGTTTATTTAGTTTGTTATTTTTAGATAATGAAATAATATTTCTTGTCCGTTGTGGTATTTTTTATGTTTAAAAGCAACGATTACAACTTGCCATCAGATAAGCTTGGTCTTCGATTTAGCATATAGGCATTTGTATGGCTTGAATTCAGGGCCTAATGATTTCAGTGTGTTATCAAATATAAATATCATATCCCACACATTATGTGAAAATTTAATTTTAAAAATAACACTGTATATTAATTTACGTACGTATCCCACACTATGATATTATATATATATTATGATATTTATATTTGAACATTGTAGTTTGTAGATTGTGTAGTTAATTAGATTTTTTAAATATTAACTAAACGTACTTAGTCTAATAATTTTGCGATAAAATCTCGATACTATTTATTATAGTATCGAGATTATTAGTAGTCTATATTAAACGCTTGTTAATATACATATATCAATAAAGCGTAATTGCTTCTAATACTTATGTAAAAGAACTTGAATATTAGAATAGGCATCTATGTATAGATATATATTCTATATCTTAAAATTTTATATTCTATATTATAGAATATTATTTATAGTATGGTATACTGATAGTTATATTTACCTAGCAAACATCATTATACCGAGACAGTTTTTTGGGTTCAGTGAGGTCATTAAGTGATCACAGCACAGTTGTAGGACTCCGAGAAAGGCGAGGTAATCAGCTGTCATGAGCAATTCGTGGACGTTGGTATCAGTTACATCTATGCGGCGAAGATAGGCATACTCTATCAGCAGCAGCAGGATTTCGGAGCGGACCCCTGATATTAATACATCACTCTGCTCGCGTGAATGTAATGTTGTTGTAAATAATGCCCTGTGTTACATATAAAAATTAATAGTTTTATAAAATAATAAAGAGTTTCGCCTCATACAGACCTAAAAATTTAATCGAATGTAGAGAAAAGTCGTCCTCTACATTGCGATATGTTGTAGTGTGTTGAGACTATTGTTTTTCCATATAGATATCAGTTTATTTAGCTATACGAGGGCTACATGAAAGTTTTTAGAACTGGCTACTTGAGAGCAATATAATAAAAAAAATTGTTAAAATTTTGAAAATAGAAACGAATAGTACTGAGTATATAATTTATTTTTATGTCATGTGTTTTACGGTTTGGCGGCAAATTGAAAATAGTCTGTGTAACGTTATCTACTTAACACGAGAAAATTTTCGTGTGATGATTTTTTATGACTTTCGATGTCATCTAAGTGTTATGATAGACTACTATTGGACTTCGATGAATCGTGCCACTGTTTACAACTGGTTTAATGAGTTTAAACGTGGTCGCACTAATCTCACCGATGATTTGCGTGAGGGACGGCCTTCTACGGCGACAACCGAAGATAACATCCGTGTTGTGCGGCGTATGATAGAGACTGACAAAAGAGTGACCTATTAGCAGATCCGGGCAAGCTTAAAGATTGGTATGAGTCAAGTGCACAAAATCCTCCATGAACATTTGGCGGTCAGGAAGCCTTGTGCCCGGTGGATACCTTATAATTTCACTGAGGCTCAAAAACTCCGTCGGGTTGATTGGTGCCGTGAAATGCATGAAAGATTTAACGGAGGTGACTCAAATTCTGTGTTTAACATAGTTATGGGAGACGAAAGCTGGATTTACTGTTATGATCCCGAAACTAAAAGACAGTCAGCTCAGTGGGTGTTTCCTTCCGAGGAGTTGCCAACTAAAATGAAGAGAGGTCGAAGCATAGGAAAAAAGATTGGCCTCATTCTTTGGAAGAACAGGTTATTACGCGACAATTGTTTTAATCGAAAAACAGTTATAGAGTGGTACAGAAACAATTGTTTGCCACGTGTTTTGAAAAAAGTGCGTAAGAAACGACCTCGCAGTAGGATCCTCCTTCACCACGACAATGCTTCGTCGCACACCGCCAGGCAAATGATCGATTATTTGGCGACGTCAGACGTAGAACTACTGGGTCATCCGCCTCATAGCTCCGACCTCGTACCTTGCGATTTTTATTTATTCCGAAAAATGAAAGAAAAAGTTCGAGGAAAACGTTTTATGGACGCCGAGGCTACGTTTCAGAAGGCCGTCAAAGAGACCCCTAAGGACGAGTGGGCAAAGTGCTTTTCTCAGTGGTTCTAACGGATGCAGCGATATATTGACGTGAATGCACGCTATTTTGAAAAGATAAAATAAAGGTAATAACTTACAAATTTAATCAGTTTTTGATTTTCTAAGAACTTTCAGTTTGACCCTCGTATTTCCAGGAGATTATTTAAATAGAGCAGTCGTCATAACTGATTCTACTAAACAGCGTAACAACTATATTGTCAATGACAATTATATTGTCCATGACTCTATCGTCCTCTTTCTTAACATAAAAATGTATAAATCTAATTTCTATTCTATCAATGATAGTAGCTTCTTGTAACGGCCTTCTTCGGTCTAACTTAATGACGAACCAAACCGTGTGCAGAGCACCAAAGAACAAAATAAATTTTAAAGATAATAGTTAGTACCTACAGTAATATTTATATTATGTAAATAGTTAGAATAAATTAAAATATGTCCCCTGTGTATATAACGTCCCATAGAACAAATAATTCCAAAATCGGTTCAGTACTGTATAGGTTCAGTACCGGTATCAGTATCTCTATATAACACACCGCTTTACTTCCCAATGTCGCGTTCCCAAGGGCTCGATTCCTTGCACAGTGTAAACATTTGTATTCATGAGTATGATTGTTTGTATTTGTGTGGGTATTTTCCATGTATATTTATATATGTTAATCTAACAGAAAGTATGGGCTGCAGGCGGAGAGTATGGCGCGGTGCACTGGAAAAGCAGCGCCGTCGTCCGCACGCACTATGGCATCACAGAGTAGCCGGCACTCGCGCAGGCGGTGCAGCGCCTGCATCGCTGCCACCGACATGCACCGCCCAGTCTCGCGACCCGCCGTCTATACGTAGATACATAGATATTTTTTTTATTTGTAGGTATTCTCAGCATAGTTATACCTACACACTTACGTCGCTTTCAAGTTTATTATATTCACGCGGTTGGCTATGCCGTTAGATTTTTTTGATCTGGAACGGTAAACAAACTTACGACCTATCTAATGATAATTGGCAATCGTCGCCTACATACATGAGCAGCACAAATAATTTGACGCGTGTTGAAACTCTATCATTCTAGGAGGACGGAGCACCAAGATATCATGCCTCCATGCTCTCTAATTTTACTTCCAAGTCGCAATTAAAGACAGAAAAACTACTTACTAAGGAAGCTACTTGGCGGCTGACATAGGCAAGACACCGTTTATGATTATATAAAAGAGATTCTAATTTTTAAGGACATGTCATGTTAGCTACAACGATAGAGAAAATTGTGATAGATGCAAGTAGGTGGATATTTAGCAAATTTTTATCATTGTATCTATTTATTTTTATCATTGTATGTATATAGTTAAATCTAATTATGACTTTCTTTTCTACATTTATTTGGTTTTCACATTTCATCGCGATCATTTACCTACCTATATATGAAAAACTAACCGAATGTGTTAAAAACGAACACAATCTTCTATTTATACATTTTGCACTACTAAAGTAGGTACTTACTGTACTCAGTACTTACAGATTCCTATAGTATCCTATCCTAATAGTATTTCTATAGGTCCTAAGTGATCTCCATACAGATACAGCCCCGTTGTGCCTATATCACGTTATCAACTAAAATTTACATGCTTTTCTTTATGGCGCTAATTTATATTTGTGGCGATACGAGACCGCACTCCGTACAGGATGAAAACGACTTACAACGTACGATAAGTACTTACAGTGTTAAACGGGCCGTTTTCCATTTCAGTCTTAACGTGAAGTCATCGTTATAAAATTGAAACGCATAAAAAAATGTTAAACGCGCAATGAGACGTTTATCGACACAATCGAGATTTATCGTTGTAAATTTATAAAAATAATCACAAAAAATACTAAAAATAGCAAAATCAAGTCATTTGATAAAACATTTTAGGTTAGCAAAAAAATGATATAAGAATGACAAGCATGTCAAACCTTTTTTTTCCAGTTGACATTACTGTATAACAATATTTTCATTTTCAGCGGTTGCTATACTGAAATCAAAAATGTTTGCTATTTGTTTTTCTGTTATACAAGGCTTTAAACATTTTACACGTCATTTCGTGTGGTCAAAGAAAGGAGGTTGAAGTATTTACATGAAGGAATAGAGAGAAAGAATGTAGTATTTTTTATTCGTACAAAATAAGTAAATCTGTCTATCCTATAGCACAGGGGTTGTAATTCTAATCATGAATTTTCAGAAATTTCAATAGATTCTTTTATATAAATGTATCACTTCGTTCTATAATGTCTGAATGTTACTTTTCTGGAGTACTGTAGGTATTAAATAAATAGATGCTCTTTACAAAGGTTTGTAATAATCGTAAAAAAATAATAACAATATTACATAAGTATATAATATAAATAACAAACTTACAAATTTAAAAACGATGGACACAATTTTATACTTAAATTACATCTAATCAGTTCATTACTGAGATAGAAAGGTCAATTGAGAGGTCTCGAGGTCTCTTTAGCTGTAATACCGTCTGCCCTCAGCCTGGATAACAGAGACTTGTACACCCCTGGAGAGAATGGAAGTACCACACCACGCTCTTGTATTTCGCCTAAAAAAACAAATGTAAGCTTAAGTAATTTAGATTCTTAATTTGCATTTATCAAATACCTACCTATAAAGTAGAATTAGGTACAAAGCAGCTTTTATATATAATTGTGCTGTAAATATAATGCCGTAAGTCCGCGAAACTAGTTGTATTTACCAAGATTATTTAAGTCTTGTTACCCATAATATTGGTTCAATAAAGAATATATTATATTTCTAACTGACTCTCCGATGTAGCAAACACCGATAACAAATCAAAAATTAATCCGAGAAATGCGACATTGGATTCAAATTTACAAAGTGTAATGAACATGTCAAGTCTTGCGTTCATTCACCACAACATCGATAATTCACAATGCCTTTGACTACCCCATTTGGGATAACAGTGGTGATGGTATGTATGTATTTTTATTAACATTTATGTATAGAGTACGGCACTTTACACTGCACAAACACAGAGATATAAAGATAGACAGTTAAATCTTTATTTGCGTAAGAGCACACACACAAGGCACAGTAATATAAAAAAAGTAAATACACAATTACATTGGTCAGTCAGTAAAATATAATATAGGTACAAAAAACGAGTAACGTATAGTATGTGCATCGCTTATATCTACGTAAAAAAGGCAGCACCTAAGTGTATTATTTGCTCAAGCAGCAATTAGCAAAAGCAGATTTTCAGATACTGCCCAGGGACATACGCGAGGACGCAGGTTACAAGACCGCCGCGAAGCATCTAACCAGCCCCATTACACTATCGTTAATAGTAAGATAGATGTGGTTAAAGTTTATAAGACTACGTGGAATGTGCAAACGAGTTCATTATATATATGTAGATATAATAATAATTATTATTACTATAACAGAGAAAAATATGTATTTATATTACTTGCATTAAGAGAAACCTCTTTTTAGTTTTTTACACAATTGAATAGAATTTCGTGGAAAAAAATGGCAGTACCATGATATAAATTTTAAAAAGATTCATATTATTTTAGAATAATCTTTTATAATTATATCAAATGAACTTACCATCCAAGAGCATTTTAGCAGCAATTGCAGTCGGCAGTCCAACGGTACGTGCCATAGCAGTGTGGGAGGTAGGGTCTCCTCTGACTGTCATGGTAACTTCACGACTCTCTTTCCGTCCGTCACTCCATGTCACGCCCAATTCATGTCTTAATACCACAAAGTCTGTTTCGTCCTTTTCTGTAATAATGGTTATGAAAATTAAAATTAGATTTTTTTAAATGAACAGTTATAATATGTAAATGATTGCGAGAGCTTTTTTAAATTATTATATTTTTAATATAATTGGAAAAAGGAACGAAGTTTTTTTTTCCTTGAGCTCTGGCTCCCCTATTTCAGCCGCCAAGCAGCTTGTTTTGAAAGGTGAATAGACTATAATAGAAGGGGATTGTTAGCAATGGGAACTAGTAACTCTCATTGCTAGCAATGTACAATGTTAGGTCGACCTCGACGCGGTTCCTCCTGGAAGCCATCGTTATAAATTGTTGGTGAATTTGTCACGATGGGCTAACTGACCTGACCTCATTCATCTTATCATTCTCCACTGGTGCCCCGCCATCGTAAACCGTTAGCGCAGGCAGGTGCATCATACTCCTCCGGAATGACAAACCTTAAGATGTATCATGATCGTCACATTCTTACGTGATGTCTGTGGTTCATGTGTAAAGGCGACTGATACCACTTACCATCGAAGCTTTTTTGTCACATTATATAAAAGAATAATATCATATTCATGTCATCATATTTCCGGCCTCGGTGGTCTAGCGTAAATCGCTAGCGCACACCGCTTTGCTTCCGATAGTCGCGAGTACGATTCCTCACACGGTACAAATTCATTCATGACTATGATAGTTTGTTGTATCGGTTTTCATAGAAAACACCTAGACCGATACAACAAACTATATTATGTATATATTTATAAAAAAAAATCTAATGATTTATATAAGTTGTCTAGTAGTATAACACAAGCTCTGCCAACCTAGGGACTAGATGGCGCTGTGTGAATAGTCCAGGGGTGTTATTACTATCCTATAGATAATATTAATTCTTACCAAGTTGTAATTTCTTGCTTAGATAAAGGCTAATTGTATCTAATGGGGTCCCGCATTTGATGATCAGATCATCACTGAGTACGCCGAGTGATTCAAGCGCATGTGCTCCTGTACTGCCTATGCGCTCTGCTAACCGCGTCCGTAGATTTTCGTAAAATATTGATTGATCCACTAACCCGAGTAGTTCACATGCGAACTGACGCTGTATAATAAATTAAATTATCTAAATTACATAGAATGACTTTGGCTACATTATTATATAAATATATTTTATTAAACTTTGATGTACTGTATATAATTAAAAACATTCCTACGTGGTAACTTTACGTCACAATTTATAGACATAAATTCCAAGTTATCAATAATACATATTGACATACGTACTTGCATAGGATACATAAATATATATACACATACAATACCTAAAAATACCACAAGATAGAAACAGGAAAATTACCCTGTATTAGGCAGAGGAAAAGATAAAAGATAAACAAGGAGAAGCAGAAATTTTAATTACGATTGCACATTGCGAAGAAACCGTAATTTAGCTTTAAAATGAGATTTTTATATTTTTAATATATTTAATATCAAGGGGCAGCGTATTCCAGCGTTTAATTGTTAATTGAAACAATTTAGTTAAAATTTGTCCATACCCAAGTTATATTAGGCCCTTCTGGATGAAGAGATGGATGTGGATTTGGATCTATTAAACCAAATAGTTGCATTGCTTTAATTGTTTCAGCGAATCCTGAAAAGAGAAGAAATAAGTTACAGAAATGTTTTTGTGTAATTAATATGAGTTAATGTAATTGCAGTATTTACCTTTATACCTAATAGTTCCGCGGAACATAGTGTGTGCATCCTCAATACCATATAGTGAAGAGTATATGGTGCTGTCCCTGTTGGGAAAGCCTTCAAACGCAAAGCCGGGTAGGAAGTCCAACTCGCGAGCAACCGACATTAGTTCACCCCCGCCCAACACTTCCACGATCTAAAACAAATCTAGTTATGACTACATGTACTTAGGTTACTGAAAAATGGCATAAATTGTTCATTTAAATTCGTCTCTTTGTCGATTGAAGGTTTTTGTATCAAAATTAAATATAGTTGAAAATATAATTCATCAGTTAGTTCCTTCGCTGAAATGATAAGTAGTACCTATTTCAATGAATTAGTACGTTGCTAGTGTATAAAAAGGAGGAAAACGATGCAGTCCAACGAAACATATTTAAAACGAAACTCTATCATATACTTAATCACAATCTTCATGCACTTTAATTATACACATACATACACATTCTTTCTTACACACGCACGCATACACACACATTCTTTCTTACACATACACGCATACACAAGTGACTTCTAATTCAGATACTATTATCGTATTTGTAATTCTTAAATTAATTATTCTATTAGTTTTATGTATTGTGAAATTTATAATGTTTGATTTGCACTTCAAAATTAATCTTTATGCTGTTTGCTACGTTCTGTTTTATTTTACTTTGCTAAGTCTCTGAAAACCTTCTCTAGATATGTATTGTTGATTTAATGTAAGCTGTTGATTTTCTAATAAATAAACTTTAATAGAGATTAAAGTCAGTCCTAAAATAGAGTGCATACAATTTCATACAGAGAAATTGTTATACTAAAGACTAATCTATGAAGACATCTTAATTTGGACAATGATGTTCTTTAGAGGTTTAGAAGTATTCGATGTGTTATATTCAACTAATAGAGAATACAGGTGCTATCATTATGATTGTGGCATCATCCAATTCAGATATCAGTTTCAGGGAAAAGGAAAACTATACCCTACTCTAAACTATACCGTATTTACTCAGTACAGTAAAAGTAGGTCTTTATCCTAAAGATTAAATAAGATAATCATCTGCAGTGGAATATTAATGGGTTGTTAATTCTAAAATTTGTAAAAGCAGTAGTGTTATTTTACCTGTCCCTTACTAAGATATTTAGCGCCAGATATGGTGTTAAGCAAAACACCGCGAGGGTTCCACGAAAATTTGTACCTCAGAGCATTATCGCTAAATTCTGCTGCTGGGAGACCTGTGATAACGAAAATAAGGGCAATATTAATAAATTTCTATTACCAAGTACGTCAGAAAAAATATTGAGGATTTCTAATAAAACGTTTTAGATAGAACTATAGTTTTTCCTGTAATGTTTATATTTACTTTTAAAAGTAATTATAAACATTAAATAATTATTTCTTGACTTTTTAGGAGTTGCATCGTACCTAGACAATATAAAATTATTTATTTCCTCAAATTGATATTTTTGGTAGTTTCTGAAATATAGGATGCAGATACAAACATATAAATACTTACTAATGGATGTACAAAAAGACTAATAAATTCATTTTAGTTTTCACACTTTAAATTACCAACTCACCGCCGCAATATGAAACAAATGAATCCACCCTTCCACCATGATTCTGAATATCATGAATGCATTCTAAAGCCAACAGGTGATCGATGCCAGGATCCAGTCCGACCTCGTTTAGCAACGTTACTCCAGCTTCTTTAGCGCTAAAAATAAAACAAGATCGCATTGTAATTTTTATATCGGCTAGTAAATGCGAAATTTAGTTCTCAAAGAGGTAATAAAAATCGAATAACTTTTTATATTTATATTTTTTATACTTATATTTCATACTTATTAAATGGTTATATAGGAGATACCGTGTAAGAGAATAAACAAATATGATAATTATTTAAATGTACTTTATGGTTAGGAAGCAATTGAAAACAAGCCATATGAGTAAGCCAAAAAAGATTATATTCAAAGCAATAGCTAAATATACTATAGAAATGTAATTTTACTTACGAATTGTGAAGTTCTTGTACTTCGGGACGTACATAAGAGGCTGTGACCATATGGGCACCGGTACTGATGCACGCTTTTGCTACAGCTCCGTGCAAATCATACGGTAACAATGAGATTACCAGCCTTGAATTAGCTGCTAATGATCGTAAAGCCCCTTCATCATTAGCTTGAAGATATTCAGCTCGTACTCCGTACTTCTCGGCCAGAGTATCAGCTTCTTCTCTTACTTGTGATGCTGTAAACCGAAAATTTCTATTAATCATCATAATATTTTCTTCTTGACGAAAAATAATTTATCAATTTTATAAACAAATGTCAGGTGAAGGGATAACCAAATATATACACCTACATGTATTGTAGCAATAAAAAAATGAATGGAATATGGAAACCTAGACTGAAGCTACTGGTATCAGATAAACGCAGAGTCGTCTTAGACTAGTCATTGAATGTATTGTTTTTAATGGATGATATTGGAATGGTTTTTGCATGATTTGGAGTCTGAGTGGAGACGAACCTGACATGGTACATTGCTAGCCATTAGTCCACAGTACTAACAAATTAATATTATTAAATAGAATAAACTTTCCGTAAAAAGTCCACAATAATAAAAAGATTTTATGTAAAACTACATGAATATATTCTTACTATTACTTTACATATTTTATGAATTTTATTTTATAAAACTGGGAAGCTCAAAAAATAAACCTAAAAGATAACGATCGTAAGAAAATGGTAAATTCACCCAGGTGTATAATTTTCTGTATCGCCATCCTCAAAAATTGACAAACAACAAAAAAATACCTTTATTTATCTTAAAATTATTCGTGTTAAGACCCGGTTACCAATATAAATAATTATAAATACTTCATATGTATGTCCGTTTGTCAATTGGTTTAAATTTAGGATACAAAAAATAAACCATGCATACATATTGAGATATGAAGTTTCTACGATGTGTTATAAAATGACTCACCAATTGTTACAGCAAGGTTTTTATCCCGGGAAAGGTATTCCACTACCGGTGCAGAGACTAGACCGCTTCCCAGGATTACTACAGACGTTTGTGGCTCTCCTTCAACCATGTGTCGGGAACGACTGAATAGGAAAATACAAAAATATATATCGTATAATTAATTATATTAATAGTCGGCCAATGGTCGAAATTCGACCATAATTAATTAAAATTATAAGTTTGAACAATATTAAGATTTTATTGTCAAAACTTTCTATGCCTGATTGTCTCAAATACTACTGTGTAATGGTTTTTTTATTAATTAAAATGTATTTTGTTGCATAATTTAAAAAATATCATTCTGCACTCTTGCTCTATTAGAGAGCGTAATTTCGTACTCCTCAATCCGCGTAATTTTCATAAAAACGGGTATTTACTATTTACTTGTGGTATTATTAATATATATATAAGTATATACTTACGTATTCGCCATACGAAGTTCATTGATATATTCAAATGGTGGTGTTAATTTTCCATTACTCGTTATGATTGCCTGCAAAAGATTACAAACACATATAGAGAATCAATAACTTTTTTGTACACATTATACATTGGTTTGTCCTTATAGTACAGTAGTTTAAACTGAAAATTAGTGTTTCAAATAACATGAAAACATATTTTACATGATTTTTTATTATCTTCTGCTTATATGTACGTAGATGAAATACCATCATCTTGACCACTTCTCGAATCATTATTTTTATCAGAATCTTAAGATTTAATTTATTTATTTCATTGAATATTTGAAATATAAGACTAATTTCTTTTTTTATTATTAAAGGTAAAATATATTTGGTACCCCTTGAACTACGGGAGAAAAATTGTGCTCTTCCAGAGGCTTAGCTGCATCAGAACGTAAGATATCCTTGGTGTAAGGGAAAAGCAGATCTCCAAAGAAGTCTGTAGATTCCCGAGGAAGCTGAGTCGGCATGTTGTCTATGGAACATACCAGCACTCCAGGACCTTTAAAACTGGCAACATAATAATATAATATTTTTAATATTTACTCTTATACCTATAACCTATCCTAAGTAATATTATAAATTAAAATGTGAGGATGTTTGTATAATAATGCTTTCATGCCTTAACTGTTTAGCCAATCATCAAGATATATAATGTAGATGTACTTTCACATATAACAGAATAATTACATAGTACTATTCAATATGGAGTAAAACAAATACAGCAAAGACTTTAGAATGACAAATGTAATTTGATTTTTAGGTTTAGAATGTGTTGTTTTTGATGAAGACTAGGTACTTGTTACGTCTACTATCGGTTATTTCTGTTACATCATTCATTCATAGTCATTAAGGACAAAAAATATATGTTTCTTTACCTCTTAGTATCCTTATTCCTATCAGCATCATAGAGACAGAAAGGCGTGTCGATAGTAGTGCACTCGTTCATGAACTCTATGGAACCGCCAGGGTCAGCAGATATGTCACAAATACCCAACATTCTATAAAAATATAAACATAAGTAAACTTTAAACTTATCTTCATCTTTACACTAATATTTTTAGAAACATACACATAATTATAATATAAAACTCCTGCAAATAGTTGTAATTATATTTTATATATAATAAGAACATAAAGTATTAATTAAAAAATATGTAAATATTTTACAATATTTTTTAATTAATCATTTTTCTTTCAAGTAGGATCCTTAAAGAAAATAAACGTAATGTGAAAAAGTACTGAAAGTAAGAAATGTGTACAGTTTGTTTGTTGTGTGTTCCGTAATATAATTATTATAAATTACTATTACCAGTGGCACTCAATGAGGAAGTAGCCATTATTATTGCTAAAAGTTGCATATAGATGGCGTGATTGGTATCGATGGAATTCTTCATAGTTTTGCAAACGTTTTAAAAAACAAAACTGTGTTTTCAAAAATGTTTAATCAATTTTTAAAAAGTTATATATACATGTTAAAATGAAATAATGCGTTTAGAAAAGTAATTTTCATATATTTACTCATTTTGTTATTTTCCAGTACTTAATTACACTTTAATCAGTGCTAATATGGGGCTCAATGTTTTCAAAATGCTTTCATAGATGGCATTGTCGTCATTTGTATCGGCCTAATTAAATGTCTTTTTTATATTTTCCAATAATAAGCACTTAATATATTATTATTGTAAATTAAACATATAAAAAATTTTTAAGTAAATTAAAAATAGCCGAACAAGCAAGTAATACTATTTCCAATAATACTTATGTATGAAGTGTTGTCATATTAAAAATAAATACATGTATTATCGATTTTTTTGAATAATCGATAACAGGATTTTATTACAGCGCATTATTCGATGATGCTTTTAATGAGTCGTTGTGAACAGTAAATTTTCATTATTATGTATTATAGCAGTGTTCCGTTTCAAAGAACGTGTCGTTGGTTATTTACATTTGTACTGAATAATCGATTACATAATAATTTAAAATATCGAGTACGAATCGTATTTAAAAAAAGAGAGAAATCGACCCTAACTCGAATACCATAAAGTTGATTTTCCTTTCTCATTAATATATCATAGCAGTTTGTTTTTAACTTGCGTATGACTCTGTGGTATGATGTTTAACGTGTATTGTTATTGTACGGTGCATACATTTCAAAAATTATATTTTAATGTAGGTACATACATTTCATACATGTCAAAAATTATCTTTTAATGTAGGTACACACATTTCTTTCATACATTTCATACATTTCAAAAATGAACTTTTTATGTAGGTACATACATTTCTTTCATACATATCATACATTTCAAAAATTATATTTTAATGTAGGTACATACATTTCATACATGTCAAAAATTATCTTCTAATGTAGGTACATACATACATTTCTTTCATACATTTCAAAAATGAACTTTTTATGTAGGTACATACATTTCATACATGTCAAAAATTATCTTTTAATGTAGGTACATACATTTCTTTCATACATTTCATACATGTCAAAAATTATCTTCTAATGTAGGTACATACATACATTTCTTTCATACATTTCAAAAATGAAGTACATACATTTCATACATGTCAAAAATTATCTTTTAATGTAGGTACATACATTACTTTCATACATTTAAAAAATTATATTTTAATGTAGGTACTACATTTCTTTCATACATTTCATACATGTCAAAAATTATCTTTTAATGTAGGTACACACATTTCTTTCATACATTTCATACATGTCAAAAATTATCTTTTAATGTAGGTACATAAAATATGTCAAAAATTATCTTCTAATGTAGGTGTACATTTCTTTCATACATTTCATACATTTCAAAAATGAACTTTTTATGTAGGTACATACATTTCTTTCATACATCTCATACATTTCAAAAATTATATTTTAATGTAGGTACATACATTTCTTTCATACATTTCAAAAATTATCTTTTAATGTAGGTACATACATTTCATACATTTCAAAAAGTATCTTTTAATGTAGGTACATAAAATACCCCTTGTATTTGGAAGAAACTTAAAAATAATGCCAAAAATATTAGATGAATATATTTTTAATACGAATATTGTTTTATTTTTGTTCATCAACTTTATCCCTCACTAACAATACTAGTAATAGTACATAACCTGGTTTATACCGCTAAAGATATTGAAAGATATACGAGTAATTCAGAATGTTATCAAGTTCAAAATAAGCACACATTACTTGCTTAGATAACAGAGTAATATTACTCGTAATAAAAACATTTGTAACACCCATATGTATACTACGTATGTATAGTAAGTACTTACGCTGCGGCGCCGTGAGACTCGTCTACCTCATCTACTAACCAATAGGAGCGCGCCTCTCGTGTTTCCAGAAAGTTCGCGACTAACGGACGATATAGTAGTAAGGCAATGAGTGTCCCAGTGACATCATTATAATATTTTCTCGTTAAATTTTATTGTAATATACACAATTTCGCACTAAATAACGTGTTACCCCGTTACACATTTCTAATAATGAAAAACCTAGACCAACCCTGTTCACTTAATCTTACAAGATCTGACTTTAAAAATTACGATATCCTCATATAGCCTTTCATTTCCCCTTTCAATACTTTTTCGCATTAAAAAGTAGCCTTTCTCAGGGTCTACATTATCTGTCTGCCAAATTTCAATTAAATCAGTTCAGTAGTTTTGGCGTGAAAGCGAGACAAACAGACAGACTGAGTTACTTTAGCATTTATAATATTTGTAAGAATATCGCTATTAAAAATAGGGGTTGGTGAAAGACGGGTGAAAATTTAGGCGTGTATGTATTTTCAATGTAATATTATAAATAAATAAAAAATTGTCCATAATACAAAAAAATAAAAATTCAGGGTAGGCCACCCCTATGACTTAGGGGTATAAAAAATAGATAACAACCCTACCTCAGACCTAGCAAGTATACATATCAAATTTCATCAAAATATATAACTAACACTGTGATACAAAATTTATATATAAGATATAGCGGAATTCTCATTAGGGAAAAGAGGGGTACATCGTAGAAAAATGAAGTATATACCAGTAAATTAATTGTAGCTAAAACCAGTCTTTACACATAACGATTGAAATAAAAAAATAGCCCGATTTTGATACGTACGAGTATAAAAGTATCAAAATCGGGCTATACGTATAGCGCAGACGCGTTACAACATATCAAAAAAATAGGCATGGAATGTAAAATAAACCATAACATAATAGGTATATACATTGGCACATAAGCCATATCTGCAGAGTGTCGGCTAACGATATTATACCTACACATTTACATTGAATCTTGAATCGTCCCTAATGAGGTACACGATACAGTTACCTACATATCTTTGCAAAACAGATGTCATGTAGACTGAATTGACTGCCATCTATTTTCATGCTTTGTTTGCACCCACTAGTAATCCGAACTGCTTGTGTACGGTGGCGAAATAAAATAGCCCGAAGAATAGCCCGAGTTAGGAAGGAACCATTTTCTAGTATGGGATGGGGTATCTGTATGTAATATTATGTTATCTGTGCTATTACTACTACAATATCGATTAGACAGAGTAATTTTGTTGACTGAAAAAGAAGATGAATTTGAAACTTTCAAGTTAGATATATCTAATTTCGACCTTTGCAGAAAGCATAATGGGAATCAACGTAGGTATTATCATCGCGTACATGTGATGATAATAATGTTATCACTAGAGTCCAAGAGAGTGACTTTGATATAACAAAGTAGAGTTTGAGAGAGAGTGTAAAAAGGCTGAGTGGGTACCTCAGTCTCACCTATTTCAGTCGCTAAACATAGTGCCATTCCTATATGCAGACCAGTTACCATAAGGCTGGCCATAAGGTTGTTTGCTAAATTAATTAAAAAATAAAAATTAATATATTACTAATCTAATACTTATATTATAAAAAAATACCTATGCGGCAAAGCCGGTGCTCCAATGCTTTTCGGAAGCCACGGGGTATGCGAGGGCAGCAACAGGTGCTTTGCATCAGGTATGGTGAGGAGCTTCGGGCTGTCTACTGCCCAGTAGATGCAATTCACCAGTACTGACGTGTACGGCGCTATCTATTGTCATATTATAATAATGCAAATGGGTATAACGACTAAAAAATCTAAAACTAAATCGTTTACAATAATAAAAAAAATGGTATTGGTAAATTAAGGGTAGATTATTCCAGTTGGCCAAAGGTAAAATTATTTCGTCATTATGAAGAATAAAAAAACTAAAATTCCAATAAAAAATTAAATAGGAATTAAAAAGTAAAATAGGTAGGTAAAATAATTGTAAATCCTCCTATTAATCAAAATACAGATTTGTTATATTATCGAATAAGATTACCTAGTAGTAAGACCCAATTAAAAGCATATATGTACAAAAATTTCTTCTTTAATTATTCAACTTTTCTTCTGTCTTTTTGAAAATAAATATACACCAATACTATATTTTTATCGATAAGTATTAGTGCTAAGGTATACGGCTAATTTATGAATATATACGATTAGATAAATGGGGTGTGTTTGTAACCTTAAATGAACGATAATTGTCAGCATGGAAACAACAATTACATCATTATTTGGTTGTTTATATTGCCAATACTCCGATCTAATAACAAAAGATTAGAATCATCGGAAATAGGAAACAGTACATTTACATGCTTAAGTCGAAACATATGTCGTAATTAACGAAAATATAGTAACATCATTAAATTCCCGTACATTATTATAAAAATCCTAACTTTGGTTATATAGAACATACCGTCTGCGCGAATGTGGAAATGTAGCGTTCAGGATGCTCCTCATATTCCTGAGGATCATAACCCCCATCATTCCTTCTCACCAGGTGATGCCGTCGACGTACTTCGCACCCATATATTTTGTTCGGACCTAATAATGAAAAATGCTTTAAATAGTATGCTTTCTTGGTAATTTACTTGCTCATTTTTCGCTCATTTCATTCCAAATGGGCCGCACGAAAAAATACTATTCAAAACTTCTTAAAATTATGTCTGGTAGAATAAATTTTGACTGCCTCGGTGAACATCGCTTTACTTCCGATGGTCGCGATTTCAATTTTTCCAAGTTGCAGCAAACATTTATATATATGAATATAAATGTATGATTATTTGTATTGGTCTGAGTCTTTTCTATAAACATATTACATATTTATAAAAAAAAATGTGTTTAAATATTTCTATCAGTTGTGCTTAGCTTGATATCTACTAGATGTGTGCTTTCTAAATTTTCTAAAATTTTATTGGAATTCTTGACATAAAATAACTTTTTACACAAATAGAAACTTAAATTGTAATAAACACTGAAAAATATTATAATAATTAATATTATATTTGAGATTAATATAATATTTCAGAGATATCGGTGACTATATCTGCTCAAATGTCTGCATACAGATAAAAAATCAGTCCAAGATACGTAATTTTTTTTAAATCCAATTAACTAATGAATTGAGGCCTAAATACTTACTTCCATGTTCAGCCACTTTTCTTAGCATCTCCGGGGGAACATATTCATGCGGTAGCTCTTGAAATATTTCTTGGCTTCCCTGTAAAGAAGTAATTTCTTATGAAAATCAAATTGAATTTCAAATTGTACGTAAAAGAATATTTCATCATCGTCTGTCTGTTCATATGTATGTATTTCAAGTTGTGACAAATAAAGTTGATATCAATAATTTATACGAGTTCCAACAGATAATACCTAATTAACAGTACATAACAGTTCATCAATCCAAATTATTTTAAAAATACCCGAACCACCGTAATAGTCAATAATAGAAAAAATGTGGCCTCTGCCTATACATCCATATATATACATGTTTTTACGTTATATATAAAACATAATACGTAATAAATACAAGTACCTGTGAAACATTTCCGGATCCTGTAAATATGAACGTTAGTGGTCCGAGTGACTTAGGCATCATACCAAGGGAAACCTCATATCCCGCATCTCTGATGGCTTGACGCGCCATACTTGAATTACGGTAGTTGTGGGCTGGACCGATGTGCTGAAATATTAGATAGATAAGAATTTTATTTGCATCTTAATACACTCATAAAGATTCACTTACAAACACTATATATTAAAGAATAGGTATATTGGTATTAAGTTCTAAAACAACTATTGTGTTAAAAATAATATATTTTCATAATAATAATAAATACTATTTACACTTCGAAGAGTACGAAAGTGTAATAATGGGAAACCATCATGTTAAATTCCTGGTGAAATTTTCACCATGCCTAACTGACCTGAGCCGTATCCTGCCAACGTAGTCGTTAGTACAGGCAAGTGAACCATTCCATTATCGTGCCTTAAAAAAATGGTCCTATATTAATAAATATTTTTTTTCATTTGATTTTGTACCATGAATGGAGTATGATGTCCCAGGGCCAATAATCGTAACCCAAGCCCATGTAGTATATTGATCATTCCAGCAACTCCTGCGTACTTTCCAAACGCGACCACTCGGTTCCCCGCGTCGTCCATTAACTTCTCATAATCAATTAGACGAATATTCTGAAAATGTGTATTTTTAATATTATCTCTGTAAAATAATATGCGCTAATAAAAATAATTCATACAGCATTGGAATTTAACAGGATATCGATAAAAATTTTAAAAATATTTATATTACTTTTATCTTTTTCTTAATAATTAGTATTTCATTATTTACCTTTGCTAAAATGGCATCCAACATAGGCATATTGGCTTCTTGGGCTTTAATAGTGTGTGAAAAGAAGCAATACGTTTTGTTAGGTATAAGTAAATCAATCGGGGTTTGTTTTACACCAAATATTACACTGGCTTCGCTGATATCCTCTTGCACAATAGCGCCAGCGTTTATATAAGACTGAAATCCAAACACTTTATAATAGATGGTCAATAATAATGTCATTGGAAGTTAGTTTATTAATAAAATATGAATAAGCATTTAAAACACAGCAATAATCCACATTAACCTTAAAACAGATAGGTATTTTGTGAGTTTGTGTGTATGAAAGTTGATCACTGAATTTTTTTTCTATTTATTTTTTTGGGAGTTTTGTACACAAAATGTGACGACGACAATCCCACCGTACCTATACTAAAAAACAAAAATCAACTTCTAAAGTAAAGTAAAAAAGTTTAAGTCAGTAAAATAACTACTACATCTTAGAAGCTATACAAGATATAGTTAATTATTACAGCAGCTCTACCAATAGCTGATATCATCTTTTTAGTTATTTCTAGAAACTTCTGATTTCTTTGTTAATTTACGTGTAAGTCTGTGACGCAAAGTTAAATGTCTATAATTCTAGAGTCCTGTCTATGGAGTCTTAGTTACATGAAACTCAGAACATATATTTTCCCACAATCTATATATCTAGCGTAATCCATGTAATGCGAAGTGACGAAGATTATGTGGTCAAAAAAGCCTTAAGACTACCCGAAAGTAGAAGATACAGGTGACTGGAGGACGTCACCTCCTGCCACCTGTTGGGTAAGTTTATCGCTGCGGTAAATTTTTCCCGACCCGACAACCTAGGACAGATTGTCCTGGCACCGCTAAAATAGGAGAGCCGACCCCGCATAAACTGGGATAGCGTTTAGAGGAAGAAGAAGAAGATCTATCTATCGTAACGTATTTTATATCATAAACGTTTTTTTCAACTTGTAGAAATTAGGATATTAGTTACCTGCATGGGGTAGGCACGTCGATTTGAAGGTTGCACAATTACTTTGACACCCTGTCGCACTAGTTTGCTCACATTGGACGGCGAAAATGGTGCACGTCTCTCCCATACTGATTGGTCTTCTCTACGTATTGCTATGATCCTCGTGGGCTAAATCATAATCAATACATGTACGCTAAATATCCAGAAGTAATTTAAGAAAGAAGTGTTAAATTTCTGAAAATGTGCTAATCAGTATGGATGTATAGTTACTTACTAATTTTAGACAAATATCTACACATAAACTTTTTTTCTGTTAAGAAGTCTAGTTTTATGTGAGTATCAAAAAAAAATTAAAATCTAATTAAGTACTTAACCACTTTAATTTTTTTCCTGTACAGTATTTTATCTAACTATAGTTAAGAGATATGTTCTTCAATAACTTAAACCATTTACATTATCTGATCAAGGCGATATTTAAAAATTATGTTGTTTATATCTTATTAAGTCTGTGGGTCCGGTTTACATACCGAAATATCTTCTTCGGACTCTGCTTTCTTGACACAAAATGTTTGCAGTCTACTTATTTGCCAGTTTTTTATAATGTTTAAATTTGGATTTATATGTTTAGAAAGGTGTAACATTTTAAAATACATTTTAACAAATATCACACATTGATGCACTCCAATTGCAAAATAGAGTGCAACTGAGGACTAGTAATGTTATGATTATACCAATAATCATTGTAAAATATAGATACATATCGGAGTAATAGATAATAACATATTATTATTGTCCATCCAATATGGGCTCATTTATCCTCGAACACAAACCCTCATGATAAGTAAATGTCAATAAGTTTAGGGTAACAACATAAACAACGATAAAAGTGACGAATTAAAGTCACATACCTATAGATATAAGTTACGTAGAATAGTATATTTTACAAATAACTTGATAACGCGTTTTTCAATTGTATTTTTTTAAGTTAATCGTATTCTTGTTTCCTTTATTTCGATATAAAAATTGTCCTTTCAAACTCACTGGTGAAAATTGTTTAAGAAAAATTCGTTTTTTTTTAATTTCCAAAGAAGTAACAGAAAAAATATTTAAAAGTATTCTTAATCAATATCTACTTTTTAGAATATTATTTTGTTGCATACAAAATCTAAAAATGAGAGTTTAAAGAACTTAGAGCAAAAAATAAAATCTACTATTTTTTTTTATAATACGTATTAGTGCAAATTCTGTAGACTACAAACACACCAATATTTATTTAAAAAATGTTTTATCACTGCGATCTAGGATTACCTAGTTTAGCTACAGGTTTATAATATACTTTATTATATTAGGTACCCACTAACATAAGCAATTAAAAATATAGAAAATAAAATAAATTACTAACCTTTGCTGTAGAATAATATGCAACTTGTTTTATTAATTGGCTTTTCTTACGAAAAGCAGCAGATTTATGTAACATTTTGTATTTAATAATAATATTCTTATTTTAAAAATTAAAAATAAAAGTATATAAAAATATATATATAATTAAATACATATATCACAGTTATTCGCTGCTTTAGCAGTTTACATATCTACTCGCTCTTAGCTTCACATCAAATAACTGAGTTCCTTTGAGAAAACAATATGTGTGCATTACAATTTATCAATTCGGTGATACCGATATGAGTATGTAACCTATTCGATTATATTTGGTTGTTGTTTATTATGTTCACAATGAGTATATTAAGATCATTTGCTAAGATAATATGTGTTTACTTAGATAGTGTAAACACAGTAAGTAATTAATCTATGCAAGTACTTAGGTACTCTGATTAACTACTTGCGTGAAACTTAAAAGCTTTCAGGAATTAATATACTGCTTACCTTAATACTTAGATACCTACCTTTTTAGAAGTATGTTCTGTAAAAATATGTAAATCTGTAATTTTGTCAAAATTAGCATAGCACCAAAACTAAGGTTTCAATTTAAAAAATCCCAATAATTATTTTACGACTAGAATAGCCGAATTCTTTAATACCAGCGGGTAAGCAATAGAGTCTGATGACCAATGTTCTCTCAATGTTAAGATAGTTGTTTTATAAAGCACAGAGAAAAAAGATCATTCCAATCCAACCCAAATTTTATGTGAAATTAAGAATTCGATGGTCGCTCTTTAAATGTCGTAGTTGTTGCACTCGGTAGCCACTTAGATTGCATATATGCAGTGCGAAACAAAGGAACAATATATTCCCTTGGTTCGCACTATATAAGTTAAAATAATAATGTGTAAAAAAAATATTAACACACACATGACAGACATACATGAAACAATAAGTGGTAAATGTAAATAAATTTGTAAATTTGTAATTGTAGTAATGTGTTCAGTTTTTTTTGTTTAATGTATGTTTTAGTTTTTTTAACATCTGCCGAATAAATATATTTAACTGATATAATTTATAATTTAATGAGCATTAGGCGTTTAGTACCTACAAACAATTCATGTTCAATCTTCACTATTTGATTTCTAAGTTTCCTGTAATCCTTTTTCTAGAAAACGTTACGTATACTAGGTACGTACATAACGTAAAACTACGTTGTGTGATCGTATTAAGTATACCATATACTACCATTAATTATAATACAATGTTCCATTACATGTATACAAATAAATAAAATTGAATTGTCTTTGTAATTTCAAATTAACATAATCTCACTAAATCGTATGAAATACGGCACTTACATCAAAATGTCATTTTTAAACTTCCTGTTTGTCTATTTGTTATTGCTAATCACTAAAACGGCTGGACCGATTTTAACGGAATTGGCAATCTCAAGTAATAAAACTTATAAAGAGTAAATTAAGCTATTTTTAGTCTAGAAATTTTATTTATTATAATAAAAAAAATAAGTTCAATTTCACGCAGACGAAGTGGCAGATGACAGGCAGTCGTTTATCGTTCATCAATTAACTCACGTCACAAGGTATGTGTTAACTATTCTAGTTAAACCTTTTTTTAAAGTGGGGACAATCGCTCAAGAAGACTCGTCCGTCTCGGGGTTGATGGATGCGTACTAAAAACCTCACGGTATTCCGTCTAACCGCCAGTGCTGGGGTCAAAACACCGTTTTATGGATTGAGCCTCTCCCTGTTGTTTAAACAGCAGACTTCACCCCTAAGACTGCTCACTACACAGAGCTGCGCCCGCTTTATTCAGGGCTCTACAACAGGTAGAGTCACGGCAGGAGCAGCTCATCCACGCCACGTTAACGGCCGGAACGAGCCCCACACGGACTCCCTGTACTAGCCTGCGCCGACTCTCTCGTCGGTCTGAAGTAACAATAAACCCGGTTTATTGTTACTTAGGCATCATTAGGTATCCATTTCCCAGAATGTAGCCCTGGTCATTCTCAAGCCTTCGTTCTTCGAAAACGAATCCAGAAGATGAGCGATCAAAGAATGGCTGAGACCAACGTGGAGATCACCCGACTCACACTCCACTAGAGTAGTAGTCTAGACCTACGTAAAAACCATTAATAGGTACCTAAGTAGGTAAGGGAGGTTTTAAGTAATCTTTGATACTAAAATGTTTACCCTCTCTGAGTAACGCAAATGTTCTTACCGCGCCTAGTCGTTGACTTGGATTCCGTTCCATTCCACTTGCAGTACGGTGACAGCGGTTATAGAATTAATCGAAAATATAAATAAATCCTTTCGGTTTATTAAAAAAAATATATAATGAAAACAATTTACAAAAATTAATTGCATTAAACTATTATACATTATACAAATACATACATATTTTCCCATAGCCAACCGAACAGATTACAGCAAGAAATGGAATGCACACAGTTCTCTTTGCTATATCTTTTTTCTAGTTGTCATGTGGAATTTAACGTCAGTGGGTGTATTTTTTATCATATAATCAGACAACGCAATAAAAACAACAATTAAAAAAATATATCAAAACGTTTTCAACAAATATATGACATAACAAGAAACTATGAAAATTGAATTTATTTCATAAAAATCTTTAATATTACTTCTGATATAATGAGTCGTTTCCTGTCGCCGGACAAATTGGAAGGTTTTGAAAAATACAAGGTAATTATGTTTTACTTTAAATAAAAAACTACGCGGTGAAAATTATTATACAAATTACGTAATAACTGAATTCATATTTTATAAGTCTTCTTGTATTACCTCTTCATATTCCCAGAAATACTCTACAGTAAAAACCATCATAGATATATATTTATGTAACACTGATTGTAATATTTTTTTTTATAATTCCAGTACAACTCGATCGATACAAGTATACTCAGCAATAATGTAATGCACCCATTTTGGAACTGGTGTGTACAGGTGAGAGTTAGAAATATAATAGTGCATGTTAGGTTTATATATATTATTTTGGTGCTGGTAGAGATTTCACAAGTAGTAATTAATTATAAATAAAAAATATACTTTGTAATTATTGATTATACATTGTACATATTATAGAATATTAAATGAATGAGTTCAACTGGAACTCTTAACTCTAGCTATTTTTATGAGAACACTCCTGTGGGTTAATATTTTGTATTTAAAAAATGTATTATTCTTCCATTCATGTAATGAACAAGATAGTAATTGCTTCATTGGCATGTTAAGAGCACTGCATAGAGTAAATAATATAAAACTGTCTTAAAATATAGATACAATATATTTTTTCAAATTAATCTTAACCAATTTCGATTTTAAAAGTGAGTTCATTGTAGTTTATGAATACACAAGCCAAGATGTCTGTGTATTGACAATGCACTTATAAGGATTTTAAATTATATTTAGTTAGCTTATTAATATAGTAACATGTTTGCAGTATTGTCCACCATGGGTAGCACCAAACCTGCTAACATTCACTGGCTTTCTACTGACAGTCCTTAATTTCCTGCTATTCTCTTACTATGACTATGGATTCCATGCCCTCACGCAGGAGAATGTAACTGAAGACAGTATACCTTGGTGGGTGTGGGCTGTGTCAGCTGTGAATCTTTTTGTTGCATACACATTAGGTAAGAAAATTTGTCATGTTCTTACTTTATTTTACATGTATACATATTGTATTTAATACTTGTTTTACTTAAGAAAGTTTCTTAAATATTAAAATTAATAATATTAAATAGACATATAAATAATTATAATGTTTTAATAATCACATTGCAATACTTATTTTCTCCAAAAAGTAGCAACCAGCTTCGGATATTTAGTTACCGCGTTGAAAGTCACTACAATCAATTGCAGTTATAAACAGTTTTCATTTTGTACTTTTTATTAATTTGTTTAATATAATCAGTCAATTAATATAACTTTTTAAATACAATTACATTATATAAATAAAAAAAAAATGGGCAAATGCTTACTAGATTCTGTTCATGTTTTTGCTCATTTGAATCGATATACACAAAGAAGTATCAAATTCAGTTTCATATTTATAGTGTTTGTAGGGATCAGAAATGGCAATTTTTAAAATCAAATTGTTATAATAATTTCATATTATTTTAATTTTTTATTGATTGATTTCCAAATCCACAATATTTTCTGCCGTCAAGTACTCAAACACCAAATATTAAAATAAAGCACAGGATGGAAAGGGATGAATTACATGTTACTTATACACCTTGCATTACCTCAACATATGGAGTAGGGATGGTTAGTAATGGGGATTAGTGACCCCAGTGCAATCAACATATACCAGCAGGTCAACATCGACACTGTGCCCTCTGAAAATCATCATGGTTAAAATTGCCACAATTGACTAAGTGATCTGACTTTATCCTCCACTAGTGTCTTGTTAGAATATACAGTAGGTTTCAGGTGTACATTCTATACTCACACAATAAAAAAAAATCATTTATCTATTTACAACCTGATATATATCAGTGTTTAGTGCCCATAATAGAATCACTATTTCATAATATTAAATTTGTAAATTTTTTTTTCAGAAAATATAGATAGTCTAAGCTATCTGTATTATCTGAAAAAAAAATGTACTAAGTAAATTTACATGAAAAAAGCATAGATGAGAGACGTCGAGTATCGTAACTTTACATTACAAGTGACACTCCTTAGCCGAAAGTGTTATATTGTTTGTGTATAGGAAGCCAGTTCAACGACTCGCCTATTGTTGTCCACTTATTCATGTAGGTAATTGCGAACGAAGTCTTCTCGCCGCTACTCAGTGACAGTCCTGATAACATATGTATTAAGTTACTTGTGCATTTATGAATTTATATAAACTAGCGGTTAATAGAAAAATAGTCTAGGTATATCCGTCGTCGTAATAAGAAAATCTTTAAGATGTACAGCTGTTTAGTCTCAAAAGGCTAACAAATAGACCGATAAGAAGACAGAAAAATACGTTTTCGAATTTTTAATATTATTAGTATAGACTAGCTGTGCACTCAACGTCGTACTCGTGCTATTCATTTTTCCGAATACCATGGGTATTGTAAACCGATGGGAATGGAAACACTATTATTTACTGTATTTCATTCATTTCATATCAATTGGAATACTTCAATAAAAACGGCATTCAAATCGATTGAGCTGTTTCTGATTAACGTGCACGAAAACATAGTTTCTAAAAACTAATTAGTTTCGGGACTTAAAGACAACGTGGACATTTGTTGACATTTTATTATATGTTATGATAAAAAGAAACTGCAGTGAAAGTATATATTTAGATGTAATCATTCAATTCATCCAGACATTACATTTTCATTGAAATAGTTGGCTGAAAATAAATTTTAGTAGAGTTTAATTCATTGACGCTCTCATGACTCAACGTCGTCAACGTAATCGATCTAGACGTAGACCTAGTCTTAGGCGTATGCGTAAGGGTTCCCATGGCCTCTGCGATATGTTTGAGGAGGAATAGTCGTCAGGTTTTTCGGCCCTTAATCCGGTGGGTCTCTACCTACTTTTAACTTTTAACGTGGGCTGTACAAGGTCGTCCACCTCCCATGTTTCGGCAGCCAAGAAGTTTGGTTTGTAAACCAGTAGGAGGGGAAACAAGACAATAAAATTACCGGATACAGAGGCATTATATTTTAGTCCTTCGGAATAGCAACGCATGAGTGGTGCCATGGACGTCACATGATGACGTGACGTGCTATTTATGTGTACAAACGGCGGGTAACTCTTACCATCAGATGGCCCGTCAGCTTGTTTGCTATTCCATTTATACAAATACAAACCTGGATAGATTTTAGGGGATAGCGTTAATGAAACAATAAATGAGTAAAAAATAATCCAGATTAATTTTTCCCATTTTTCCTTCCCAAAAACATTAATAAAATATAACTGATTGTATTAATAGTTGTTACGGTTCAATATTTTTATGCGAGCAATTAAATTGCTATTAAGTGTTGCAAACTAGCAGATTCCCGCGGCTTTGTCTGCTTAGAATTAGTACTTTCTCTAGTTAAATTGTTAATGTGATAAACGAATACAAACTTCCATTCCAATTTCGTCACTTTATTAATCTATAAAGTTATGATTTTTATGTTTATAAGTGATTTTTTAAATAAAAGGTAGGCGATGTCTGTCGCCTTGATATCTTTCGTGTTGTCAAATTTCGTTTAGGTACTTTAAACGTACTTTAAACAAACACACTTTCACTTTTATAATATTAACATATTAATAAAATGTCTTTACTATATTTAACAATATATACATATCTTTACAAATAGTGAACGCACGATAGCTACAGTTTCGATGCCCTTTCTTATCTGGTGTTAAATGTCTGCATTGATAAATAATAAGATGTATATATTTCATCAATTTGTTCTAATTATGGAGTGTCGTTTGATTATATAGTATTAAATCATTAATAACATTGCTACGTAGATACGGATATAGCTATATTATTTATAAGCCATTCTTCATCACGTGTTTTCCTTTAGGGCAGGTTCATGCCTATAACAGCAGGTCTTTCTAAAGTCTAATGTCAATATCACTAAATCGATATCAGTTAGTAGTTATATTGTATATGAAATCATCATTACATAGTATAAAACAAAGTCGCTGTCACTGTCTGTCCCTATGTACGCTTAAATCTTTAAAACTACGCAACGGATTTTGATGCGGTTTTTTTAATAGATAAAATAATTCTAGACGAATGTTTATATATATAGGTACTACATGTATACCCGTGCGAAGCCACGGCGAGTAGCTAGTATGAAATAAAACTTTGCTGTTTTATCATTCAAGAGTATAAAAAGGCGCCAACACGCGTAATCTAATGGCAATGGATCAAAATTAGTTTCCGCATTTAGTAGTTTCCAATCTGATCTCAATCATTGCTAGAACTGATCTGCATTTTAAGCTACGAAACAATAGGAGTATTATGAGAGAGGACAGGTTATTGATATAGCCTATGACCTGTGATTGTATTGTTGTATTAAAGGAGTCATCTACACTAAGATTATATATACATACATTGTTCTTAGGCTTCGTACAAACTAGAATGCGGCTCACTTGATAGTATTTTTTTATGTATGGAATTATGCACTGCTAACGGTTTACGCTGGTACCAGTGGAGGATGATAAGATGATCATGAGGTCAGGGCAGATAGCCCATCGTGACAAATTCACCAAGAATTTATCACGATGATTTCCAGGGGTAACCGCGTGGAAGTCGACATGACATGGTACATTGCTGGCAATAAGATCAGTCCACATTATTAACAATCCCGTTCCCCCACTTGATAGTCGTACACGTGCCCATATGTTTACATCCGCCCATAAGTGATACCAAAACCTAAAATTTTTTTATAAATAACAGAAAACACATTGATACATGAGTTTGTATCTGGGGGGATTTTATTTAGTGGCACCGGATGATGATAATGAGGAGGTTCATGATGATTGGGAGAATGATAGGATAAGCATGAGGTCAGGTCGGTTAGCCCATCGCAACAAATTCACCGTACCGTGTGCTATATAATAATAGTAATGGGGTTATTAGTCCAAATTACTAACAATCCCCTTCCCTCCTGTTTCTGGGGGTTTTCTTATAGAGTTGTATTATATCTCTTTGAATTTGTATCAGTTGTCTAGTAACCCATAACACAAGCTCTGCTTAGGGCTAGACGGCACTGTGTGAATTGTCCTTAGTTATTATTATTATTACACATGAACAACATGATTGGCTGAAAGGCTGTACAGACACACTTCCGCATTTATATTGTTAGTATGGATTAGAATAGATTACTTAGTAAGCACTTGTATTAGGGCATCTACTAGCGCCCTGGTGTACTAAGCTGTATTAGTGCTCTAAGCCGATTTCCATAGTAACATTATTAAAACGAATATAAATCTGTACGTCTGTTACTTATTGTCAATTTATTTTTTAAATTACGTATTCAGGTAGATTCGACCCTAGCAAAGAATATATACCTATACACATACATTCTACTTCTTGTCTACTACTTTAGGGCCTAAAATAGGTTATGTGAACTTATATGGGCAGTCAATCATTTCTAAAGTAAGGAATACAAAACTCAATTACCTATTAATTTTACGCACACGAATAATATCAAACAATGTCACAATGTGTTTAACCATATCTCCATATCCCTAATTTAGATATTTTTTTATTATGAAAGCTAATTTTATTGATTATTTCAGATGGGATCGACGGTAAACAGGCCCGACGCACAGGTACCAGTGGCCCACTCGGGGAACTATTCGACCATGGCTTGGATTCTTACTCCGCAGTTCTTATACCCACATGCTTATATAGCATATTTGGAAGGTAATTATAATACTTCGACAATTCACACAGCTCCATCTAGTCCAAAGCTAAGCACAGCTCATGTTGGGTGCTAAACAACTATTAGAAATATCAGAAATAAGTCGGTGTACTAAATCGCTAGACCAAACAGGCCGTCATTATTGTACAATAGTTAAAAATCTTTGAAATTGGCACTAACGTCATTGTGACAAAGTATCCGATTGTTTACATGTTTTGCATAAGAGTTCATGAAAAATCGATCCGTTATGGGTAGGTATATTATATATTTTTTTAAATCTCAACAAACCATAATTATAACTGTATGGTGTGAGCCGGCCTACGTTATTTTTATTTAAATTAGGATCACAGGTCAATATCGCGTGAGTAGGCAAACACAATTTTATGGGTATGTATAATGTAGGTTTTTACAATTACAATAAATAGATTTCATTCATAAAATTTCTAACTATTGGCACGAAGATTATGGTGTTATAGTATATGTTTCTTTTTGTGTAACGCAACTTTAATTGTACGTTTTTTACTTGATTAAACGTTGGTTTAATTCAGCCGATTAGGGCAAATACAACCGGATAAATATTATGAACAATTGAGACACTTTTATAGATATTTATGGATTCCAGACACGAGTCTAGAATTTGATCGAGCACCTACGAATACATCACATCAAATATACGATTACCACTTACCATCAGACCGCACGTCAGTACGCCCTTTTTACACAAGTAGATACTTTTCTAATATTAAGATGATTAGTTTTAGAAAAGTATCTAATTATCTTATCTTTTGTAAAGTTTTAACTACCTCCCGAAATACCTGTGGACCACAGTGTGTAAATATAACAAAGAGTATATTAATGTTTCGTGAGGGTCAGCAGCAGGCATGTTGATTACCCCTGGTGTTACAGAGATATACAATCGATGGTAAATGGTTACCATCTGAAGTGGTATAAAAAAAATTAAGTTTTGTGATGGAGGCCAGTCGCCACTGGCCTCTGACTGACTAGGCATTATGCAGTAGATTAAAATGATCATGTTAGTAACTTTAATAAATAACGTAACATTGACAACTTTTCAGGGATGAATTAAGTCCTCTAAGGTTTTTCTTCGTTATTTGGAATATATTCATCAACTTCTACCTCACCCACTGGGAGAAATATAACACCGGAGTCATGTTCCTTCCATGGGGTTACGACTTCACAATGATCGTAAGTTTAATATATATTATATTATATATTAATTTTATTTGTGGTGTAAAGCTGGATTCAGATATTATCAGGATTATTCATATATAATTATCTATATATGCCATATTTTTTGTGTTGTGTAGGTATAAATACAAAATTATTGTTACAATAGATAGTAGTAATATTATCATGAGATATCTTTATTGAACTACCAATGAATATGTTTTGATTTCTCCGTAATATGCCTTATTAACCTGTTTAATGATACACTCCAAATAGCATAGTATTTATAAATAAATAATACTTATATGTATGTGTCACGCAGGTACGTACATATGAAAAATAAATATCGTTTAAATATCTACCAAAAGTTTTCGAACCCCTAAAAATATAAATACTTATTTTTTTTTATTTCATTGTACCTAGTGGCAAATAAGCTGACAGGTTAACCTCTGATAAAGTATATTAATTAAATTGTTAAAATGGAGTAAATAGGTACCAGCATGAGTAATAATATTCCTACATATTTAGGGATCCTGCCTTTTATTACTGGTGACGTCTGTGATTGGCCCCAAGGCATGGCACATTACACTGCCGGGTGGCATCACGCCTGGATTCATTTTCGAAATAGTTCTCTACTTTTCTGCCATGATCACAAGTCAAACTGTAATTTTATGGAATATTTACAAGTGAGTATTGATGGAGATATTCAGTGGATATAAACAGTAGATACAATTTATTCTTGTTATTAATTATTAACTGTTAACAAAAACAATACTAATTTTAAATCTGATGGATTATACTTTTTATTCCACAACCAATGTACATAATAAGTATGCAGATTTCATGCACAATTGCATGAGTATTTAATTTATTAAATGTATTTAAAATAGTATATCTAGTGGCATTTTCTTTACAAACTTAATCATGGTTTTGCTTACTTTTTATCGAGTTTTGCCTATTTTTTATTAAGTATTTATTATACAATTTACATTTTTCTTTGGCGGTAATTAATTTAATGTTTATTAACAGGTCATATCGAGACCGGACTGGCAAGATGCGTTCGTTCTTGGAAGCAATACGGCCGTTGGTCCCGGTTGCAACATTCTTCACGCTGAGCACAGTTTGGGCACTATACTCTCCCACCAATATCATAGACCGCGGACCAAGACTTTTCTACATACTCACAGGAACTATATTCTCCAACATTAATGTGAGTTATCTGCTGGATTTATGTTAATAACATTAGTTGAAATATGTATAGTAGAATTGAAACGCAGGGATTCAGACCCAATTCCATTCTGCTAGATATTCTTATCTATACATGTAAATAAAATTGAAGTATCTGTTTGTAATATTGAAATAATTGTTTTTTACTACATGCATATGAATATAAATACGGTACATACACCAAAATAACGTTTTTACAATTTTTTTCTGTCTGTCTGTTTGGCTGGACCAATTTTGACGGGACTTTTTTTGACAGGTAGCTGAGGTAATAAGGAGTAACTTAGGCTACTTTTATTTTAGAAAAATAAAGTTAAATTCCACGCGGACGAAGTCGCGGGAACAGCTAATATTATATAAAAGGACACCTGATGGTAAGCGGCAACTGTCGGTTATATAATTAGCAGCACCACAAACATCAGGCCAGTTGTCATACGAGGATATGATTAGATTATACTATGATTAGATTATATACAAACGTGTCATGGAGTCTATATATTATGTTATCAAGAAGATGTAATATAATGTACTCTCTCTTATGTAAACTATTTGGCAAGATGTAATAGATGCGATGTAAATATTGGAAGTGGTAGAAACACGGAATTAGTATAATTATATTAAAAAAAATTGTTTCTCGTCTAACATTTTGTTTAAAACTGATGCTTCATGATTTTTTTTAAAGCCTTTTTTGACCTAAATACCGTTTAATTAAAGTTAGTAATTGATTTTTTGGAAATTACATATGAATTTACAACACACTATAAAAACCTTCACATATACAAACACATATATAAACCTTCCTCTTGAATCACTCTATTTAAAAAAAGGTTTCAAAATTCGTTGCGTAGTTTTAAAGATTTAAGCATACATAGGGACAGATAGCGACAGCGGCTTTGTTTTATACAGTGTAAAATGACATATAATGTTTTTTTAGTAAAAGAAGCTAAAAAATACTTAAAATTCTTAGTGCTGATAATATAATCTGATTACATAAAGAATGAAAGCGTAGCGGGTTCTATATTGATCGTCGCATGCCTCCTTCTTATTAATGTGCATTTATTGAAAAGAGAAAATTTATTGCTCATTCTTCTTATGATGAATAAGCTTTCCGAATGAGTGACAGAATCTAAAAATATGACTCTTCAGAAGTGCTTAAACTTAACAGTTTGTTTGAATAAATATAATTTGTATTTTGTTAATGCAATCGCTATAATGTTTTCTATTTCAGTGTCGTCTAATCGTGGCACAAATGAGTGATACAAGGTGCGAGGGGTTCAATGGATTGTTTATACCATATGCCCTAGTGATGGGTATCGTGTTCTATTTCCACGTGTCTCCTATGACAGAGCTCTTATTACTCACCGTGCTGTGCTGCGTGTGCTCCGTTGCGCACATTTACTACGGTTCCAAAGTTGTGAGTAACTTTTTCTTATATATTTTGTATATGTTAAAATAGACTGTGAGAAGTCGTCTGCGTGGATACCTCAGTCTCTCCTATTTCAGCCGCCAAGCAGATTGCTTTATAAGCCATTTCTGTTGTACAGTGCAGATTGGGCACTGCAATAACAGTATAAAAGCCATATCGTTGTTTTTACTTTGAAATGTAATTTGGGAATGTATGAGTGATGTCACGGATATAACACGAAGATGTCTGTATGTTGATCCTGTGTATAGGGAACAGTTGCCGCTTACCGTCAGATGGTTTGCCACTCCTTATTGTATTCCAATTTTTTTGTTATTCTACTTAGACGTAGAAATCAAGGGACTATAATAGATATATTTTGTTGATGAAAAAAACAAGATGAAATTTAATAGCAATGTATTTATTAGTTTGCTGTTGTAAAAATAATGTCACTTCTTACAAACTTTTAATATTCAAATGCAATAAGAGGTACAAAGCTTAGAGGGCAAGCTCTCGAATTTGACTGACGCCTGAAACTCAATTTACATTCCTGTTTTACTCCAAAGATCAAAAACAATCTATAACAAAGCAAAATTAAACCCTCTTCCACTTTGGAATAATCAAATAGATGTTTATTATTGATATATCCTCCTCATGCGATCTTCGGAACTTCGGATGTTTTACCTCTACCGATCGCACAACCTGCTTACTTGCTTACCTTCATTAAATCTTTTATATATTACTTATTAATACAATGTTATTTGTTTTCAGGTACAAGAAATGTGTGAGCATTTCAAAATAGCATGTTTCCACATAAAACCAAAGACAAAATAAGTTATTTTGAATTATTTTATAAATATATGTTTGTAATTTATTAGGCGACTAAATGCCTGTATACGAGCTCTCCATATTAGACTTGACGGCTCTCCTTCATTTATACTCTTTGTACTGAAAAAGATCTGAGTAGATAATTATTTTGGGCTGGGGTAAGCATTTTATATTAACCTTAGTGCAGACTATAAATATTGATAAATTTACAAATAATATAAACAGTGTAGTTGATTATAACCTTAGAGCAGCAGGTTTTATAGTGACTTTTATATAAGGTTACAATCAAGTGATATAAATAAGGCATTTCATATTTATTAAATACAAATTATGGTCACTAGTTACAAGCTAGACTGTTTTTATTAATTTATTTGTGTAATTTTTGAATAATTTGTACTTTTACCAAATTGTAAGGATATTATATGTCCTGAATGATTTTTTCGATACCAAAAATTTACATTTAAATATAATTATTGTCTCGCTATAAGAAACATACATATATATAAATATAAATGAAATTTGTGAAGGAGTAATAAAAAAATATATTAAAAAAAAATATTTTAATTGATCTATTCGTGATTGATAGACTTTTGTTATGTTCAAAATATTCGCGTATGAAAAAAGTGCTGTGGTACCTTAGTCAAATTTTATTTTACTGTAATATAATTGTAAACATGTAAATCGTGTGGTTACTGCTCTAAGGCTTTTAAACATATTATAATATTTTTTTACAAATTTCTCTACAATATCCAAATAATGTCTTTACTGAAAAAGTAAGTTAGTCAATTATTTTACTTCAAAAATCCTTTAAGTTGCACAATAGTTACTAGTAACACCTAGTCATACGTTATCATTATAATGATATTTGATATCGAATATTTTAAATATGGATTGGAAAAGGTAAATTTAAGTAATTAGGTAAGTATATTATTTGTGGGCCAGGTTTGAGAAGACTAAGTATCTATGAATACTTTTATGCCTTCTGTTTATTGCATAAATGTATGTCTTACATCATATTTTTTATAATTTATATGTATATATATATTAGTACCTATTAGGCTATTTGGGTGTATCAATTCGAAACCCAGAAACTTCAAATTGTGAAATTGTACATGATACTATTTATAACGAAGGTTTATATTTTAGAATTAATATTATCTATGTCAAAACCCATAATGAATTATGGTATTGTAGTAGTAGTAGCTTATTGCATAGTAAAATATATACACATTTTCATTTCTATCCTATTTATACCTTCATAATAGAAATACTATTCCATAATATTACACACTGAACTACAAAAAGTAACACCAAACATACATCTATGTAATAAAATATCTTAATAAATCATGACATAAATATTGCATGCATCTTGTGATAATAATGATATCTATTTAGTCACTAAATAGGTCTTAATACATTATATAATATGTGTTTGTAACCAGAAAATAAATTCGAGGTTTTATTTAGTCATTACCATTTTTATTGTTACTTTAGTATCAATCAGTTCAGACAAGAAACTCTCTTAATTTATAATATTATAAAATACGTTCAGAATACTGTTATAAATAAAATATTGCAGAACAATTTTAATAAGGCTTACCATAAAACTAGAGTAGCAATACTAGCTGTGCCGAAGGTTTCTTGCTTATTGTATCTCGTTACCTATTCCAATCCTTGATTGTGGTGATTCCGCATCATAAATATTTAGGCGCTAATGTTAAGGCAGCTAAACTTACAGTTCACTATCTATGAAATATTGATACATGTAATTATAAATGTACTATATCGTATAAATATTACAAATGTGTGTGAGAAAATAACCTAATTCTCTGTCCTACTTACCAAACTAGATTCAAGATAAAAATAATAAGCAAATGTAATTATCACACATAAATTAAGGAATTGTATGTGTAATAATTATTTATTTTGTTTTTATATAACTATATGAACTCTAAATGCGCAATGTATACCTTTTGTTATATTTGTATGCCTGCGTTAATCTTTATGTGCATGATACGGTTGTTTAACACTTTTGACATGTATCTGGACTTTGTTTAGTTCAACTATGTTGTAATTTAACACGTATATAACATACTTAGTCGTAAACATTGTAGCAACCTGAAACCCAGTGACAATATATCTTAGTATAAATTGTTCATGTCATGAACAATTTATACTAAGATATGCAGCAATGTCTGACAAGATTTTAAAGTTTCATACTTACGCGCATACTAAATTAGTTTAATGACCAAGCGTCATAAAAAATTTATACCCATTACGACAAACCTTGTATTTGAAAATTATTCAAACAATCCATGTGAAAATCATTTGAATAAATGTATATTTATCATAATTAAAAAAAAATTAAAAACAAAACATTTTCGTCATTGAAACTGTAGTATTGAATTTGAATCATATCCAAATAATATAACGATACTTTCTCCTGAAATAGTGTTTGACCAACGGTAACATTGGCTCATCCGGTGAAACATTATCTGTATCACTCACCTCCCAGATTCTGTGTTCCATACTTGGACTTGATTATCGTTTGCAAATTACATTTATAAATTTTCTCTTTTTAAGATCTATTGTATATGTTCGTTTTCAGTTATTCTGTAAGTCCTGCAAGTTTACAGTCTTTTTAATGGATGACAATGCTTTAGTTCAACCGCCTGAGCTAACGATATACGCTGGCAGGGCACCAGTGGCAAATAAGAAGACGAGCATGAGGTCAAATCAGTCAAAGCCACCATGACACATTCACAAGGAATTTGTCATGGTTTCCAGGGGAGCCTTGTAGAGGTGATGAATTTATATAACAAATGCATTAACACCAGATGAGTAAATGTGTACAAACTTGGTTTTATGTAGTTATCAATAAATTGATCTAAGCCATAAGGAATATTGACTATATTTTTGTACATTTATAAACTAGGTAATTTGAACCTACTGCAATATGATGTATGTTTTAGATGCATATTGAAAAATATACTTCTAATATGCCAATGCTGCATTGCGGTCATAAGTAGTAATTGTAATTATATGAATGTAAAAATATCATCTGTAAATAATAATTATACAGTAGGTACATTTTTAGATATTGGAAACTTATTCAATGGAGTGATGCGGTTTAGTAATTGAAGGAACAATAATTATTTTCATGTCTTAATTTATACAATATACATATTTGTGGATGTATAATTAATCTTGATTATGTTATTAAATTGTTAGTCAAATGTAATGTTGCATTAATTTGAAAATCCCTACTTTATAAGTGAATTTGCTGCAGACAAGTTAAAATTATTTACATTCTCACTTACCTATGTTACCCAGAATAATATTTATATATATATATATATATATACAAATATAATATTCTACTCTTTTGTCAAAGGCAGTCTCTATTCAGCTTCCTCTAGTGCTACAAGTAAGCAAATTTTGTTTACGACCTGCAGAATGAAATAAAACTAGTAGTAATCAACTTTGCACTATCATAGGTGATTGATTATAGTTCTTAATACACTAGTTCTCTTTACTAACAATGCCCTACCTGTAATGAAGCCCTACCAGTAATAGAGACACTCAACCTCATTGCTAGCAATACATTATTGTCAACTCAACCTCCCTTAGGAAATTATTGAATAAGCCTGCTGTATTTCCCACTGTAGGATAACTGCCCTGACTTTATTTCGCCTTCCACTAATGTAGCACTACAGTAAACCGTTAGTGCAGGCCAGCAAACAATATAATTTTCATTGCCTAAAGAAAACTTGTGAGATTACAAACCTAATGATGTTCTAAATCATGTGGCGACATCTATGTACATGCATGAGTATATTAAAATGAATCTGAGTGTAGGTACATTCCTTCAAACTTGATGAATATGCATACTTTGATGTTAGGAACCACAAGTTAAAACACACAGTACCAGTTGTAGTTAATTTTGAAGATGAAATTGTTAACTCTGCAGTTATAAATAAATAGATTAAAGGAACATGGTTAAATGATTAGATGTGCAGTGTTATTAGTTCTGTAAGGATGTACTGTTTAGTCATAAACAGACAACATGATGTACTGTTTAGACATAAATTTCATGATACCTACATACCATTGTTAAATTAATAGAAATAATGAAGCAGGCCTTAGTAGATAGAGTTGTATATTTCTTTCAGAATAACATACATTTTGACTTAACACATAGTACTGACTGTGTCATTTATTTCATCACTTAGAGACAATAGCTTTCTCCACTGTTCCGGAGTTAAACTAATGCCCTTCTTCCCTGGTAATAATTCACCATTCTTCTCATAGAATTCACGTACATCAATGTAAACTTTGCCTTTAAATTCTCTGACTTTCACCAACTTCTTCCCTTGTAAAACCCAAGTTGGCTCTTTGTCATCTGTTCTTGAACTTGTTTTGGCTTTTTTCTCTGGTGGAGGATTTCTCTAAAAATATGTACCTAGTTAAAATAATAAAGTAGCAAAGCACACCACAAGAATCTCACCTCCAACATAAATATAGGTTTACACAATACTAAGATATGTCATTAAGAGACTCTATTAATTGTAGGTATTGTCTGTACTGTATTAATTATAATATTTATATCAAATATAAAATGTACAGACAAATAACAACAGGTAAACCTATTAAAAACTAAATTGTGAATCTAATTCCATCATACATGCATGCTGGTGGTATTGGAATTTATTATATATTGTGCGGTTTGTAACATATTTTCTTATTTACAAGATATAATGGAAATGCCGGCAAACACGGCCGGTATTATGCCACGTGTACAGGCTTGGATATAAAAAAAATAAATATATTTCATTTTAGAAAATGATGACATTGCATACGAGTGCACATTCTATAATTTTTTTCTTTTTTATTCTTGTACTAAACGCTTTAATATTTTTCTAGCTTACATCAACAGGTCCATCGTCGCTGTCGCTGCTAGAACTCGTTTCCTTCTTCTTATTTTTTGGCATTGTTTAGTTTTTACTGGACCGTAATCCTAGAAAAATAGACAGTTTGTACCAACACCGTTTAACATACTTATACATACAAAATTAATATAAAATATACGTAAAACTACCTAAGCACAAAAATAAAGAAGGGTGGATATTTTAAATGTTAAAGTATAATAGGTATGACAATTATGTAGAACAAAAATGGTAATACTCATGAAACTGCATTTACTTTTTATACAATCTAATAAGAAATGGACGTTCAGGCAAAATAAAAAGAATACAAATAAATACGTTACTTTTACAGTCTACACATTATTTCTTACTTTACAGGTTATGTTATGTCAAAATTGTCAAATTTATTGCATTAGTTGAAATCGATTATTGGATCTGCAATTTGATGGATAATCGAATTTTATCGAAAATTTCTTGCGTGATATTTTTCAACAACAGTTGCTAGTTAATCAGTCTGTTGGCAGAAATTTGACTATCTGAATTGGAAGAATATTATATAACAATAAAAAAATAAAATCGCGAAATCATCGATATAATGCGAACTGACCGATAAATTACATATTCGATTGAGTCGAATTAAAATCACAGAACACTGATTCTAATCGTTAATTGTCATAAAATTGTCATTGATCGGCTGTCACTTTCTACAGGTGAGTAGATTATACTAATTCATTATTATTATTATTTATGTTCTCTAATAGTATTACCTATAAAAAAAAAATACTAAAGAAAATATAATTACTTATGAAATAGTTATTTTTATCGATTACAGTTTTTATTTTGGTGTGAATGTATGTTCTAAATATTAGTATAAGTATTATTAACCAATGAACTACAGATTTAAATCTAAATTATTCTAAATAAAAAAATATTGGTAAATTGGTGATTGTTTTAAGAATAATTGTACCAAGTGATTGATGTAAGGATTTTATATATATGATATGTCATAATAATGATGTATAGCCGATGCCGGCCTCTTTTCCTATATAAACATTAACGTAACCTTAAAAAATAAAATATAATATGTATAAAATTCACTTGCTTTGGTGTCATGTGACTACAGGGCACCTTACCAGATCCGTCTCTACTCCTGCCAAGTGATTGATGTAAGGATTTTATATATATGATATGTATATATATTCCTATATAAACATTAACGTAACCTAAGTCCTAAGACAAGCTTTATATAAAACCACTTAATGTTTGTGTCAATGCTGTTTATGAAAGAAGCTATTACATCACCTGATCATTTTTATTACTTCACAGTCTATCAAATTACTTGTGATGATGCTGGAACCGTGGAATGATCTATCAGTTTTGCCCCCTCCGGTACATACATCACAACCACAGTCATCCTGCATCGGTATATATCTTTATGTTATTTGCTATTGATACAGATTTTCTTTGGTTCTAATAATACAAATAACACAAGATCTAACAAACTATTTCTGTCCCTAAATTTTACGTTCATATGACATAGAACATAGGCATATATACAAATACACTAGTACCAATGACAAAAACTCTATCTACTTTCTCATAAGTCTCCCAAAAAAATTTACACTGGTGTTTCAGGCATCCTTAAGCTATTATATATGTGTACAGTCAAATGGCAGTATGCTTAATTGCCACTTTTATATATAAAAAAAATACATACATACTTAAAAATACACATATACTTTTTACTGAGTTCCTTATTTATAGATAACATATTCTTGAACTACAATAAAGTATTTTTAATAGATTTTTATATGGCAATTCCAGTTACTTATATCCTTATGTATTAAAAAACTTTCAAAAATATTTTCAGATATTGATGAGCTGAAAGATATATGTAATAATATAATTGCATTCTTATCAAAACAATCACCATTGCATGAGGAGAGTGCACTTTTATCCAGATTCATATATAAATTTGATAAAAAATTCAGAAATGATATAGGATACAGAAATCTCAAGAAAGTCTACACTGCTCTCCGTAGATATTTGAAGATAAATTTATTGAAAGATGTTGAATATTTTTCCTCTACACTTCCACAGAGTGACGAGCCATATTTGCCAACACGTCAAATGTTGGAGTATGTATTGATTCGGATAATGTCATTTTCAAAGATAATGTTTAGAATATGTATATGTTCTAAACAGGCTGCAATTTTTTATATGGACAGGTTAAAGAGAGGGGAGAGTCATTGGATGTCATTGATGCCTTATGCACTACTAAGCAGAGTATGGTCTATATGTATGGTATTACTTGAACAAGCATGTTCTTGGTATTCTAATTTATACAAATACCTTAATAAATTGCAGTTGAAGGGTGTGATTTTTTTACCAGCAGCCTATGAGCTGCCAGTTAATATAGAAGTATGGATTGACTTACAAAATATTGATTGTTATGGCAGATTTGATTGGTCTGAAAAAAGACATTTGACAATAGATTCCAACTTGGTTGAAGATGATGGGGAAACTTTTGATAGCATATTAGATTATGTGAAAGAGGTAAATGATGAAACATTTGAAGATATAAATAAACAGCTGATACCAAATCTTCAAGAAATGAAGCCATTATTAATTGAAACTTGTATGTCTCAGAGTATTGACATGGGTGAGTCAGTATCAAGGGAATACTTTAAGTCTTTTTTTAATCCTCAAACAAATGATAAAAAGTTAAACCATTCTGCTGACAAGGTGACTAACAAGGCCACATTACAAACATTTTTAGAAGCAGAGGAGACATATAGGAATGAAAGTGACAATAAATCATTAACCAAACATCTCAGTTTCATGCAGTGGCAAAGTTTAAAAAATTCTTTGCTTAAACTTAGTGACTCTTTAGCTAAGAACAGAAAAATAGAAAGAAAATTTCAAAGAATATGGCAAGAGAAATGTTTAGATTATGTTTAATAAAAGTAATCATGTTTTATTCTTGAATTTATTTAACATTAATTATATACAATATAACTTACAGCACCATTTTGGTAGATACAAATTCATGATGACTGGCAGGCGATATATAATCCATAAGTACATAATATGCAAGAGTGGTCTAAGGCCTAGACAATCTAGGTAACTGCCTAGGGCCAGCTTTGGCCTCAGTCCAGCACTGATAGCATGTATAATTATAGTGAAAGCATAGGTCAGGTACAATATTTTAATGAATGTGATACCATTCAAAACTTTACTTTTATTATTTTATTAAAATCCGTATATAATGCAATAAAACATTTTTTTTTTTCGAAAAATGTTAATTAATAGTACTTAAATAATCAATATTTAGAAGTTGCTTTCTTTTTCTATTGAGGATTTCATTATTATACACAAAACCATCAGTCATTCTCTGTTATCACAAAATATAATTTTGTAAACAATAAAATCGAAGAAATTAGAGATCAAGGTATGTCATAAATACCTGTTTTAAATTTCAATTGAAAGTTCTTACACTGAATGTAAAATATTATTCTATTAATATTGAGCAGTTCTACAAATGTTTTACTGGAATGTATGATTGACTTATTCAACAATTTCTAATAAATAAATTCGTTGGCAACACTCGTAGCATCTGTTAGAGGCTATTGCAATATTAACCCAGTTATATGTGGTATTGAACTACTTGTTATGTAATTTTGTACACCGTACAAACTAATATTTATTTTTTAGTGGTAGATAATCTCTGTAGGCGTGCTTTTAAACCTCCTTCTTTTTTAGGTTGTGTAAGAGATTTCCTTTCTTCCTGAAGTTTTTTAGCTTCTTTTAATCTGAAATTTAAAAAAATACCAATATGTTAATTATCATTGCTGAACATATTAAGGTATCAAATTAATTATTAGATAATATTATAGCTAATATTCTTAAGGAGATTCCACGTAATATTGATATATAATAAAAAAAGCTGACGTCTATCCTGATGGAGTGCCAGTGAAATAAAATAATAAACATATTCACTCACTTTTCCTTTATAGCAATTTGTTCTTCTTTTTTATAAATATCCTTTAAATCGCTACAAAATGACGTCCACATTGAAAAGAATTCTTTCGGTTCACACTCTTCTAATTTTCCACACTTCGGAGTGTATTGATAAAATTTCACAGTAGCAATGAATTTATTACGACAATCCTCTAAGTTTTCATTTTCCGCTTTTAATTTTTCTTCAGCTGAATTTATAAATGACGTCATTTTCTCTTTGAACACTTCTAATCTCTTCGATGATTCATCAGACATTTGGGGCAGAGCATCAGCTTCTATAACTTTTTTCATTTTTTCCTTGCATGCTGAAATCAGATAGCTGTTTTAATGTGAGGACAGTCACAACATTTAGTCAAATTACAAGGAAATGTCACATATAGTCTAGTCATATAAGAAAAATTACGACAATTAATTAAATTTGTAATTATTGAACATTATGTACCATCCAGTAAGAACAATTTAAATTTCAAATCAGTCACAAACTCGTAGTCAACACCTGTACATACAGTACCTACATCAGTTTAAAATATTGAGAATTTAATTAATTAAATTAATCCTTTTAGGAAACATAACTTAAGTTGGACTTACTAAAAAAACAATAAAATATTGATCACAAAATTTAAAAAAAATTACTCATTAGTTTCAGGAGAAGACCCTGTATTTTAATAGTAACATTAAAGTATAAAGTCTAATTAATACTTACCAGCGAGTTGCTGCGCGAGAGTGCCGAGGTTCGCGGCGACATCCGCGAAGTCAAGTGCAGCCGCGCGTGCCACGTCACCCGGCTCAGGCACCGGGAGAGTATACTCTCCCACTGCTGGGACTTCGCCTGCGCTTCTAGTACCCCTCACTCCCATATACGTCCGCACGATGAAGTGCAACAGCGTTGTGTTCGACTGCTTCGACTAAGGACACACAAATTTAATTTAAATACTCAGACTTTGTTTCGTGTGACTATCAGGATGGTAGGATGAGCTTCAAGTCATGTCTGTAACCTTTTTGTGGCCAATTCATCTGAAATTAACCACTTTAATGGGGAAGAGATGCTGGTTCTATATTGTGTGTTACATGCAAAACAATACAAAGAGCTCAAGTGTTGTGACCATAATAGTTGTAAGATCTGATTAGCACTGATAGCATAAATGCAAACACTATTTCCTACAGTGAAACTGTAAAAGGCAACTACAACCAACAGCATTAAAATGTTGTGAGAGGTTTTTTAATAATGGATAATAGTGATCCTATTGCTCCATCCTGGAAAGCATTATTAATTCCTTGTGAGCCCCAATTCACGTCGAATTGCACGCGTTTACAACTGGAAAAGATCATGTATAATTCCTGGTGCTCTGGTCGGCTAACTGACCTGACTTAATGCTCATCATATATTTCTCCATTGGTGTCCCGACATTAGTTAATTGGCGCAGAAAATTAGATTTGTCATGATTATCCATTCAAAAAATACAAATTAACAGTAAGTTGATATTTATCTTAGTGGTTGAGTGACATTACAAGTAATGTAGTAAGCACTTAATTAAACAATTAGCAATAGAACTGTTGCACAATTCAATAGGTTCCTTACCTTGACATCCTTCAATTTAGATAATATTTCCAACCCGAAACCGTCTGCTTGGCCTCTTTGACCATTTCCTCCATTCATATAATTGCCAAGAGTCAAAATGATCGCAAATAATTTCTTAAGAGATTCACTAGTCATTAGAAACTGTAAATAAAAAGTAAATGTTTTAATATTACTTGTTATAATAATTAACTCTAGTTATTCCAAGTTGAATAATCTCTTAGATGGGTGACCCTATAGTGGTATATAAATTGAGCTCTTTAGTGCTTTTGATTACGTAAAACTGATAGTGTTGTAATGGATATGGGTTTAGTAATTTTACTTATTATTTCAATTTGATCCTTACCTCACAAGTATGTTTTAAATTATCTAACTTGTGCATTGTTGTGCTTATAGAGTCTTCAAATTCTGCTTGGAACATAAAACATGAGATACGCTCTGCAAAATTTGGGATTCCCGATAAATCATGCAAGAATCCTTCTGGTTTGTCTAATGGTATATCTGGTTTGCTATGTAAATGTTCTTTAATAAGTGACAGTTCTTCATCACTTGCTCTCTGAAAATTATAAACATATTTTTATAGTACCCACTAGTAATTTCACAGAGACTAAAAAACAACAAATTAATATAATAAAAATTAAAAACATTCTTTTTTAGACTTTATTTTTTGTACGTGTAGTGTAAATCCACCAGATATTTAATATCTGGCTATACACATACAGGTTTTATAAAAAATACTTATTTTAATATTCTTAGATTTAATAACATACTTACCAATTCATAAATTTGTTGTAATGCTTCCAAACTCACCACAGATGTGTCAAAATTGTATATAGCATTTTCAATTTCAGAAAACTCTACATGTAAACTTTGAGCAAGAATTCCAACGTTCTGTGATCTTTTACTGTCTAATATCTTTATAGGCATTATCTTTGTCTTCACTTCAACTTTCTTTTTAATTGGGGCTTTAACTACCTGCCGTGAGAATAAGTCTGTAAATTCATCAATGTTATCTAGTTTTGTTTCCTCAATTTCCAGCCAAAGAGGTTTCAAACCACTAGAATCTTCTTGATATGCTGTAGGTGCTGAAGTGGCTAATATCCGTGTCCAATATAACGGTTTCATGGGTGCAGCTGGTTTTACAGGAATCTTTCTCAATGCTGTAAAGATAGGTCATAAATTTAATTTCTTATTCTACAAATAAAAGCATATAACTCATCTAAATTATACTCACTGGCTCGTTGCATATTCCATCCACCTACAGGAGGAGCTGGAAATGGAACTGGGCCTAAATTCGGTAGGGGTGGCGGTAGACCTGGAGATGGCGGACCTAATCCTGGCATACTTGGCGGAGGAGGTGGCCCCGATCCTGGCATTGGAGGTGGGAGTGGGCTTAAACCTGGCATAGGAGGAGGTGGAGGGCCGATGCCAGGCATTGGAGGTGGGGGTGGTCCCATGCCAGGCATTGGGGGAGGTGGAGGTCCCATTCCAGGCATTGGGGGAGGTGGAGGTCCCATGCCAGGCATTGGGGGAGGTGGAGGCCCCATGACAGGCATTGGTGGAGGTGGAGGTCCCATGCTAGGCATTGGAGGAGGTGGGGGTCCCATGCCAGCCACTTGAGATGGTGGGAGGTCTGTGCCAGACATTGGAGTCAGTGGGGGTTCCTTAACAAGCGATGATAGCAGCTGAGGCTCCATGCCAGGCATTGGCGCAGACAGAGGTCCAATACCCGGCATCGGAGGTGGCGGATGTACCATGCTAGGCAATGAAGATGGAGATTCCATGCTAGATATTTCTGGCGTTGGAGGTTTCATGCCATGCTTTGGTAGCGTTGGCGGTTCCATCACTGGTTTTGATGTAAGTGAAGATTCCAAATCAGGTATTAGCGGTGGGGTTGATGATGAATATTCTGATCCCATTATTGGTTTCACAGATGGCTGTTCTATTAATATAGGCACTTTATCAGATGTTGGACACGTTCCTGGAGTAGGTGGCGGCGAGGGTGCCATGCCTGGTGATGGAGGAGGAAGATCTGATGGAGATTGATTAATTCTGGGTTTTTGCCCAGAATCCAGTAATTTCAATATTTTCGAATTTGTGGAAGTTTTATTTGTACTATCTGAAGTTTCTTTTGATTTATTGGGACTACATGGCTTTGCTTCTTTTATTGTAATTTCACAATGTTCCAATGGATCTTTGTTTGATTTTGATAATGACCCATCTCCATGGCCCAATTTATTAGTGTCTATATTTGTACATAAAACATCTATAGGAACATTTATTGTATTTGCAAGATTATCATGGTTTATATCTGACAATATTTCAGATTGACTATTGAATAATTCATTTGAAGGGCAAGTACTTAAAAATGAGGCATCTGATGAGCTATCATGTGTGGAACTAATGATATTGGTTTGATCAGAATCTTTTGCTGCAGGAATTACATTTTCATCACTCATATTATTGTTGTCAATGTTTTCATTATTTTGTATCACATCATCTTTTCGAAAACTATTATTTAATTCTCTACTTTTATTTAATTTACAATAATTTTCAATTTTTTCAGATCTATTTTCAGGCATTATCTCAATGCTTTTCTCTAAACTACTTAAATCTAAATTATTATCAATATTTACATTTGTTCTTATGTGAGGGTCATAGTCAGGTATATTTATCACAGGTTTTACAGAAAACTTATTTATGTCACTGGCATTACAAGTTTGTACTTCTTTACATACCAACTCAATTTTCCTTTTATCAAGCAATTGATGTTCAGTATCAAAACCCTTCTCTAAGTTTTTATTAAGGGTCTCAATTTGAGCACTTATTTTCAATTTTTCCAACTGATATTGTAACTCTAAAAGTTTCCTCCTCAACTGAGATATAACAGTTTTTGCTTCACTAATATCATTTATTTCATCATTGTTATTTTGATTGAGTAATTTGTTATTTTCCAAACTACTGTAATTAGTGATGTTTCCTGGAGTGGAATGAAGATCTTTATCTGGTGGCCATGCAGTCATATGCAATCGTCCGGGTGTCACTGGTTGTGGTGCCGGAGCCTCCATGTGTGCCCAGTAATACATCAGATTAGGCTGGAATAGATATAATATAGAATAATTTACTGGACATATTCAATTCAATTAATTAGATAAACAAAAACATGTATTATTAGATGTTTTTGTTTATCTAATTAATTAAAATTATTATTACATTCATTATTTTCAATACCTGTACTATAGTAATAGAATTGAAACTGATAATTTGATATATATATTTTGTAGTTTTATGCGCTGGCCTATGTTAGAGAATATGCATTTGAAGATTAATACAGATCTTTACTGGTGAGGTATTTCAATTCAAGATTAATCAATAACAGCATAAACTTGCAATATTACCAACATTCATCAAAACAGTTATATTATAAATAAATATATAAAAGAACAATATACCGAAATATTTACTCTCTATTACAATTTTGTTATACTGCTTCAAAGTTATAATAAATTTAATGCTATAATTTTTTCTGAATAATATTCATGTCGTATATGGTCAATGGTATTGAATACTGGAAGCTATTTGCTATAAATAAAGAGATATAATATATATTTATATAAAAAAGGCAAAGAAAATTACTTAGTTAAGATTACTATTCAAGATAAAAATGGTGTTGATATATGTTAGATCTCCAGTTTTACATCTCTTCCATAAGCAGTATTTAAGTAAAATTATTATTGTCAAATCTTTGGATAAGAAGTGTGTTTTTGTACTATCTACCTTGAATGTGGACTCCGTGGGAGCATTTTTATCAGATATCTGTCTCAGCACCCCAGCTGCCAGCAGTTGTGTGAAGTTTTGAATTCCAAGGCTTTTCAGATCTTGAGTGTTTAATACGCCCTTTAAATTATTGTTCTCAGCAATTGATGATACAAACCAGTTGAGTAACATTTGCCCTTAAAATGTTGAAAATGTCCATTGTTATATCGCTGACTTTAATTATTCAGGAATACATAACTTATAACTTATTATATAATTAAATGCAATTATCCAAATATAACAAAAATAGACCAGCACTAGTTGTAATTATACTAAACAATAGAGAATAATAAAACAAAGAATTAGGTAAATATAAAAATTTAAGTGCAGTGAAATGGAATGGAAATCCTGAAGTCAGTCTACTGACTGACTTCTATCAGTTATGTCAGTGATTGGACCAATCCTGTCTAAATTGACATTGACAGAGAGTATTTGGGTTTATTTTAATTTTAGCTTGCTTGCTATCAAAATCTAAATAAACATTTATTAAATACATATCATATTATACAGCACAATATATTTTACTTTTAATTTACTTAGTTTCTAAGAGAGATCGAAATAGGTCATTAATGTCATGTTAAAATAATTCAATTTAATACCGCAAACAAACTCCCAGTCACGTTAGGACAGTGTCAAACGCTGCCTACAGGGAATTAGTTAGGTACTCATGAACAATACAACAGAGATCACGTCACGTGACACATGTACCTACTACCTGGCATACGAGCTCCATATTATTCTTGACGACTAAAGTGTTTTCACTATTTTATCATTTAATCGAAAACACAGCTTACAAAGCAAGCAAGAATGCAACTTTATTACTGTATTCTTGCAGTTCGACAGTTGTTGGTAAGGTATATGTGGGTGTATTTCATGAAGTAGATGCATGTACGAATAATATGCGAAATTAGGTAAATATGATAATAGACAATATCTAGTACAGCGATAATATAGGTAATAACTAAACACATGCCTTCCTCAAATTATTTATCGATGCAATAACATCTTTTATGGATCAATTATAATGTCTACTATTACGGCGGCGCCATTGTAGGTAGGTAGTAGCGAGTAAAGAATATCCGGGCTAATAAATACTTAATATTTATTATTGTAATTGTATTTGGAATCATTTTGCGTAGATATGTAACGAAAATGAGACATGAAGTACTAATATTAGTGATTCTTTTCATCTTTATTTTGCCTTTCGTAAGGACAATGAATGTTTCTTTGTAATGTATATTAATAGTAGTAATAATATTTTTTAAATTTCTTCAATTTTTATACGATATAAAATATTATGAAACTATTGCTTGTAACGCGTGTAATTTTTCTACATATTTGAGTGTATTATTAAATATGATATTAAATGATGATGAAGTGTGAAAATACTTCATGGTAATTTTAGCTACGTAGTCTATTCCAGCTCACTATTGGACGAAGGCCTCTCCCAAAGATTTCGATATATTTGAAGCTTGCTTTGTTTGGTGGGAGATCGCCACTAATAAATTTTTAACTCTGTCTGCTTATTAGAGTTATTTTCCTTAGTTTAGGGCTTTCTAAAAGCTTCGGTATTTAGGGTTTACCCCAGGCTGAAGATTTTATTGCCAAAGACGTCTGCGGGGTTATTTTAGGTTTCGGTTGCAGGTGAATTTACAAGGTATAAAGGCATAAAATCTTAGTCCTCTGGAATAGCATAAGCGGTACTGCGAGTGTCACATTGTGAAGTCAACAGATTGTTTGCCATTCTAGTAACATACAGAATAACTACACGGAGTAGCCTAAGCCCATCTCAGTTTGCCGTTTCTTTAGATGCTAATAGACACATTTAGGATCATAACAGGAAACGAAATTTCAAGCATATTTTTCTCTACAGGTAGATTGTAGAGTTATATAGTACTGGTAAAGTGTAGTGTCTGTAACTCTTTGCCTCCCAAAAAAATAAAGTGTATTAGGTGTGATCGGAATCTGACTACACCCATGACAAGAGTGGGATTTATGATATTCAGTTGATAATCAAGTTTATTCAACGTAATTATCATAATACTACACATTATTAGGAATTTATTAAAATTATACTTAATTTATAAAATAATTGGAACTTACTGTTGATAATCCATAGTACAATATTTTTATGAGTATTCAATAAAAACTCTATTGTAACTAAACCGCTTTTTAAGTTACATTCTATTCTAATTGTATAATGCATTTTGTTCACCGTCAACAAATTTTGATTAAACCAATATTCTGATTTGCTAAAGTTCATAGTCAATATTTTAGGAGGTACATATAACATTAAAGCACGTTTATATTTATTTCTTTTGGCCGTGGATCGAGCTCGTTGTGATACTAATCCAGCGTTGATAGTCACGAGTTCATCAGGGTGTAATCCAAATATTGACACAACATCTTGAGCACTCTTATCCTCTCTGTAGCGTTGACTAAGAAATTGAACGTAATTAAAATGTGCCACTGAGGAATTTGTTAAATTAACACGACTTGCAGACAACTGCATGGTTGCAGATTGACCACCGAGCGTTGTTATAGTCACGTATACACTAGGCAGGTAGTATTATTAGCGCCATATCATTACCGTATCTAATGTTATAAGATAGATAAGAATAGGTCTTTATATTTTGATAAAAGATAAGTTAGTTTATCAGTGTGTTCATTCACCTGTTTTTGCAACTGGCGCTATGAGATTGGTTCGTCTGATTAAGAAATTAAACTATTAGATTACACGAATTCTAAAAATTTACTAATGAAGTACTTTCTTTAATTCAAGAATAGAATAAATGTAATAACATATCAATCAGGACTATAGTAAAGATCAATCTACGAAATAAATGAACTATCCACTGCGGTGGAATATCTTTAGAGACAATTCAATGCAATAAGTACACTTAAACCCATTGTTAAATATGATTTTGTGCGTTTACGACGTTAATAAAATAAATCCAGTGCTATTTAGTTCCAACCTAAGCAGACCTTGTGTTATGGATGCTAGATAACTGATAGAAATAATTAAATACATATTTGTGAAAAAATATGTATTTAAATGATATACGTGGTAAACACCCAATACAAACACTCATACCCATAAATACTAATGTTTGTATAGTGCGAGGAATCGAACTCTCTACCAACGGAAGTAAGGCAGTGTGTCAAACCGCTAGACCACCAAGGTCGTCATGACTTTATCAGTCAGGAGTATGATTGTCGAAAAATATTTGTTTAAATAGAAAACAAAAGAAATTTTAATGACGCGATTATTAGAAATTAATATGCTCCTATTTCTCTACTGCTTGAGACTGCCTACTTTGGTGTCGACTGTCATACGCTTTCTTCTTCGAATGCTTTTATAAGTTTATATTTGAAGGTCCGACTCCGATCTTTGATAGGTCACGTTACTACACTTCCTGAATATATACAGAATATACCTACACTACTATATAGATTAGACGCCGTAACAAGTGAAAAGAGTCTAGAATGTCATACGGATTATATTTATGCGAAAATAGTTTTGTGATCCGTCCTACCAATATTATAATAAATGTAGAAGTGGGTTTTTATCTTGGAAAAGTATTCCATTACATTGTTTTCCGATCGCTTAAGATATTTAACTTGATATTGAATCATATTACCTACACCTCTATTTGCTTGTACTAGTTTTAGGTGCTTACCTTCAAATTTTTCATGTAGTTGAAAGTCGAGTTTTTCCGGCACAAACTTCGACCGTACGACCTTTGTTTCTGTTAGTTTATCAAGTGTGAGAGAAGCCACTTTCCTCAGAACATTTGATTCTGTCATAGGAGCATCGCTAACGCTGGAATGTCTTCGGTCTTTTTCTGTAACATATGAGTGCCTAAAATTAATCTTACTAAGATGTAAGATTAATTTAGTAGGATACCTATATAAAAAAATAATATAATGCTCGAAATTAAAGTCCTTATATTTTACTAGCCACGGCTTCGCACGGGTGTACCTATATTATACATATAAACCTTCCTCTTTAATCACTCTATCTATTGCTGATAGAGCTGATCTGCCTTAAAATCGGATGGACAGCGGCGATTTTGTTTCATACTATTTAAAAATCAGTCGCCAAGCATCTTGTTATCTGTACTTCTGTTATAAGATAGATAAGATGCTTTTTATTGCAATATATGATTAGAAATATGTGTCTGTGTTTAGTGTCATTTAGTAAGTAACTTACTACTTAAAATAAGGCCAATAAATGCTTTATAACTTCAAGCTATTTGTCATCCGTTTTATATGATAGTCATAAAACATTGAAATCTGAGATGGTTTGGTATCTGGTATAAACCAGTCCGATCGTAAATGCACTACAAAATAATAACTGATTTTGATACGAATACCAAGATATTGGATACTTTACATCTTATGACAATATTGTAGACTATAATAATTAAATTCCTGTTATATTTACTTTATTTGACTCAAATAAGGGAAGCCTCATATAGGTAGCGTATGTGCCAACGGCGTGATACTACAATATTATTGTTACGATTCAGAGTTTTGTAGGTATGTTAACGATTCGAAAAACACTAATTGGTTTACTTTTTTGGTATTGAATCCATTAAGAGAGGTTTTACTTAATTGGATGATAAAGTACCTTATTATAAAACTCATAGCGATTACAATAGATTGACTGGTCCAGTAAATCTATCAACAACACTGAGTTGAGTACATATCAACAAACTGGTTTCATATATGTGTTAGGAAGTGAAATACAATCGAGTGACAGGTACATCTAGTAGCATCGTACAACATGCAATATTTAGTTAGTATGCATAATAAAACATTCCTATACTGTGTAGACTTCTGACCCTTTTTATCGGAAAATAGATGGACTGATCATAATATTATCAATCAGTTGACAGATTTATACCTACACTGACGAAGCAGATAACAATGTACTTTATTGATTAAATGTACTTACATATCCTATAAAAGCAAGTATAGTTGCTTACATAATATAAATAGGTAGGTAGAATAAATAAAATTTTGGAAACTAACCGTTGTCCAGTATGGTGAGAGTCGGGTCACAGACGACAGGAGACAGTTCAACTTTCCGATGTTTAGAAATTGTAAACGAACTTTGTCCTGGACAAGGTTTTAACCGGTTGTCCCGGAAATCATGATTGCACTCATGTGTAGTGCGCTCTAAGTGCTCAGCGCGCGGTCGAATAAAAAATGCTCCCATGACCTTTGCATCGTTCCTATCAACGTTGTCACTGAAAACGTCATTTTTTTCTTCTTTGGGCATGCCGACGGTTGACAGCGAAGAGGTGGCTTCATCGTGTGGCATATCTATGGTCGAAGAGGCCGGTGAGCGAGTGATTTGCTCAGGCACATCCACCAGCGAGGGTGTTAGAGTACGTAGGGGTTCGTCGTGGGCACTGTCGCTCTCAGCAGAGTAGTAACACTGGTTGAGCTCGACGGCGAGCGGCGTGAGCGGATCTGTGAACACTGACTCGGAGGTAGAGTCGTTCGCCGGAGAGACAGCTGGCGTTGCGGTGGCGGCCGAGGCGTTTGGTCGGTCGCGGGTCGCTGACCGCGGCTCCGCGCGCAGCCCGCACCTGCTCACCGTTACATCTGACTGCACGCTGCCCGACTCCGTGCCCTCTCCATCTCGCCGCAGTGTTTGAAACAAGCACTCGACCGTATCGTTATCGGACGCTTCAATCGCTTCATTGTTATCGGAGTCTGGGATTTTATCAGACTCTCTGTCGATAACGTCCCGTTTTGTATCACCTTTTTTCTTTCCATGTTTTCTGCTCTCACGACCTGATGATTTTCGATTTAGGTTCCTGATGAAATGTTTACCTTTAGCTGGGGATTTCCCTGTTTTAGGCTGTTTATCATTTGTTTGAATATTTCCCATAATTCAAAATAGCTACTAAACTTCGTCACATTTAGAATTGTATATAAAAATTATCTTATATTAGGCAATGGCTTATAAAAATCTTAAAACGTCAACAGGAATTGCATTCGCATCATGGTAATAATAAATTGTACAAAGCCAATATATAAGAACCATCGTAAATTTGTAACACCACAATAAACAAAGTTATTATACGTATTCACAGTGGAACAACAATATTATCTATATCTTAATTTAATATACCTATAAATTTTTGATATTAAATTGGTAAAGATATTGATTTGTTCTTAAAAAAATACTACGGGAAAGTATAAAAATGATTAAAAGCAAATCACAGCCCTTAAATGTAGGCAGGTACTCTGTATATTGGAAAACATGCGCAGTAAAGGCTTCTCTAAATCAATAATTAGGGTGCGTTTCACTTTGTCTTAAAATTAAACTCCAAATGTATAACATAAAATAACACAATTAAAAATATCTAATAGTACTTTTTAAAATAGAGCAGTTGTAGCAGAAATAACAATATTACTGTACAGTACAAACTATTATACTTTTTTTACTGCGAAGTTTATTTCTCTTCTTCGCTAGCAGGTACAGTTTACAAGCTGGTAGATGGCGACACTTCCAACAAAATAGAAAAAAATACCATGTCATATATAGGTGTTGTAGTTAAGTTGAGACGGTTGATACTTGAAATTCAAAGTAGTTGCGAGACACTTAAGTCGATGTCAAAATAATTTACTTAGGACCATCTGACCTCTTATGCAGCACGTTATATTTTTACCATAAGAAACTTGAATATATTTTTTAAAATCATATTCAATTAAATATTACATAACTAAGTATTAAGTAGTAATTGTAACAACATATTTAAAATATCGAACTTCTTGTCTGAATCAATAAATGCGATACAAGGTCTCCTGCGATAAATGATCGTTTACTTTTAATAAGTATATTCTAATTGTAGCATCTTTATTGTGACACCAATAAAGGTGACATTATTTATAGGTTTTACAATAGGCTGGTATAATTATTTTTCAGATTACTTGTTTATAAAGAAGAATTAGGCGTATAGAAATTGTAACTGATGTTTACCACTTGTCAATGATAATAGTAATAATTTGTCTATAAATATGACCCCGTGGTATACTTACTAACGCTTCTGGTTGCTATATAGCAATAAGATTATAATTTAAGATTATGATTATTAATCTTTATGCACTACCTTATGAATTGTGAGGATTGAGGTATTGTTATTCTGATGCTGGCTGCAGAATTATAATTTTATGTATGTTTACCATTACCAGCGTTAGTTGGTATTTTAAATTAAAAGAATTTAGATATGTACACAAGACCGTATAAAGCTTTTGCATCATAATTGTTAAGTTTATATAGAATTCAATTGTTTCAATAGTTTATTTAATAGATATGAATGAAATATAATAGAAGAAAAATAAATCTTCTTTTAAAAAACTAACTTCAATAATACGTTAATAAGTATAATAATAAAAAAATTAGTAAGAAATTTTAATTCTTATGAAACAATTAAAATTGCATTTTTACGATTACGGAATTATGACAAGGTCAAAATGAGGGTCTGCCTGATTGAATGTTGCAGCCGTCGCTTATTGAATGTACGGCGGATATTATAAAACATACTGTGACGCATTCGTCATTAATGTGTTGTAACTAATCTGAATGTAATCTTAGTACCTAACTGCGTAACAAAGATAACGACGCACCATTATAATATATCTAGGTAGCTAGAGATAAGTAAACTTCTTTACAAAAATCCAAAAATAAATTCCTGGAACAGGAAAGTAACTAGAATGTAAAACAAAATAATGAACCATCTAAAAATTCTCGACACATGGCATGTATTTTATGTGAAGTATTTCTTTAAATCAACAGGCACAAAAAGTGTACAACGGAAACTGCCGCTGGTAATTTGTTCTTGGTACTTTACGTAGCACCTTAGAGGCCTATAAAGGAAAACAATTGGAACAATTTTCTCCTTGAAGAGCTCTCTCATACGGTACAAGTATAAGATATGAAACATATCCTTAGAATTCGCATATATAAGTACATACCTAGTTACACATATGTGTAATTTATAACAACGTGACTAGAATATGAAGCAGGTATAATTTCACAAAGATCGAAAAGATGTAGTTCGCTAAAATACTTACGTGTCTTCTGTTGAAAATCAAGTTAATATATTTGCTGTCACTATATTGTAATATTTTTGAATGCCAAACCAAATTTAGACGCCGATTTTCTGGTGAATATACTTTTAATAATGCTTTTTTAATTATTGACAGTTTTTTTAGGACATAATTTGCCCCATTATCATTTGCATATGCAATTAGAAGAATTAGGCAATTAACAGACGTTTTGTAAGTTATTTCCATAGCATTATGTCATATACTACTTTACAGATATAAATACTATATTTATTTTACAAAAGAGAGCCATACGTTCTATTTATTATGGGTTAGTTTACGTAGTTTTTTCAAATATCCTCACCGTTACTTCAAATACATTTATGAGAATATTGTACGGAAGAATTTAGACAGTTTTAGAAAACTTAAAGACTGTATATACCTAATTTTACTAAATGCCGCCTGCACAAAGTGTAATTCATTCTATGGTAATTGCGTAAGATTTTATAATAAACTGCCAGAATCTGCACTAAATCTGACAGAGAGGCAATTAAAATCTTATATTAAACAATTTTTATTATATTACAGGATGAATTCATAGAAGACAACATATCAAGTAAATAATTAGTTTATTAGCATACAACGTTATAATTTGTTTATCTCATTGCTTTCTTGTATTAAAAATTATAAACATCAGATACTATGACGTGGTCTGGTGTTTTAAAGTAAAATAAACTAAAATATGGTCGAAGTGGCTGCTCATCCGAAATATGTTTAATAGCTTACAATACATAGTATTTAATTGTGTGCTATATCACACAACATTATATATTATTTAAAAGAGCAACACACAAGTTTCTTGCTTACATGAGACAGCATTCCGAATGAGCGGTAGATTAAAAAAAAAATGTTATGACAATGTAAGTTTATTTGAATAAATGATTTTCTATTCTATTCTATTCTATTCTAATTATTGACAAGACATAATTGTTATCATTTCTTCTTTCCTTTTATCGGGTGATCCTAATTACTGTAAAAAACTTCGAAGTTAGGACATAACTTCGTCGGTTTGACTTTTTCCCATAATCATTCCTAAAATAATAGAATACAATAATTTGAAACTAATCAAGTATTTGCAAAAAAATAAAGCTTAAGCAGGTGGTACCTATATAAATATAGAGAGAAGAGGAATTGTTTTTATTTAGTTATGTTTTTCGGTTTGATAGACGGCTTATCGTTGATATTTAATTGGTTAACCAAATACCTGAATATTGGGAGAATTAGATATTTTTTATTCGCAGGAAAGTAAAAAGTATTTATTGCGATAGCAGTATATAAGCTAGTGTCAATTAATTCAAGACCATATGTACCTACTGACTGTCGTAGATAGAATAATGTTCACTTATTATTCGTACCGGGATTAAATGGAGAGTAGGCCTTTGTCAACGTCTAACAATTGACATACATACAAGATGTACATGCATAATTCGCATTTAGTTTTTGAATATAGTATACTGTATAAATATAAGTCATTATTATATATGATCTGCGATGAGATGATAATTATATATGAAATACCTGTAGAAAAAATATTATGAAAAGAGAGTAAAATTAAAATATTTTCCAGAGAAAGAAATGGGAGAAAAGACACCATTTCTTTGTTGAATGTCTTATACGAACGTTACGTCGCTTTTCGAAAACAAAGACAACCCCATGCCAAATAAATTGATGAAAGACCGTAATGTGTCACGCAGTCACATTCGTTTGAACAGGGCTTCACGCCTAGGCTGAATAAATATATTATCTGTACCATTAAATTTTGTATAGCTAAATAAAAGATATTTAAGCGTAAAGAAACATAGTCCATAAACTGAAGGTTAAAGTTACGTACTTTAAGGCTTATATACCTATCTTATACCGATGTCTCAACAAAGTACAATAATTAATTACTTAATTATAATTTTATTTTCTTAATTAATTTCAATAATATTTTAATTAAGATAAAAATAAACTCTATGAATAGGAAATATATTTTTAAAGTCAATTAGTCGACCGATTTCTGAACAAAGTATCTTACGGAGTATTCACAAATTAACTTAAATTATGTTTTTTTTTTAAATTATTAAATTTTGTTTTTTCAATTAATTAATTTTCTAATAGCCGTCATTAGAGAATTTGATATAATTTTATATCTAGATCATTTCACATGTTTTATCTAAAATTTCGAAATTAATAGTAAATCGTAAATTTGTATATTATCTGTAGTTAAAAATATTTGTAAATTTCAGAATAACTGGCTTTATTATTACTGGCTATTAACTGGCTTTATAATAGTAAATCGAGATAACTAATTCGGTTTCACTCTCATGAAATTTATAGCCTATGTGTTATCGCCGTGGAGATTTTTGGAGGAGACATTTGTCCTGCAGTGGACAGTATAAAGTTTCAACAAAATTCGTTCAGTAGTTTTAGCGTGAAAAAGTAACAAAATCCATCCAAACTCACAAATTTTCGCGATTATAATATTAATAAGATGTTATTATAATGAATATACTATACTACTAATACTTTTGTTCTGGCCATAGCAACAGTAGATACCTAATATTTATTTATATTACAATAGTATGTACACTTATAGAAAAAGAGCCATGAGACAGCGACGCTGAAATTTCATTATGTACCTACAACCCATATGACTTTATCTTTGAATATTGGTGTCGCCTACCTCAAATATACAAATTGAACGTAATATTTATTTAGGATCTCGCATTTCTAATTATTAGATTTTTGATCGCTTTGATGTCTGTTTCTTAATAAGCTCGGTTTTTCATTACTATTGACTTATCCTTTTGATAAATTTGTATTAAAAAATTCGGTTTATACTTCGAAGATGTATGTTCTATGTTACAACTCATAGGTTAAATAATATCTTCTTTCTTGT